GGTTTATAAAGGCAATCAAAATATTGAATGTTCAAGATGTTGCTTCTTACCAGGTTTAGGTTTCACTTCATTTTTCATGGTAAACACTTTTAACCTTTATTTGTATTTCATTTTTTCCTTCAGACTCAAACGGAACTGCAAGTTTCCATGTTGATTCATGGGAAAAAAGAGAAGAGAAAAGAAACAAAAAAGAAGAAGAAATTCAATATTCTTGCACTTGAATTTGATAATTTTAACTTGAAGGTTCACTTGGATTCTCACAAGTTGTTGAGAAACAGCGATTAATATCAGACTGAATTGATGTTAAAAACAGCCTGTAAATTAGTTTGTTTAAGGTGCTACAATGAGTTCATGTAATGAGTCTTCAGGGATTAAAGGGTTTGCTTGGATGGTTTAACTTTTGCCTTTTGTTTTGGTTGCTCTTCTCATTCCCACATTGTTTCCAGTGCAACTGAATAATCCTCTCAAGTGAATAATTCAATGAAAGAAGATACCTTTTTGGGTCTTTCTTCTTCTTCAAACAACCTTTATCCTTTGAACCCTTTTTACGCTCTTCTTTGAAAACAGTAATGATAGATTAGATTGTGACTTTCAACTGAGTAAATTGCTGTAAGGTAAAACTATTAATTCACTGAAACTCTGTTGGTTTTCAATTGACTCTGTTTCTCTCGAATATCATGTTTAATCATTTCTCCATTTATTAACCAACAACTGTTTAATCAACTCTCGTCTCGACAATTCAACCTTTTTCATTAAATGATAATTTGAGTGATGCTTAATGGCGTTTAAATGTTTTCCAGTTTTTGGTGAAACAGAAAATTTTCACTTCTTTTTTGCCGCATGCAGAATTTTTTGAATTTTCGTTAAGATAATTAATCTTGGTGTGTTCAAAATGAGTCTCAAGCTTTGAAGCTCAAGAGTAATTCATCTAAACGAAATTTTCTTTTGAATTTTGTCACATTTTTGATGAATGATTTTTTCAATTTGCTTCAATGGAAAGTTGAACATTTCAGGGTTTTAAATGTTCAGTAAATACTGAGTCAAGAAAAAGTCCAGAAAAGAGGAAATTGGCAAAAAATCATTAGATAATGAACGATGTAACGAAGTTCAACATCGTTGGTCATTTTTGGTTCAAATTACAAAATAAACTGAACTTTTCAAATGATTTTTCAATTCCATTATTGGAAAGTAAGAAAAGGCGTTTTTGGTTACGACAATCGCTGGAATCGACATTTCCTGAAATCTCTCTTCTGGGTTTTCTAATTATTCAAAGTTACTCTTGTCCAGAAATTTTCACTCAGTTTGGGCCGAAAATGAAACAGAAGAAAAATGGTTTCAAGATTTTTCTATTAGAAAATTAAATTCTGTGTCATCAATCAAGAATTCCCAGTAAATCGAAATGAAACGATTTCCTCAAGTTCAACATTTACCATCCAATGACCGTTGCAAGCTGATTGTTGAAAATCTGACTTTTAGTTTTTCCTCTAAATTTAGACTCGTCGGCATACAGTTCATGAACGACGACTCATGATGAACATCTTGAACAGTTGACTCAGATTTTGTTGTAAAATGGACATTAAATGAATGACTATTTTTTAAAATGAAATGGTTATTGAAAGCAAATGACTTGAGCGAAATGTTGAGATAATTGATGAGAAATGCTTAAAAATGATTGATAATGTTTGTCCATTTTGACGTAAAGTCTTCATCATTTTAATGGTTATCTCAAGTTAACTTGGTCAAAGTTATCAAAATATTTCCATTGCAATTGTAATCAACAGAATGGTTGTTAAGATGAGAGTCGATTGAGTTGGGTAATGGATATTGTTTGAGTTTAACAAGGAAACTCTCAAGTATTTTTCATCAATAATTTAAAACATTACTACCGATCATTAAGGTTTTATGTGCGATAAATGTTAAAGAGTATAAATCAAATTGTCAAAAATCTCGATAGTCCAAGAACATCATATTTCAATGTTTTGGCTTTTACGGTTTTCCTGATGTGTTGGCAACTATTTCACATTTAATTTCAGCTTAAATTATATAAGATTGCTGGCTAATCAAGTCACTTAATTGCATTTATCAGATCCATTTTTGGAGACACAATCATTATGATTAGCATCAAAAGCTCATTCAGAATATATTTCAACTGAGATTCATATTTCCTTTAGTCCAATACATTATTAAACCTTGTCTTTCGGACTAATATATAACATTAACCTTTCATTTTTATGGACCCAACAAGCCTTTTCTGGTTCTCTATTTTTTTGGGTTTCTTTTCACTCTGTTAGGACTAAGACGTTGTTATTTTGATTGTGATGATTTTGATGGATCAAAATGATTGATTAAGATTGTAAATATCAATACTATATCAATAGAGTCGAGTTGAGTTGTTGAGATGTTGGGATGTTGGGATGTTGACATGGGAAACATTAACTTGCGAAAGTTGACTCTCATTACCATTATTCATTATTTGACATTGAATGAAAAAATATTTAAACTTGAGAATAGAATCACGAATGAGAATTAACAAAATGTCGATAAAAAGTTACAGTTTAAAGCTATTAATCTCTTTATCCTGTGAGTTGTGGTGAAAGATGAAGCTTAGGATTAACAGTTTTACCAGGCACAACTTTAAAGATGATGAATTTCTTGTTGGATTTTTGAGCCTTGATTTTCAAGTTCACCTACAATTATTCTATCTTCAGTTAACAGCTTATTTTTTACACACAATTAAATAATTAAATCAGTAATGTCCATTAGAAATAGATTGACTTTGTTTGATTTTTACATTAGGAATTCATTTGGAAAGGTTTCTTAACACTCCTTGCTTGGACCTGACATCTATTGAGAGTTGATCAAGGCATTTTGGGTTTTGTTTTTGTTTCATTTTTTGCCTGATTATAATTTAAGTCTGGTTTGATTAGTTTAATGAGTGGTAATTTTAAGATTTTTTAATACATTTTAAACATTTTTTAGTTCGACTTTTTATTGTAAATTCTGATTGTGCAAAGTTAAAGACCTTTTGTTGATAGGAAAAATACAGTTGGGAAGCAAATCGACTCCATAGGACATCAGTAAATAATGACTTGCAAGCTACAGCTAAAGTTAACAAGATCTGGTTGATGATTCGATTCCAGCTGTCATGAACATCTCTTAACCAGAATTAAAAAGGATGTAATTCATTGAGAGACTTTCGTAGTACCATGAGAGTAGGAGGTACAATAATCGATGAACCATTTTGAAATGGTCAAAGACAAAAACTTAAAATCTTGATTTCAAGATGATGTTACATTGATCTTTGTCCGTGTTTTCTTGTGTAAGCCTTCAACTTACAATGTATCAAGTTTCAAAGATGCTGAAAGTAAATTCTTGTTTTTTATTATATAATCTCAAGACGATTATTACATGAATGGAAATGATTCTGGATGATGGTCAACTATTGAATCAAAATTATGTTTCGCTTGCAAGTATTTATTTTTCAAAGAAATCCAAGAAACATTATTTCTATCTTGATTTTGGTACAAATAAAATGTCTACTTAAGCATTTAATCGACAAGGATTTGCTTTTCAAGTCAATTCTCAGCTATTAACTCTGGAAAAAAGCCATTCAATCAATTCGGTCAACAATGGGCAAACAAAACCACATAACAGTCATCTTTGGTCCAGAATAAATGGTCAATGGTGAAAACAAATAGATTAAAGTCCAATAATCTTGATGGAAGCAACAATTATTGAACTCTGTTAGCCGATAACTTCAATAATTGTAACTATTACCAGTAAATACAATTATCGAGACAACAATAAATTTAAACAGTCAAAGACCTTGTCATATTATGCTGCATCAACAACTTAATTGTGTTACAAGGTAAACCAAGGCTTTGCTGACCATTGGTAAGATTAACATTGATAAAAAAATATTGGCTACTTAATAATTTAATAATCAAACCTTTTCTTCAATAGACTTGGATAATCAGTTTAAAAAGGCGTTCATTGGGATAATAATACATCATCTGAAACACAGAAGACTTGGTAAAAATGAATTTTGTTGCGAACCTTTGGTGAAACAATATTGAATTAACCTTTTGCATGGCTATCATGGAGTAACTGAACGATCAACTATCAAAGCTTTTTAATATTCATCTTAATTGGATTAAATTTGATCAGCTAACCATTGATTGACCAGAAGGATTGGGAGAGATTGAGTGTTGAGTGAATCTAATGATCTTGAAAGTCTATGGACCTTGTGTGTGTTGTGTTTTGGCCTTTACGGAGTCAACAATCAAGCCAATAATCAAGGAAATAAATTTGATTGACAAGTTCATATTTATGATACAGAAGTGAATTGAATAAGGCTTTAGTTACATTTAATGAAAGAAAGTAATTGATGGGTAGATTAATCAACAATCAAGTAAATTGTGGTAAAAGATGTTTACAAAAGCAGAAGAAACAAGAAGACAAAACAAAGGATTCCAAGTTTTTCCTGTGTAAACTTAAATTTTTATCCTTCCAATGTCAATAATAATTAAATGGGGATGAATTAATTTTCTTGATCATCATAGAGGTTTCTTTAATCATTTCAGGGTTAAAAAGTGTGTGTATGTAATAGAGTATGCATTTGCTCCTTAATTATTGCTCTTTTATTTTTCGTTAATCAACTTTTAGCTATCGATTTGCCTTAGCACAATGGCAATTTAGCTTCAATCATGATTTGTTGACTTGAAATTGTACTTGTTTTCATAAACCAATATTATTGTGCTCAAGTTTACATATTGATTAATATTTTGTAAATATTGCATGTTTTTATTTCGTTATTTGTCATCATTAATGTTGGATCGCTCATATTTGTTTGCGTTAATCGGTGACAATTAGAGTGAAAAGTGATGATTCTGAATTATTTGACGGATATTTCAATTCAACTTCAACTCCGGTTTATTCATTTAATTGTTATCAACAAAAAATTAGATTTCAATATTTTCTTAAAATCCGATCATCTCTATTCATGATCAAGTGGTTATGTCCAAACCGTTAATTCAACCGATGACTTTGAAAGTTTCAACATCAACTTTGGATACATCTATTGAGCCGAACATTAATTTAAGTGCTCAACAGCAACATCAAAATGATCGTAGTCGATCAATTGGCCCTATTGACTTTAAAAACTGGGTTGATTTGGAAGACAATTTGAATTTATCGTTAAACGATTCCGATGAAACATTTGATTCTTTTGGATTGACAATTGAACCTGATTTACGAATCCATCATCCCTTTTTAGCACTTTTTTTAGGAATCATTTGTCTACTTATTATATTTGGTAATATATTAATTATGGTTGCCATTAGACGTGAACGTTATTTACACACAGTTACCAATTTATTTGTGGCCTCATTGGCAGTAGCTGATTGTCTTGTTGGAGCAATTGTTATGCCTTCTTCGGTTGTCCATGAAGTAATGAATAAATGGTGGATATTTGGTCAAGATTGGTGTGATCTTTGGCATTCATTTGATGTGCTTGCCAGTACAGCATCAATCCTCAATTTGTGTGTTATATCACTAGATCGATATTGGGCCATAACTGATCCAATTAGTTATCCAGCTCGAATGACTGCACGAAAGGCCAAAATATTGATTGCTTTAGTTTGGGCTTGTTCAGCTATAATATCATTTCCAGCGATTATCTGGTGGAGAGCCGTTTCAGCACCACCAAGGCCTTTGAGATGTGATTTTACCGAAGATATTGGATATCTTTTATTCTCGAGTATAATTTCATTCTATGGTCCATTAATTATAATGTTGGTCGTTTACTTTAGGATCTATCGTGCAGCAATAAATCAAACCAAATCGGTTAAAAGTGGTACAAAATCAATTGCAGCGTCAGATGGAAATGAGAATAATGCTGTTGTATTGAGGATACATCGCGGTGGTGGTGGTGGAAATAGATATAGTGATTCAAATAGTGTTCTTGTTAATTGTGTTTGCCAAAACGAGAGTCATCAGTCACATTATCGTAATGGTCATCTTAAATCTCGTCAGACCGGTGAAGTATCTTTCGATGATTCTTCTGAAATGACAGATGATAGTTCTCTCAATGTTAAAGTGTCGGCTGGTCCTCATCGTAATGTCAAGACTTTTTCATTAAGTCGTAAACTTGCTAAACTAGCAAAGGAAAAGAAAGCAGCCAAAACACTTGGAATTGTCATGGGAGTCTTTATACTTTGCTGGTTACCCTTTTTCATCACTAATCTTGTTAAAGGTTTCTGTGGTGATGTTTGTTTAATCAACCCAGATTTGGTTTATCCTTTGGTTACATGGTTAGGTTGGCTGAATAGTGGGATGAATCCATTTATTTATGCATGTTGGTCAAGAGATTTTCGAAGAGCTTTTAGAAAAATATTATGCCTGTGTTATGAACCAGAATCTTATAAGACCAAAATATCACAGAAATCAAGTGGAATCATTCCATCCAATGCCAATGATGACAATACCAATATTAAAAGGGTAAACAATGATACCAATAATAATGGTGAAAATAGAGTAGATTGCAGTTTATCGATAATTAAAATAATAAGATCCAGAAAGTTGAAATTAACTGAATGAGCAATTAAACTGCAATTTCAAAAGTCTCTATTCTGTCACTTAAATGGGTATAAGTCAGGGTTCGTCTTTACCATGCCCAAAAATGATCTCACTATGGTTTGACTTGATGATTACTTATTCAGAACAAGACATTTATGCTTGATACATCATGATTTTAACTCATTTCCAGGTTTCATAGACTATGGTGATTGATAATATTGATCACCTTCCGCTGTTCCGGCTGCAATTCCTTGCGACATTTGACCTCGATTATTTACATAATAATCACCATCTGTTGGAGCTGTTTGACTGTAGGAGTTATAATCATATCGAACATCAAACAAATTAAAATCTCTTCGTATAACAAGTTCAACTTCTTCAGCATTATTGGATGCAGAAACCAGCCTTTGGACTTCTTCATTTGATAATCCGGTCAATGGCAATCCATTCCATTCTAATACTTGATCACCTAATAATGAAAGAAACGAATTCATAAATTTAGAATCGTAAATAATTTGGTCGTTGCAATTTTGTAAATACATATTCAAATTATAAATCATTTATTAATAATTTGCTATAAAGTTGGATTTATTTCAAGCACAAGAGCAACAACTCTTTGCCCCAATTTGCAAACTTTTCAAGATTCACTTGTTATTAAAAATTATTCTTGCCATTTCGTTAATTTGCTAGAATTACTATTCAAGTTACAAATGAATTTTGATAATAAATCATGAAAGGAAGATGATAAGCTATGATCATATAGCAATAGAAGTAGTAATGGTCTCTACGTGATAAATGTGTAAATTTTAAGCCTGAAAAACTTTGTTTATGATATGTCTTCAATCCTTTGCTAATAAATCAAGAACAATTGACCTAGATTTTAGTTTATACGAAAACTGGAATCTTGAGTTGGAATATGTTGCAAATAGGTTCCAATATTTTAAGTAATTAAGGTTTACCTTCACGAATTTCTCCAAGTGAATCAACAGCTCCACCAGTAATTGTTTTCTCAACAAAAGTTCCAACTTGATCCGTCCCAGGTATTTCTTGACCACCAATTAGACGTAGTCCATAACAATTACCTGGTTTCGACGAAGATCCTGATTAAATTATCAGTTGAAATTGATGATTGTTAAATTAGACAATAAATAAATTATTGACAACAACCAAAGGAAAGACCAATCGACTAACAACAAATCTTTCAAATCTTATTGCACTTTCGAGCACAACATTTGAACAGATATTCATCACAAACTGACCAATGAACATAAACTTAAGCAAAACAATCAAGCGAAAATTCTCCAAGTGATACAGTTTGTTGAGTTGTTAATTAATAGGTAACAGGTTTCATTGGTTGTCATCTAACTGGAATTGAAAACCATTTAACTTACCTCCATGAGCTCTTTCTTTAGGATCTCGGATCAATAAGATTCTCTTGACTGGGAAAGGATATTTTGGTCTTTTATTTGCCGGTAATGATTGGCCCTGCACAGGAAAAATTTCGTGAACGAATCAAAATAGCCAAATAGGGATGAAGAGAAGAATAACAAAAATGACATTATTTAATTAATAATGTTGAAAATTTGAGATAAACATAAACAGACAAGACCAGGCAACACAAAAGACAAAAAACGGTTAATTTGAGAAGGGGGAAAGAAGATAGTGAACAAAGAGTAAGGTAACCTTACTCTTTGATAGTGAAAGAGTTGCATTATCGGTTACCAATGGCAATGGAACAAAGAAACAATAAAACGGTTAGACAATTAAAAACAAATGAAATATGATCTTCTCAACTCTGCAATCCATTTTTCATTACAAAATTATAATTAACGTGTTTTGTTGTTGTTTAAGTATTAATTAAGATTTTTGTTTATGTGCTCAACAAGATAATTTATCAAATCAATGGGAACAAACAATTAGCATGCTGTTCACTTGAGTTTATTTTAACTAACAAAGCTTATTCCAGATCATGTCTTATGACGATATCGTTTGGTTGTGTTTTTTTCATACAAAAATGGATCAAATATTTTTCCGAATATTGTGAACTTTGGAGTTACATGAATTTAAGGAATTGAAATAGATGGGTCAAACAAACAAGCAATTTATTATCTACTTTGTAATGAATGCGTACGTCTTGCTTACTTGGGACGGCAGATTGTGATTTGCAACATAATTTGGTCCGTTATAATTTGGCTGATAATCAGTTGTCACTGGTCGATTAATTCCGTTCCCTGGTTTTTGGATGAGAAGAAAGAAATATTCCATTGGATAAAGAAGGTAATTCAAGGTGTTTATTTCAATTTTTGGCGTTATCATGTTTCTAATGTTTGTTTTCTTTCATACGTATAATTCAATCCCAAACTGTCCTGTGTACACTGTCCGCAACTATTAACATCAAAAGCAATCAAAGAATGGTGCCAGCGAACATTTTTTTGGCTTAAAATTTGACAGATACAAAGGAATGGAGTAAAATTAGAAGTCACGTCCAGTTGAAATTTGATCGGTTTGAAATGATCAAGTCATTCCTCAGCGAATGCTTTAAAGTCATAATTCAATTCATTTTTCACAGCAATAGTGAAATAAATACTTCATTGTCTTCCGATGAAATTGAATCCCATTAGAATAACGTTTTAAAAATGTGTGTTACCTAAATAATGTTACTTGATTGATTCTTCTGGAAAGCAAAAGTATTTTTATCCACTAACATGGAAACATAATGAACATTTTCTTATATTTGTTATTGCTGTAATAATGAAGTTCGTGTTATCTTGAACAAAAATGCAATCAAACATTGTTTAAAGCAAATCTGGTTCAGTATACTTTCAATTCATTGAAAGATATCTTTTATTATTTCTCAAAATTTTTAAAGGTGCGTATTTCCACGCTTAATAGTACACGCGCAATACACTTTTCAAATTTTAATTTGCTTTCGCTACTCTTTCCAGGTTATCCCATCATCAACGTAACAATCTGTTAACCTTTTTTGATCGACTCTGATAGAGGCCTGTGAAGATGAAAGGGGCGAAGGAAAAACGTAGGAAAGGATGGAAAAGAAGAGAACAAAAAAAAGTACAAAGAAAAGAATAATATATTCAAATGAAATTAAAAAGAAACTATAAATATTTAATCACAATGGTGCAGGTAAAAATATCGTGTTCAACTGAAGCAGGCAACAATCAAAAGGAGCAAAAGATGTGTAATTTATTGGTGAAAGCCACAGCCAATTCGTATCATGCATATACACACTTCTTTTTCTCAATCAAGGTAACTTTGTATTCTTATAGATTCAGTAAATCTAATTCTATTGAATGATTTGAGAAGAAGATTATGCATTTGTTTCAATTAGCAGAGTACATGTTAATCTAGGTGCATGTTGAATGGTGCAAATTAAGTGTACAGTGTTTGGCTTAGAGTTAAATAGTATACTAGAAAAAGGTAATGTAAGGATTGGCGATTGGGTGAAATCGATAATATTACATGGAAAGACTAAAGAGGAAATCATCTAATATTATGTGTTCAATTAATCAGGCTGTTTAACCTGTCTAATTTAACTTTGTTTACTCTGCAAGAATATAAAAAATTAATTTCCCTGCCTGAAACCATTAAGGTCAGTGTTGACTTTCAATTAATTGAAAGACCTTTGACAGTTGATGGTTGAAGAATTAAAAGTCGTTGATATGGAATAATAAGCTTGCTTATTGTTGATTGAGGAAAAGGTTTACATTCACTTTTTATAACCTGCTGCTGAATTGATTAGATTAGCTTATTAGATTTTGCTTGTTGGTGAGATGTGAAAAAAAAACGGAAGATGCAAATTGAATTAATTTTTCTTGAGTTTTGGATACTTGTTAAAGGTACAGTTGAAAAAAGCTCTTTATAATGTCACTCAGTAATTGCTTCACTTTTGATTGCTACTTGGGACTTATTAATCAACTTGTCATTATAATCCGAGTGGAACACTAAAGTTTACCTTAACCAACCTGATGATATTGAACTAGAATATAAATTTATAATACTAACCCTCTGAATGTTCAGCTTTTTTCCTATCCTTTGCTCTCATTTTCAATGAAAAATGAACCTACTCTCATCAATTACATTTCCTATGTACCCAGTATTGGGTATTTTGGTTTGTACTCAGTTATTGATGAGTTGCCATAAGAGGGAAACAAATGACCCTCAATATAAATATTAATCAAATTTTAACACAATTATTCCAATTTTGATTTAATAAGATGAATATTCCATGTACTCTTGTCTATTAATCTATTTTCATTTCTCATCTAATGTAACTTTTTTTTCTTCTTTTCAGTTGCCATGAATGATGAAATTGAAACTATCAAATGTCTTACATTAAGTGATTGCCTCTATTGTCAATGGACATAATCAATGCTGATCAAATGGCAAAGTTCATCATTGATTGATCAATTTGATTAAGATGGAGATTGAAATTAATTTGGTGATGAATTTCTTCCTCTCTGGATAAAGGTTAACAACAAAGGAATCGTATGGCAAAAGGAAGGACAAAGAATATGATTGGTTGAAAGTTGCATTGTTGAAACAAAAATAGTGTTAGAGTCAAACTGTTAGATGAGTGCATTTCCAAATGTGCTTAACTGTTCAGCCATCCAACTTGAATTGCTCATTATCTTACTCTCATATCTGAGTGCCTTTCTCATTTTAATGAGTCTCATCAACGAAATTCTCCTTTTTGTTATTGATCAGTCAATTGACCCCAATCAATTAACTTAAATCTTGATGGTGTTGACACTTTAAAGATTGATGGCAATTACAGAGGCAATTGTACAGAAGGATGACTGATGTTATCGAGCAAAACAGGTAGTCAAAACTTTGCGAAGTAACGTCTTGAATAAAGTAGATATTGATATGTTTAGTTGATTATCAACAATAGTCATGACTACCTTAAATATGAATGTATCAATAGTATCTTTTATTTGGTGTGAATTGTTAAATTTTGGTGCTTTGGTGAAAGATTGGTGAATTAAATTGGTGAGCATTTGAAGGTTAAAGTAATTGTTGGGAGTAATTGTGATCGTTGATGTTGCTGGACGGTTTTGTACTTTATTTTGGGAATGAATTGGAAAGCATCAGTCAATCCAGTCAACCAATAATCAATCAAGAGTCAAAGTGAACTGCATAGGTTGGAAACATCGCTACCCTTTTAACCAGCAAGATTTATCATCAACATGAAACGATAAATCAAGAAACCAAGCAAGTATTATCTCTACTTAATATCATACTAAAGTGACAATATAGCTATTCATTTGTTCTGAGCATTCCTTATTCTTCCATAAATAATTGAAAATGTTGAAGAACAAGATTGCCGAGAGAAGCTTGAATTTGCTTTAGAAACAATCAATCAACAAATTAGTATATGGTTTCGATTACAAAGATAGCTCAATTTGTAACTTCAACTGTTGAGGAATGCATTTAAATTGTTTAGAAAAATTTTTATGCTTGAAAGATATTTGATTGATTATTATTGACTTGATTTGATTACAATTGTCTACTTTACATCCTCGTGTGTCTTATTTTCTTTGTATTGATTGAATGAAAATTTAACTTACCTCTGTTGTAATAACCATATTCATCATAGGCTTGCTGATGCTGCTGTTGATCAGGGTGGTGGTGTAAAGGCGCTCCTGTGTAATCTTCGTAACCAGTGTCCAATGATCGGGAATAAAGTCCATCTCGTGTCATCCGTGATCTTCTTACATGAGTTGGTGATCCATGCATACATCGATTTCCAGATGTATAATAATCATCCATATAACCTGAAGGACTGTAATCTTCCCCAGCCATGGGACCATTTCCTCTGGCTCCAATTTGTCGACGATAGGCACTTGAATTATACTGCTGTGTTTGATCCCTTGAATAGTAACTAGGATGATGACCTGATGGTCCTACGTGTAATTTACCTCCACCTCCCAAATCATCAGCTACTGCTCGACCAGTCTCCATCAATTGAGCTCTTCGCCGAGCAATTTCAGCTTTAACTCTGCTTGCTTTCTCTTCACGAGTCATCTTATCATCTTCATCTTCTGATCCATATGGTGATGGATGCCAAGAGTGTGCTGGACCGATTGAACCTAAAAGTGGACGAGCTCTGTAACCAGTATGACCACCAGCTGTGGCTCCTGCTGCGTTTACATTTGTTCGCAAATCATCATAACCACGAACTCCTGAAATATTCATTGAATTGTAGGGATCATAATGGAGTAGTGATTCATCAATAGATCCTTCTGATCTACGACGAAATCTATTGTGACCTGCGCCCATTCCTAGTAGTCTTGCTCCTTCTACACCACCAGTGTCCATGAAATTTGGAATAAACGATTCTCTAAGTCCAGGATCAAGTTCACCGTTCGTTAACCTATCTCTTAACCCATAAGCCATATCAGTTGAATTGAGTCCTGATCCTAAGACTCCCAAGGAGGAAACAGGTCGTCTAAAATTTGAAGAAGGTCCTCCAAAAGGTGAACGACCTGTAGCTAACGAGGATGTTGGTAATAAACCAGGATAAGCACTTGCTCCTGGATCAAGAAATTCATATTCATATGATTTGAACAATTCAGGGGCTAATCCAGGAGCTGAAAATCTGTTGCCCATCATATTCGGTTCTTGTAACAAAGATGAATAAGTTCCTAATGCTCTTGGATCTAAAGTATCGCCGCGTCTAAGTCCACCAAGGGGACGTCGACGGTTTAATAATCCTCTACGTGAATGAAGGGCATCCATTTCAATTGAACCCAGGTCATACAAGGCTTGTAGATCAGTTTCTGAGCGGCGATATAAATCTTGCTTTTCTCTAGGTTCACGACCCTCGAGAAGACGCAATCTTTCATCTACAACGCTTTTGAGTTCATCTTTAAGCTGTGATTTAAGAGACTTGATATATCCTCCTCCAGACCCTAAACCCAAGCCTCCTCCGAGCGGGGAGGTCATTGGTGAAGAAGGTGGCAGTGATGAAGTTACAAAAGGTGATTTATGGGATAAACCAAAAACTGAGGCAGGTCCGGATGGCATATTTGCTCCACCAGAAACATTTATACCCAAATAATTGGCCAATGAGGTTTGAAATTCGGATGGTCCGTTCGGACCAGCTCCTCCTGTCATTGATGAACGGAGTGTATTGATCGGTGTTTGTGGACGATGTAAATCAAGGCCAGCTAAACCGCTGGCAGATGAATTAATTAGATTGGCAATGTCACTTAAAGATGAAAAGGGAGATATTGGACCTGAATGTGGACGGGATCGCAATGGTAGACCACTAAAACCTGGACCATCTTTATTAAACGGTCCCAATCCCATCCCAGTATTTGGAGTGTGATCCAAAGAAGATGCTGACCTTAATAACTGAACTGATTTGCAGGATAAATTTCCAGCTCCTCCAGATGCTTTTCCCATCAATCTTTCTTTAATTAATTTACGACTAACTGCTGCCGCAGTGACTGGCTCTTCATCTAAAGGAACCAATGGTAATCGTCGTTTATTTTTCAAGCCACCAGCTTCACTTTGAGTTTCATCTAACATCTAATGTTTCAATTTAAAAAAAGAAGATGATTAAATTTCAAATGATTGAGTGATAATCTGATTAAAATAAGGATTTTTTAAACTTACACTTAAAGGTGAAATACCACGAATCATTCCAAGGGAGGAAGCTGCAAGACCATGCCTTGGATCAAGAAGAGACGAGGTTGTCGCTATTGATGAGGATACAACTGTCGGTGTGGCCATTGTTAATACTGTTGATGCCTGAGTCGGTCGAGATCGACTCATGGGAGGTATAATTGGAACTCCGATTATTTGATTTTTTCTCGGAATCAACGGTGAAATGGGTCGAGCACCAAAATGTTGAGAAGCACCGGTTGACGTTTTATTGGCTGTTAGACTATAATTGGAGGTAACCGCAAAGATTTGAAGGCAACAAAGAAAAAAAACACCGATACAATATTAAATACTTTCAAATGTTTATCACTTTTTAAATTGTGGTTAAAAATATGGTCACAAGTGGTTAATGAACACGTCAAAGAAAGACTTTAAGACAAGGCTAAAGATGTATAATTGATTACAATTTATCAATATTGGAATGTTAACTTTCAATATTTATAGTTGTAATATAAAGTTGAGCGTAATCACACCGAATAAAAGATGGCTGATGAATACAGGTCTAATGGAACAGAAAATAATTACTAAACATGATTGGAAAATTTGTTCATCAAAAAGACACTAAAATTGGATTAATTCGATTAATGGTGACATGCATAAAAAGATTTAACCCTATTAAAACACATCAAGGAGGCCAATTAATATTACAAAGACAATAGGTTAACATTACTTTGGTGACCATTTTCAAGTTGTGATGGAGTTTATTGGACACTAAAGTTAAACTGAAAACTGAAAGGGATCAAGTTAAAGGCAAAATGTTACTTTCGTAAAAAAATAACAGAAAAGGTAAATTTTCCTTTCATCCATTCATCCTTCCACCTTCACTCTTTCTCATTTAGTCGCTCTTTCTCTCTTCTTTCTTCTCTCTTTAGATCATTACTATCAACATGATCATGGAATTGTTTTTGAATTCATTGAGAAGGAAAAAAAGCTCTTCACTAATGGGAAACGAAAGGGAGTTCAAGAAATAAGCAACTGAAAGACTATTACGATCTTGGAGGATGATGATAATGATAAGATGAATTCTGTATGTCAAGCAAAGTTTCGCTTCTCAGCATCTCTTTCATTTACCTCTTTCTTTTGCCTTTCAACTCTCAACATTATGCTACCACTGAGTTCTCATGCTCATGCCTAATATTCAGCTTCATCTTTATTCTGATCATCTTATCCTTTCTCTCCTTCAATCTCCTCTTCTTTAATCTTCACTTTTTTTATGTTTGAAAAAGAAGGTAAAGATTTTAGCTAACATCAGCTAATTTGTTAATATGCATTTATATCTTGTCGGGCATAAATATCACTTCTATTATCACTTATTTTTTTTTCTTCTTCTTTCAGTTTCACTTTTGCCACTCACTCAAAATTGATACTCTAGTATACAAAACGAAAGGGAAGGGAATATCGTGTTAACCTGATACATGATTCCAAAGATGACAAGGAAGAAAAAGAAAAGAAAAGCATTTTTTGGTTCACTGAAATGAAAAGTAGAAGCTGATGAAGGAAGGAAATGGAAGATAGAAACAGATGATCAAGGCTTTGCAAAGCTTTATAAATTGGTTTTGGTATTGATCTTGAGAAATCTTGTTCCACTTTTATACTCTTTGCCTGTCTTTGGAGAATCATGAATTGACGCAAAACAACAGTTGCTCGTCTGTTTGGCTTTAACTTACCTTGAGCCGTGCGAGTAAATTGAAGATGAAGTAGATTGATTTGAAATGGCTTGAACTGCTCCTTGGATTTCCTCTATTGTTGGTTGAGGTAATCGCCGTCGATCTTTACGATTAGGAGTTGCTGGAGCTGATGATGAGGGTCCAGAAAATTGGGAATGACGATGGGCTGATGTGACAACTGATGAAGATGCTGTCGATGATGCAGTTGTTGATGTTGCTGAAGAGGTTGCTGTTACATGATGATCAGAGGTATGATGTCCAGAGTGTGATGAAGAGGTCATTTGATTTGTTTGTTGTCCAGAAGAGCTTGATGAAATTTGCTGTTGTTGCTGTTGTTGTTGCTGTGATTGGGCTTGACCTTGTGATGATTGAGATTGAATTGTCTAAAATAAAAACAAGACCAAAGTAAATACAGGTTAAACCATCTATTATTACCATTGGATCCAATTCAATTGTAAATTTGGTCAATCAAATGGATTCAAAACAAGTCAGGAGTCAATTGTACTACAAATCTATTATTTTGTCAAGAACTTCTGTCTCCCAATCAAATCTGACAAAGGCAATTCAAAATTTCTAGAAAATCAGTATTAATATTAATTCAACAAATTCATTGAATGGATCCACTTGACTGGATAACCTTCATTGTTTTTTCTTGACCAGACAAAAATTGATTTTACATTTTCAACATTTTTAACAATTTCCTGAACTTATAGCTCTACTATTTTGGTTTAACAGATTGATTAATTGTCATTTTAATTCTTCTCCTGTGCAGATACAAATGAGATAATATCAATTTGATGTTCTCACAAATAACATGAACGATATCGGTGTCAATTTATTTGGTTGGACCATTAATAAAAGGATAACTACTACAGGCATCATCAAACCATCATCATCAAGATCGATAATATTACATGGCAAGTCTAGGATAAAGGGAAACTTTATACAGACATAAACACACGTAAATATTTTTGCTACAATCTTATATCATTTCAAGCTTCAACTTGGATGATTGAGAGGTGGAAGAAGAAGTAGGAGCAAAAAAACTGAGCTGCTAAGTTGGACACCTTTACTAAACTAGTCAACTCTGAGCAAAATGATGATGATGAATTGATGGATGGTTATGAAGCAAAAAGATGGTATGAGCACAAATATATGGGTGAAAAAATGCTAACTGGAAATGAACAAAACTGAAAGGAAAAAGCATCTTGTCCATCATCATCATCATTGACTGTTTAAATCTAGACAGGTAAAGATTTTTATTAATACTTTTTTTACATAATCGATTCTTCTAACTGAAAAAAATGAGAAAAATAATCTATGTTTAATATATTCTTTCTATCATTTATGTATTATTGTAAGATTATCATAATTCAACTAATATCTTTACAGATTTTTCCAACTTAATCTTGGCGCTTTTTTTGTCTTCCCGCTTTTCTTGCTCTTAACAGTCTTATGGCAACACAGTTTTCATTAGTTACTTGACAATGAAGCTGCAATAATTTTTATAATATTTACGAATTTAATTAATGTGTCTTAAAAACGTCTACAATACATCATGGCTACTGATCTAATGTTATTTCTGGTTTGGCATAGATTGCTCATTGGACCAATGGAAGGGTTGATCAATACAAATAATGTAAGTAAATTTTGCCATTGGGAGGTGTAAATAAGGTTTATAATGTCTTGGGTTTGATCATTTTTATACTTTATCAATGAGATGTGAATAGATTTGTTTGGTTACAATTTAATTAATTGTAATTGTGACTTACCGTTGATTGTTGTTTGGCTTTTTTCTTCTCTTGTTCTTTTTGTAATTGCTCTTGTTTTTGACATTGTTCTTGTTGTTGTTGCTGTAATTTTAAGATATAATAAATACATTATTGATTAGCATATTCAACCTCTAATAATCATTTTATCTCTATTCCTACAGATAGATAATTCAACCTCACATTGAAAATGAACGGATAAAGTAGGATTCAAATGAAGAGGATAATGAAGTCAATGGATGATAAGATTTGGTACCACATGTCTGTATTAATATTGATGTAACTCTATATGAATTACTCTGCTGGTCAGCTTTATTAACTTTGCTTCCATTTTTATCATTGTCAAAGATTACTTACTGGTCATTACTATTTGCTCATTATTCAAGCATCTTTGGTGTGTCAATGAATTTATCGATCATTAATAACAAAGTCGTTAATGTCATTACCCATACTTGAACCTGCTTATTCAATATTGGCTACTTTATGGTTAAACTAATCAATTCAACAAATCAATTGCAGGAAAATTAGCTAACCATTGATTTGTCAATTTTGATATGACATCTTTAAACAGTGAAAATTGGAAAATTTATTTTTAGACTTGATCAATCGATGATGGAATATTTTTGACCGTTTGAAGTCCATTCCAAATAACCAGTCGCTTGATTCAAAAAAGTCCCTCAGCAAGGAATTCAATTAATCATGCATTCGCAATGTAATTTATCGATCTCAGTATCCAACAATTGTCAGTACATTAAGTCTCATAATACAATTACCATTTGACCAAGTTAATGGGCTTAAACAAAATTAAATTTATAAAACCATTTACGGTTAAACTGTTAATTTTTGATGACATTTTTTCTCAGTGTCACTCTATTAATATTAGACATTAACTAGCTAATAAATCTTTCTAATAACCCTTGGCAAAAAAAAGTTTAACAGCTGAGCAACAATACAATTTACATCAATATTTACAACTAAATATAACATTAAAATCCATTAGCAGATGTAGTATTAACATTTTTTTTCAAAAGTAAACCATTAATGTGTAAATAATCAATAAATTAGTTATGATTAAGGGAAAAATTAAAATTTAATTAACTCTGGATGGTTCAATAACTGCACATGAAAGTAAAACTGGAGGCAAATTGGTTTACAGAGAAAAATAAAATGTACAAATCAAACAGCCTTTAACTACACCTAATGCACTAATTATGAATACAAAATTTGACAATTTAACTATTGTCCATTCACTTATTAGACTCACAACATTTAATCACTTAAATGGACTTTATTTAAATGCAAGTTTAATCTGAATGCCGGAGTAACGGTTTGTTTAATGTTGAACGTGATTGAAACAACAAAAGGCCAACAGATAGATGATGCTAATTTATGATAATATTAATAGGACGAGAAGGAGTTGAGGTTCAACAAAAGTATAGCTATAAACATAAACACAGAGAGAGATGATAATGATGACGATGATGATGAAGACAATGATGATGAAAATGAAGACAATCGTTTCCGCGCAGTAAAAAAAGTCCAAATTTTTGATAAAAATGTTTAGGTTTTCACATTGAGCAGCAGTTTTGTTGCTATTGGAAAAGCAATCGGAAACTCCTGCAAACCCAACCAGTGAATATTTTCATCCAAATCATCCCAGTCATCCATATCATCTTCATTATCATACTCATCATAATCATCGGCCTCATCATGACTTGATAGCTTCACTTGCACCAGCATGCGTAGGTGAAACTGTCTTTTGATTCCTTCAGCTTTTCTCTATTGACTTTTCTCCATTATTTTTGTTTCATTGTTTAGGTTAACAAGCAATTGAGCTTAAATTGACAGCAATTATTAAATATTTATACAAATCAAATTGATTAATAATTACAATGGGCAAAGAGTTGAATCATCAGCATCACACTCAATCTTTTTTATTGCAGCTTAAAGCAATCCTTCAATCTTTTCAATATCAAATGGTTGCCTCTTTAATTCATTTCAATTGTATATTAATAATAGAGTAAATACTCAAGTGAATATCAATTACACTTATACAATTGATTCAATAACAATTCAAATTAAATGCTTAAATTTATCCTTTTCATTTGATTACAAGAATATATTCAAGCAAACATTTTCCTCTTCGATTGAACATTGATTTTTTGAAGCCATTTTTTTCCACTTTTCACAAAAATTCTGGTTGAAGGTTGGAAAGCTTTTTAGAGTTTCAATTTTGCTTTGTTTTTCATTTCATTTCTGGTTGTTTGTCCCATGAAAGCACACCTTTTACATGGTTTATAAGGTTACAATCACAATTATAGACTGATTGTTACATTGTAATCATGTACAATTTGTTTTCAGGTTTGTTCCCATCAACATATTTTCATTTGTAGTTTCCAATTTGACATGATTATGGTAATAATTTGGGGTAAATATTTAACGAAAACACACCAAAATGTTGAACCGAATAATGCATTTTCATAATTTACAATGTTTCCATCAACATTCCAGCTGAAGGAATGTTGATTAATCACTTGGTAAGCAAACTTTCATTTATCAAAAGCTGAATATTCAAATCAAGTTTAACCCTTTTTCAATTGTCAACTACAATAATTACAGACTCAATCTCATGTTTTTCAAAAAAAAATCTGGTTTTGTTTTTTCATTAACTTCATCTTTTAAGGCTATGAAATGATTAATTTCAAAGGTTTCCAAATTGTTCAAATTAAACAGTTTAACATAATTTCAACTTGAATTGTTTATTTGTTGACTTGCCGTTTCAATTAAATACAAATTTTCAATTGAAAGGATCTTAATGGTTGGTAAGTCAATATAAATGAAAAGGGAAAAGAGTTACAATTGATTCTCATTGAATCCTTTTGTAACCAGTTGTTTGCTATAGCTCTTTATAATGGGTTAAAGGTTTGCTTTTTGCATTAAACTGTTGACTGAATCTTGAATTAACATTAAAATAAGATCTATTAATGTAACAATAAACAGAAATGATGTTAATTTTACCCAAAAGTTATCCTAATGAGACTGATGAGCTATTTTCCGATAAGGCAACATAATAATGAAAATTTTGCATATTGATGATTTTTGTTTTGTGAAAACATTTACAACAAGAGATGATTTCCCTTGTAATTATAATTTCAATTGAACACCATTGAATCTTTCCCTGTATTTGCTCATGTAATATTAATAGAAATGATTATCAAATGATTATCACTTGACTGTTCAAATGTAATACATTTACTTTGAAATTAAAAGTCAACATGATTTGAATGCTTGATCTGTCATTGAAATGTATTTATTTCAGGTTTACGAAAGCAATATTTACTTGATTATTGACTTGAAGATTATTAAATTGTAAGATGGAAATGATTTCAAGATTAATTCAATAAATTAAATTCAGTTGAACAATAAAAATGTTCAAATGTTTGGTTGGTTTTTTATACGAAAGATGTCATTACATTAAATCTATTTAAGACGTTGATAGATGGGGTTGGTTAAGTTGATTATTAAGCAAAAACTGGACAGTTTTAATTTCTTTTGTTTACTGTTGATTATTTCAAGTAATTATATGTTAAATAATGTGTTTTTTATGAAAAATATTTTCATTTTATCGTTGGTTTAGTTGATGACTTGACTCTCTACATTTGAAGAGGCAAAAATTTACATTGACGTGACCTGAAGACATTGTCAAGTTGATTCAAGATGTCTTCTTAATATTTACTCTTTATGTAACACAAGCAACACCTTTACTTTTGTTGACATAAAATAAACGGTTTGTTCGAAATGTTAACTCTGGATCAAATTTATTATCAACAAGAATCTCATCGTCAACAACATCATCGAAATATGATCAACATTCATGATAATCAATAGCAACATGTAAAGCAGAAGAAGAAGAAGCCCGCCACTTTGTTAAGCTGTTCATTTTGTCACCTTTTGGATGGTTAGATAGAGCCTCAAGGCTGTCTGTGCTTTTGTTAAACCTTGAATTGTTTGGATGGAATTGTTTTTTTATATAACTTGATAAGTGTCTTAATTTATTTATTTGTTTGTGACAATCTCATTTTTTTACTGAAAGAGTTAACGACAAAATGTTAAACACGAAACAGACTCTATGGATATTGAGCGCAAAATATTGTTTGCTCAGGCAAGTTAACTGTAAAAGAAAAGGCTTTGAACCATGGAAGGAAAATGCATGCTGTTTCAAGTGTTATAATACTAACAGTTAACAATTTGTTGTACAACTTTTCTGCAGAACCAACCGACGGGAAAATTCAAAACTTGATGAAAGATAAAAGCAAAATGGTTCAACTGATGATAAAAAAAGGAATCTAATTGGTGAATAAAAAGTGTTACTAGACTACCAGGTTTCTCGGGTTACGTTGGATTTAATCATAAACAATGTTGGAGTAAGTAGAAACTGATATAAAATGAGGTGAAAATAATTGAACGATAATCATATTGGATTGCTATAAAATGATTAATCGTCAAGTTGGCTTCACTGAATCTGTCAATATTATCAAAATTTAAAGATTTTAATGTTCATTTTTCTCTTTATTACTCTATATTCATTTCATCATTAGGCTGGTATCATTTTTTGGGCTTAAGGAATACAAACGAGCAGACATTATTCAGCTAATGTTACCCTGGCTTATTGTTATTATTGATTGATTGTTGGCTGTTAAGATTTATATATTTGCTGCAAACATGAAAATGGGATAACATGGCAAAAATTGTATAAAAGTGCCTTAAGCGGAAAGATGAATCTCAACTGAAAGAAGCTAAAGAAACCAAATAAAGGAATGGATTTTTTTTCTTAACCAAGTAAAAAGGCGATGAAAAACAATAATGATAATGATATTATATACATGATATCATATAGACTACCATATTGGATGAAAACCTTCAAAAGAAGTGTAAATGTATCAACTAATATTTTGTTGACAGAATCAAATTATATAATCTGGTTACAATGTAAATACAATAGTAATTCTTGAAGTACCTAAAATATTATAACCCAATCAATATTACATTATCAGTTAAACTTGTTTCACTTTTATTGTTGAAACTAGTCAACCAGAATGAGAAACAATTCAATCCAATTCCAAACTCTTTGGAAGATTAAATTGTTAAGATTTGTGAATCTGAAAAATGACCATCAAGAGTAGTTTAGTTCAAAAAATTTGACCAATCCTTAAAGATAGGGAACAAAATCTTGCCAATAAACAATTTATCAGGAATAGAGTCTGAACAAGAATCTGTCATTTAGAAGTGAATGGCAATTTTAATCATTGGCATCGAAATTATTAATGTAATTAAGATGAATTTTGGATGATCATTAAAAGGGTAAATGTAATTGTCAAGCCTAAATAAATTAACAAGACTCAATAGGTAACATTGTCGATACTTGATGAAAATAGGAAGGAAGTTTTCAGGTAAAAAAAATACAATTCTGTAGGTTGCTGTATTGAGAAAGCTTTCATTGTAAAGTTAATTAGTTGATCCCAGCTGAAGTAACAATAGTCACCTTATTAAGCTAAATATCCTTATAAAGGATGTTTTTTTAAAGTGATCAGCTTAACTATTAATTCAACTTAATAGCAAACCAAGAAAATCTCCAAGATTAACAGAGATGATAACAATTGGTGTAACAACAGTTGGTACAAATCTTTTTATTGTTCAATGTTAACCCAAATTGTTTCATTTCAATGTGTGTTGGAAAGGTTAATTTGAATGTGTTCAGATTAAATTGTTGATATACTTACGAAAAGCTCTTTTTGTAACATAATTAATTGTTGCTGTTGTTGTATTAACATTTGTTGCTGTTGTAAGGTTTGTTCAACAACTGGACTAACAGCAAGTTCAACTTGATGAGTAACCGTTCTAGGTATTGCTAATTGAGCTGGAGGCAAAGATTGAGCTAAAAGCTGAAGGTTTCCTGGTGTAACCAGAATTGAGCTTTCATTTAATGTTGTTGCATCAGGTTTAGAGGTTAAAACATTTGAACCAATATCAGTTGAAAGGTTAGATTTAGATGGCAATTTATTGGTACTAGTTGATGATGTTGCACTTGAAGTTGTACTTGAAATTGCACTAGTTACTGTTGTAGTAGTTGATGAAGGTGCTGTTGATGAAGATGAGGATAATAATGATGTTTGTAGTGATTTAATCAAATTTGCCGTTTCTGAAGCTGATGTTGATGGGCGAGATGAAGTAGTTGTGGTTGCGGCTGTTGAAGCCAATGTTGAATAAGATAATGGTTCATGACCAATAACTGATAATGAACCCGATCTACTGCGACTTTCAATGGATCCATTTGCTGATGAAGATGAACCCAATTGTAGTCTTGAAAGTGAACTTCGTCGATTTGAATGTTGCTGTTGTACTTTTGATCTATCATCTGTTGGTGAAACAGTGCTCAAAGCTTCCATTTGTTTATTGAAATCAGCCAACATTCCCGAAATGGTTCCAGATGTAACTCGATGTAAACCATTTCCATACTAAATTAAAAATCAAAGGACAATTAGTTAAAGCCTTTCAATCAAAAAAGTGTTCAATCTTTAAGAATCTCAATCTTTTCATTACTGAAAATCCTCTTCCAAGAATCAACTAAGCCAGTAAAGATTAGCTAAAATTGCCAGATTAATAGTTTTGATGGATTGAAATATTTCATCCGAGATGAAGAGCCGTAATTGAAAATGGATAAAACTCTCATTAAAGATTCCATTTGATTTCTGTCAATAATCAACAATCAATGTTGTTATGGTAATTGTAACAATGAATATTGATTATTGAATTTGTAACGAGAAATAAAATTGCAGCAAAAGCAATAAGCAAATGTAAGCATTTCAAAATAATGATTGAACAAACAAAGACATTTACAAATTTTAATGATTAACTTATAAACTTTTTCCAAATCAACTTTAATTTTATAAATAGTCTAATAATGTTCATCATTTTGCCTGGTTTTATTGACAGGGAAAAATGGCAACATTTGACTTGATAACCTGAATAACAGTTGACTTAAAATATTGATTAATTTAGTTTTCTTAGTTTCTTTCCTTCCAACTGATCTTTTTCATCTTCTTTGTCCTCATATTTCTCCTCCTTCCCAGTTATCATGAGTTGCTGAAAAGCAGGATAAAAAATCAGTCAAACATGCAATTTTTATTCTATTTTCATTTGCCATATTTGAACATCTAACCAGTCCAGAATTGGATTGATACAGATAAAGCAAGCTGACAAACTGACAAAGGTTGAAACATTGATCCAGTTAACTGAAAGACTCCTCTTTATGTGCCTTTCATTAGAGCAAGTAACAAGAAGATGAAGATGACTTGAGGATGAAAAAAAAGATGAAATGAAACAAAGAATGAAATCTTTGAGTTGAAATTTTGAAACCACAAAATGCTACACAAATAATGGCAACTTTCAATCTTGAAAAATCAATGTCTTTTAACTGCAAACTTGACCTCAAGATAATTGTGATAAACTATTTTTTAGATTATTTGAGAACTCATTTCAGGCCTTTAATCATCTGATGCTACCAGAATTGGGTTTTACCAGAAAAATTGGGTTCCCATTTTGCCTTATCACATTAGTGTTATTGAATTAAAACAAGACTTTGGGTTGAATTGTCTTGGAAGTAAATTTTCAAGTTGACATTTGTGATTGTTATTTGAAAGGTTAGTCTTGATTTACTTACTTCGTCGTTTAATTTAACTAAATTTGTATTGTTAACTGATGCCAATGATTGTTGATGTTGTTGCATACTTCGCTGTTCAGCTTGTTCAATGGAGGGTGAAACATCTTGAATGGGTGACAATTCTGAAACAGGAGACCAACAGTCACCGATCTCCATTCGTTTCATTTGTTGAGCATGAATTTGCTGTTGAGAGTAACTATTATTATCATTATTAACAGAGCTATTTATGTTACTATGACTATCATTATTATTATTACTATCATTACTATTGATACTATTGCCTCTATTAATCAAATGATGATTAGTTAACTCAAGTGAACCCATTGAGTTAATGTTAGATCCATAAGCTAATGAATTGCCTTGGGTTAGGAGGTTCATTGAGCTTTTAGGTTTGTTGCTTGATGAGTTTGATGTTGAAAGATTTGTTGAACTTGAAACTGGTATACAATTAATAGATTGATTAGGATGATTAACATGTTGCTGGGATTGGGTTTGATGTTGAGAGTGTTGTTGTTGTTGCTGATGTTGTTGCTGTTGAAGATGATGTTGGTTTGAGACAATTGATGTTGCTGGTGATGATGAAGACACTAAACTGGATGTTGAACCAGTTGATACAGATGATGAAGATAATTGATCTCTAACACTTTGTAAAGGTACTGTTCGAGGTATTAATCCAGTTAATGTTGGTGAATTAGTATCACTTGGTTTACCTTGTGATTTAGGTCCAACTAGACTGCGATTAACATTGCTTATCGATGGATTATTGGTAGACTGAAAAGGTTGGTTAAAACGGTTTACATCACTAAAATTTCCTTCAATAGACTGTTCAGTTTGATATGTTGATCCTGTTGGTCCGGTTAAACTCTTGATGCCCATTGATGCCATTTGTTGTTGATTTACTTGATTACCATCTGAACCTTGATATTCACGAAAATCTCTAATTTAATCAGAAACAAGAAAACAGTAATTCGTTAATAATGTTTGGAAGGAAAAATTGAAATTTTGTGTGCATTCACTCAAAAGATTTATCCTCATTTTAAAATGCAATTCCCATGAAAAGTTAAACTTTAAAATTTGAAAACTTTTCGCCAATTTAATGCGATTAACCTGATTTTGAATTGAATTTGCTTGAAAAGAGAAAATTTTGATTCCTTTTCAGTTGTTAAGATTTGCTTATCTTTCAAGATGGCTCAAGCTTATTCATTCTTATAAAGGTGAATGTTGCCAATTTTCAGATTTTGTGGTAACTTATTGAGTTTGCTTTTGGTTCATGAGATTTAAAATTAATAATGGAAATCTTTTGATTGTAACTTTTAGAATCTATTGTTAACCATTTAACTGCATCTGTTTAACTTACCTTTTCATTTGGTTTTCATTTGGTCTCATGAAAGAATTGGAATCAAATTGATTGGATTGGTAAGAGTTGGTTGGTTGGTAAAGTTGAGGTTGGTTAAATTGTTGCTGTTGGTTAGTTAACTGTTGGTGAATTGGTTGTTGCTGTTGCTGGGGATGTTGGTGTTGTTGCTGTTGTTGGTATTGAAGGTTTGTAGTTTTGAGTTGATTTTGTGCCATTATATCAACCTGGTTTGGTAATTGTCTGAATGAGGTTCCAGTTGGAGTGATTGTTGTTGATGAAGAAGCTTGTATTATTGGATTTTGTGAACCAGAAGTTGACTGTAAATTGGGTTCCACATTTTCCTGGTTAAAAAGGGAAGCTGGATCTAGAAAGGGTTTAGGTGCCATTCCTGGGCCTTGTTGATGAGTTAATTGTTGTAATTGTTGTTGAGGTTGAGTTTCCAGTTGTGGTTCTCTTGTTAATTGTAATGAACCCAATGGTTGAAGTGGCCCTTTCTGTGACATTTGAGGTAACTGGCTTTGTGAATGGGAAAACTGATCTGGTTCACGGGGAAATGCCTGTTGGTTGCTATTTGGTGCATTCTGTTGTTGTTTATGTTGCATTGATTGTTGTCCCTGTAATTGTGTATTTGGTAAAATATGTTGATGAGTTGACTGCTGATTAAATTAAGAAAAGACAGATTAAAGGTTTGTTCAGTTCAGTCAAAATGTTCATCTTACCTGTTGTTGCTGTTTTGGGAAACCAGAGTTGAATTGCTGTTGATTACCAAATTGATCATTTAGTCGTTGGTTAAATTGATTTAGATTATTATTTATATTGTTACTGTTGGTTGTGTTATTGGTTTCATTATTATTTGGATCATTTCTGAAACAATTTGATCCTGAATCTTGGTAAATGTTATTCCCATCCATTGAGCTAAGATTGGTTTGATAATTATTTCCCTGGTAAATGGAGAGACAAATGAAGGATTGATAAATAATTAAAAGGTTACAATTTGATCAACTTTTAAATTAAATTTCATATAAAAAACTCTGTCATTTAAAGAACCAGTTAATTGACTGATTGAATAAAATGTAAGAAGAGCTAAAAATAAGCCAATTTTATGCCCACTGATTAACTTAACACATCAAAGATAATCATCTTGATTGACATTATTAATTTGTGCCATTAACAGTAGACAATATTAATGGTTCGTGTTTAATTTTTTTCTGGTTAATCATTAATTAAAAGGTTTCTTACCTGAATCAATGTATGGTTTGAGTGAAGCTCATCAGCTTTTAAAGATGAACCATAAGGATCAGTAATTTGCTCATCTAATCTTTCATTAGGCATATTATCAAACATGATTGAACCCTCTGAGTTCAAGACTTGTTGGTTATTGATGTTATTATTATTGAAAAGGTTATTATTGTTGAAACGATTATTGTCACCAATTGAATGATTTGGTTGTTGAGATTGGGTTTGATTCATCTTGGGTTGTGAGAAATCCTGAAACAAATGAAACAAAATTATCATAATGTTGAACATGATTAAAATGGCGATTGAATGATCAATTTTAATTTATAAATAGAGTCAAGTATTAACATAAATTGAGTCAACAAATACTTTTCTAGACAATGTTTTCATTTGCAAATGTAATATAACTTGTATATTAACATAAGTATTTCAATTTTGTGGAGTAAATTTTTGCTCCTTTTCTTGGATCAATTGAAAAGAGCATCAATTGAAACCCAAAAAATACCAGATTTTCAGAAACTACTAATATTATTATGATCAATATTAATTTTGTTTAATATTAATACTCGGCAAATAATGAATTATATCAAACAATTTTGTCTCCATCATTATTACACCTTACTTTTACCATAATCAAAGGCATTCAAGGTTTTTAATACTTCAATTTACTCCAAAGGAATCTCAAGGTTTCCATCATAATAACAATAATAAAGATGATGATCCCAATGATGATAATGATGATGATAATGTTAGTAATGTTAGCAGCCTTACTACCTTTTCATCTCATTAACACTTGACTTGGAATTGAGCACAAAGCATTATTAAATTGGTAAAGTCTACGAGAAAAAATATCTAATTTAATCAGACCAGTCAATTGAGCAGTTTAACTTGACTCCTTTTTTAACCATATTAAGTGGTAACGAAACCTCAAATTGTCAACATTAAAATTCAAATCAAGTTTAATTTTTTCATAGCTTTTTGCAAATTGTATCAAAAGATATCAACTTTGACTCCAATGAGGCTTAAAATCAATTTGAAACTCGCTTCTAAACATTTGTAATTTACTTGATCATCAACGGTCTAATGGTTTAATTGACTTGGGATTTATTAAGATTATTGTATTAATTACCTGCAAATTTTGGTTATTAAATGAGAATCCATTTTCTTGGGTCAATTGGGATTGTTGCATTAACTGTTGTTGGTTTCCTTGATTTGGAGGGTTCTGTTGTAATTGTTGAGGTTGATGATGTTGTTGGAGGTGAGGTTGATTCATGCCTGTAAATGATTGCTGTTGTTGCCCTTGAGGTATTTGAGGTTGTTGCCGGCCTAGTTGCTGTTGCTGTTGCTGTTGTTGTTGCTGGTAATTTATATTTTGATCTTGATTGGCTTGATTTCGCATTAATGGCAGTTGATTTTGTATCAATCCCTGTTGTGTTTGCTGTGAGCTTATCATTGAATTATCGGATGGCTGTTGTTGATTCGGGAGGTTTTCATTTGAAAGTGGAGGCTGAGGTTGAGACTGTTGTTGTTGCTGTTGTTGTGGATATTGCTGTTGCTGTTGAAAATAATCTTGTTGTTGTTGGTTTGATTTCATTTGATCCAAGTCAGGTCCATTTTGGTATTGCAAGCCTTGCTGTTGTTGATGATTTACAGAATGATTTTGCTGACTCGGTAAATTTTGTTGGCTTTGATAAGGTTGTTGTTGGTGCATTTGATGATGGGATTGTTGATGTTGCTGTTGCTGTTGATTTTGAGATTGAGATGAACTTGTTATCGGTCTAATTTGTTGATTAATTGACTGGGATTGGCTTGGTTGTTGTGGGACTTGGTGTCTATGCTGAGGCTGTTTTTGTTGTTGTTGAAAATGATTCAACTCAAAATTTGGATCTGATGAATGTTGTGGTTGCTGCTGTTGCTGAGGTTGTGGCTGTGAAATCGATTGATTTATGCCTGGAACTCTTTGACCTGAGGTCATTTGATTTACTCCTCCTTTCTGTTGATATCCACTTTCAATTCCTCCCTGAATACGTTGTGGTTGCTGTTGTGGCTGAGATTGAGTTGGTCTATGAGATCCTTGTTGACTAGTTGAAGTCTGAGAAGGCTTTGGACTTGGCATTGTTGATGGAGCTCCTTCTGAATTAAAATAGAAATAAATTTATTTAATTAATTATTCAGCATACAAATCAAATTTGATATCGAGTAGTTTTTAATGGAGTGTCTAAAAAATATCAAAATTATAACAAATGCGTATGAAGTTAAAATAAATGTTATGGCGCAAATTTATTTTACGTATTGATTATAATTTTAAAAGTAAAATTTACTTATTAAAATAATTTCTGCTTATTATTTCGATTGCGAATGTAATGCAAAAATGAAAGATATTTAATGCATTTTTTTCACCCAAAAAGGTAAAGAAATTGTCGGAAAATGAATAATAATCATATGCAACGGAAATTCACATTCAAATTTTGTTTGTTTACCATAATACATTGATTTTATATTCATATTATTACCGTTATTGTAATTTTATCTACTTCATGCTAAGAGTAATGTTTGATTCTTGGTTTAAAAACTATTATGCATTCTGAATGTAAAGGGGTTAGATTTAAGATGGAAAGGGCTGAGTTGAAATGTACCAAGAAAAGGAAAGAAATGGTAAAATAAATAAAGGAATAAGAAATGAGAACGGAAATTATTTGAATTGATGATTAGTTGATGGTGACAGAGGAAAAGATAGCGAGTAAATTTGGGTTTGAATGGCAAATAATTATATTGATAGTTACTTTCAAATTCTTGAGCTTTCATCATCACAGACTGAATCATTGCTTTCTCTTCTTCTGTTAACCCACTCATGTCAACATCGGGTACCGCTGGTGGAGCAGCTATTGATGAAGGTGGATGATGATGATGTGGCGATGGACCGAGTGAAGTTGATGAGGGTGAAGGTGAAGGTCGAAGAGGATCAAAAAGGCTGCTTACACCAGAAACTGAACTACCCGGTGTTTTGGGTCCACCGAAAATTCCTAGACTGGGTAAACCTGGTCCACCTCCGATGCCACTTCCAGAGGTTCCACCAAATCCTCCAATACCTGGCCTTGAAGGTCCTCCGGGACTTGGAGTTGGTCTAGGATTTGTAAGAGATGAGAGGCTAAAATTTGGCAATCCAAGGCCGGTGGATCCTCCAGTCCCAAGAGTTGGACCGCTTCCTCCTCCGGTAACATTTGGTCCTCCACCAAATCCAGATCCGGGTCGATTAAAGGAGCCAGCGAAGGGACCTGAAGAGGATCCAGTTGATCCTCCAGGTCCTGAGGATCCAGGTGGACCGGTGGTTCCATCCTCAGTCCCAATAATACGATTGAGAAGACCGAACAGTTTGACTGATTTACTTTAAACTTTTATTCCAAAAAATATATGGATAGATTTTTATCCAATTGAAGTGGTTTTTTTAAGAAATCAATTGTCCATTGATTATGCTAATTTACTAATGATAATTGGAAACACACACACACATTTTTATAATATATATTGGATGAAATCACACAATTGAAATACACAATAACAATACACACATTGAAGTGCAGAAGGAAAAAAAGAGAAAGACTTTTGTTGTTGATAATTTTAGAAGTGCACACAGTAAAATATGGAATGATAATGAATTTGAGATTGAATTTTTGGGTTATCAGTTGGTTAATATGTGAGTTAGTTATCGACTAATTGCAATTTTGGTTAGTTAAACCAGAAGAAGGAAAATGAGAGCGTATATCCTTTTATAGCACTATGGTGATCACAGAAAAATGAAGACAACAAAAGAAGATATTTTGATTGTGAAGAAGCAAACAATTGCGATGAAAGATGATTCCAAAATTTAACTTGTGTAACGTTATTTCTTCACTGGATATACAAAGGCACTAAATTAAAATAAGCAATAATTACAATTATATTGAATATAATTAGTATGAGAAATTAAAGAAGAAGAGAGAAAAAACGAAAACGTAAATTGCATTGTTGTGCGAGTGTTGATGTTTCTTGTTGCTGGCTTAGGGTTGTTTTCATTGTAAAATGTTTAACAAAATTAAATACATTTAAATTAATATTTTTTTACTCTCAGTAAAATAATAATTTATCGTATAAAGGTGACCAAGATTAAACTTAAAGTTGAGAAAGGCAATCAATTAAGGTTATACAAGAATCGGAGGAAAACAATAGATGATAACGGTTTTACATGGTGTTGATGTTGTTGTCTTGCTGTTGACGGTTGACTAGTAAAGCTGATTTTTATCCAATGATTTCTTGATTTTGTGAACTCTTTTTTTAAACAGTGTTTAGTAAATTGTTGTGGCACAAAAATAAATACACCAAATAGATCAATGAAATTAACCCAAAATGTAAAATGGTTATGACAAAACAAAGGAATAGATGTTGATGGCGTTCAATAACCAGAAATGATGATGTCAACTTGGATCGGTCTCAACTCTATAACTGCCTTTATGGTCACGTTGGATGTCAATTAATGGGAATTAAATGATAATTGTTGATAAAGTTTAACCCATGATTACTTTAAATACATATTATCCAACAGTCAACACAAAAAATTTAATTTTACGGTGAAACAAGATTAATTCACAAATATTATAAAGGTTTGTTTGATTAGTTGCTATTTTCCTATTTCTCTCACTTGTTTCTTCAATTCATTTCAAAGGATATCTCTTATTTTTTTTTCGCTTTTCCTAAATCTTGGTTGTTATTATTTCTTTCTATTATAAATACTGAATCTTTTGAGATACTCAGTTTCTTTCTCTCGCCCTTTCCATGATCATCATCATCATCTTCTATCATCAGATTATCATCATGAAAATCATCTTACAACACAAAAGTGGAAACAAAAATAAAATATTCTCAAATGAATGAACAGACAGGCGCTTCAATCGACTCTGGTTTACCCTCAGCTTTTACACATTGCATTCAATGGGTTTCCCATATTACATGTGATCTTTTATCCAGTTTAGCTTCAGCGAAGCCTATTTTTTATATATTTTAGCCTCTCTCCTAAGATTCTGGTTAACATTGATAACAACATTGAGAATGCGCTTGTACAAATTCACCTAATCATAATACTAATGGTGAGAATAAGTTGAATACCGTTAATGGAGATTGAAATGGAAATGAGTTAGTCCAACAATAATGGGGTAAGACACAGTTTTAACCCAACAACCCTGAATGGAGTAGCCATCAGTTCATCTTTTTGTAACTTATTATTAAACAGTTACATTAATATTATTCAATTATGTTTATTGTATTAGTTGAGACTCTCATTTAATTGTTACCATGGTAAAAATGAGATAGTTGAAAGTTAACAATGATCATAATTGTCCAGCTTTTCAGTGTTAGCCTTTTGCTTTTGTATACAGAAGGTTAGATTCCTTTTGCTATAGTAAAACAAAATTGATTGATTCTTACAATTGTAATCTATTTATCTTATTAACCAGTTTTTTCATAATTGGAAACATTTGAATACACATTAAATAAATTTCATTCCTTCAACTGATGGGAGTTAGTCTGGGAATCTATCTGGGATTGAAATTATGGAAATTAGGAATGTATGCAATCAAAAGCATTAAATTTGTATTTTTATCAAAATTCAAATTTTATTTGATATAATTTCCAGTTTAGTTTACAGAACAGAATTAATTTGATAATATTTTAAAGAAATTGCTTTTTATTTTGCTTTTTTAATCAATATCTATTTGAATATGGCGCATTTCAAGTTGCTGTGTCAGTGAATCTAAATAAACCGCTCTTTTTTTGTTAAAGATTTTACTTCTTGTACAAATACCGGCTAAGCTGAGGTTTTAGCTTATTTAGTTTAATTAGTGAGCAGTATTTTCAACTAATTACAGTCATTTGTGCTATAATTTAGCTCAATTACAAGTTTAATTTGTCCAATATAAAGTATAAAGAGAAAGAGAATCATTCAAGTTGCCTTAGTTACCAATTTTCGGCTAAAGCTGTTAAACTTGTGACTGGAACGTTCAACTCCAGCATCTCTTCTTTTGTTTTGATTATATTTTCTCAAGTGAATCACAACTGATTTCTATTGTTGTTCATTTCAAATTATCAATCTCGTTTCTGTATTATTGAATCTATTTGGAAAGTGTCAAGATGGACGATGCCTTGGAATATAATGATATTTATAAAGAAGACCGAGGAGCCATGGTAAGTCTTCTGCTATTTGCTTTTGTATATTTTGTTGCTTTCTTTACACTTTTACCTATTTTTTCTTTGTATCGTCTGATTTCAGAATATTGGTCGTATGAAGATTGTCAATCAGAGCATTATATTTAAAAGTCATAAGACTGGTAAAGTCGAGCATTTTCCTAAAGGTGATGTTAGTGAGATAGATTGGCAAAGGTTACCTTCCAACTATAGTTTGCGGGTTGTTCTGAACAACGGAAGCTTGTTCAGATTCATGGGTTTTCAAGAAAATGATTACGAGAAACTTAAAAAGTCAATTGATCAACATCTCGATTTAGACCTTAGCCCCAAAGAATTATGCCTTAAAGGCTGGAATTGGGGTACTGCTAACTTCAAAGGAACTGTCTTGTCTTTCGATATTGATGAAAAGTCGGGTATGTTACCGTGATATTTATTCATGTGTCTCAATTTTTTTTCATTATTAACTTGTTATTTTCTTTCTCTAACAGCATTTGAAATTCCATTGAATTATGTTTCACACTGTACTTCAACCAAAAACGAAGTCACTCTCGAATTTCATCAAAACGATGCAGCTGCTGTATCTCTTATGGAGCTTCGTTTTCATTTACCTTCTCAAGCTGATACTATGGATGACCGAGTTCAAGCTTTTACCGATGCAGTATTATCTAAGGCTAACATTATCCAAGCTACTGGTGATGCAATTGTTACCTTCACTGAACTGCAATGTCTCACTCCTCGTGGTCGTTACGACATCAAAATTTTTCCCACTTTCATTCAATTGCATGGTAAAACTTTTGACTACAAAATTCCTCTCACCACTGTTCTCAGACTCTTCCGCTTACCACACAAAGATGGTCGACAAATATTCTTTGTTTTCAGCTTGGATCCTCCAATCAAGCAAGGTCAAACTCGATATCACTTTTTGATCTTACTTTTTAATAAAGACGATGAAACAAGTGTTGAACTGAGTATGACAGATCGAGAACTAAAGGAAAAGTATGAAGGTAAACTTGAGAAAGATATGAGTGGCCCTACTTATGATGTCCTTGGACAGATAATGAAAGTTTTAGTTCAAAGAAAAATAACCAATCCTGGAATCACTGGCGTGGGTGCTAATAACCCAGCTATTGCTTGTTCTCACCGAGCCGGAGCTGGTCTTCTGTATCCTCTCGAAAGAGGTTTCATTTACATTCATAAACCTCCTGTTCATATCAGATTCGACGAAATTGCCTCCATCAACTTTGCTCGTTCCGGAGGGTCAACTAGATCTTTCGATTTTGAAGTTGAAACAAAATCAGGAGTTGTTCATACTTTTAGCTCTATTGAAAAGGAAGAATATTCAAAGTTATATGACTTTGTTACCAACAAAAAACTTCGTGTTAAAAATACTGCCACTGAACAAACTAAACAAACTGTTGAAGATGATCTTATTGATTCAGATGAAGAAGGAGAACCTGATGCGTACCTGGCTCGAGTTAAACATGAAGGAAAAGTGAGAGAAGAAGAAGGCGATTCAGACGAGTCGGATGAATCATTTAACCCTGAAGCAGATGGCAGTGGTAGTGAGGGTGATGTCGCAGAAGAATTTGATTCGAATGCATCTGAAAGTTCTTCCTCAGAAGGTGACTCAGATGCCTCGTCTGGTGCCGAAAGACGTAAAAAAGAAAAGAAGGCTGAAAAAGAGAAGAAAAAAGAGAAAGAAAAGGCTAAGAAGGCAAGTAAGAGCAAGTCCAAAGAGAAAAGGACCGAGAAGAAGAGCAAAAAAGATAAAGATTCAGATAGACCAAAGAAACCAATGACAGCGTACTTCTTGTGGCTTAATGAGAACCGTGAAAGGCTGAAGAAAGAGCATCCAGGCCTCAGTTTGACTGAATTAACCAAGAAAGCTGCTGAAATTTGGAGAACAAATGTCGGTGATAAATCTAAATGGGAAAAACAATCTCAAGAAGCGAAGAAAAAATATGAAGTTGACATGGCTGCGTACAAAGCAAGCGGAGGAGGAAGTGGTGCCGGCGAATCTTCCAAATCTAAGAGTAAACCTTCATCTAAAAGTAAATCCAGTAAACCAGATTCTGCTAAAAAGAAAAATGTTTCACCAGTTAAAAGTGGATCGTTCAAGTCTAAAGAGTATATTAGTGAAGATGATTCAAGTTCAGATGAAGATCGTAAGCCTAAAATCAGTAAAAAAGGAGGCTCTCCATCAGCAAGTGGAAGTGATGAAGAAATGAAAAGTCTGTCCAGCGGTTCTGCATCTGATTCGGATTAAGCTTATGAAATGTCCTGTGTTTCTTAATGTTCATATTTTTATATCAAGAATTGTTAAACCAACTCTGACTTACAACTTATTGACTCCCAAGGTATCATTAAATCTGTTGAAAAATTAAAAAACAATGATAACCATTCATTACTGAAAACCAAATCTTTTCATCATTTTCAAAGTAATAAATTTTAATAAGTCAAACTTATTAATTCTATTTGTGAAATCAAAACATTGTTTCTAATTGTATGTCGGCTCTTTCAAAATAATTACAATTATTCATTCGAAATAATAGAAATAAATCCGGATTTAGCTGCAATTTGAGTTAGAATAATAAAATCCTCTCGGGTTTTGTTTCTGCTGCAATGGAATCTCAAATTGCAGCTTATGTAATTAGGTTGATTTTTATATTATTTTTGCTAATTTAGTTGCATAAAAACTAAAAACTATGCATTATTTCCCCAATAATTTGACCAGTTTGAAATCAGAGTTATAATTACATATTCTAGTGTTTCCAACATTTAGAAATCATGTAAACAAACCTTTCTTTTATTAGTTTTTATCAAAAACAAAAAATAATCATAATGATCACCACAGAATTAATAATTTTGATTTGTAATTAAAACGACCAAAATTACTGGTTGAAAAGCGCGCGATGATACAGACCGGCTGTTTGTCGGTTGCTTTCATATTGAACAAATCTTGTGTTAAACAGTATCATTTGAATTATCATTGTGATTATGTTTTCATTAATTTGTTTGATTGTTTGTTTTTCATCTATTAGCAGGTGTTACGGAAGTAATGTAGATAAGGTGGATAATTTTTTCTCAAAGAGCAAACATACAAATAATTGGGCTGTCCTGGTTTGTTCTTCTCGGTATTGGTTCAATTATCGTCATGTTGCTAATGTTTTGTCAATTTATCGCAGTGTCAAAAGACTTGGTATCCCTGATAGCCGAATAATTTTAATGTTAGCTGATGACATGGCCTGTAATCCTCGCAATACGCGACCTGGAACTGTCTTCAACAACGCTCATCATCAATTAAATGTCTACGGAGATGATGTTGAAGTTGATTACCGTGGGTATGAAGTGACTGTTAAAAATTTTATCCGTCTATTGACAGGTCGAGTAGAAGATGGTACACCTAGATCAAAACAATTATTAACTGATGAATCAAGCAATATTCTGATCTACTTAACTGGACATGGAGGAGATGGTTTCCTGAAGTTTCAAGACTCTGAGGAAATTACTAGCGTTGAATTGGCTGATGCATTTGAACAAATGTGGCAAAAACAAAGATACAATGAGATTCTACTTATAACAGAAACCTGTCAAGCAGAGTCTATGGCACAGCAATTGTACTCTCCCAATATAATAGGAATTGGTAGCTCAAAAATTGGTGAAGATTCACTTTCTCATCATGGTGACCCTACAATTGGAGTTTATGTTATCGATCGTTACACTTATTATGCCCTGGAATTCCTCGAGACGGTTCATAGTAATAGTTCCAAAACACTATCATCTTTTCTCGAGGTTTGTCCTAAAAAATATTGCATCTCTACTGTAACTGTTCGTAAAGATCTTTTCCATCGTGACCCAGCTCAAGTACCACTGACTGATTTCTTCGGTAGTGTTCCAAAAGTGAATTTAATGCCAACTCCTAAAGATGAAGATCTAGTTACATGGTAAAGGTTTACTTTTACTCCACTTAAATTGTATATTTATTTAATCACTTAATGCAACATCAATATGGATTTCAAATATTTACCATGATTGTTGGTTCACTCCAGCTTCTATTATACTATTGGCCTTGATTAGACCAAAATTATTAATCTTGCAAACTTACATTAGCAACTCTTTTAATTGTGATATTTTTCTATTAATTTATACCAATCTATGATGTTAATAAACTTTAGCCTCGGAAATCCCTGTTTTTGGTCTTGAAATTGGTTTATATCAAACATAATCATTGATTTTATTGAATGAAATAAAAAATTTTTTGAAATGTTTCAGCATTTGACTCCGGATTATTTCGAAGGTGCAAGTATTTTGAAGTTTGAGTGTTTTATAGAGACAAAGTTAAATTTAGCTTAATCAACATTTATTTAAAGTGTGATAAAATCGAATTATAACATCAAATTGAATAGATTATTTGATTTTATTCAAGTTATTTTCTTCGTTGACTTATTAATCGATCAATTAACGTGAAATTAAAGTCAATCAGATTGATAGAAGATGAATTTTTCTCGCAAATTCAATTTGCTGATTATCAGTTTTTCTTCGATTAGAATATAAGAGTGTTTTGATCTTTTTGTTGTTTAAGTGAAAATGTAGTGATCAATTCACAAAGTGCAGTGATTAACTTATTTTTAGATGATGAAAAAAATCTCGAAGTTAAATAAACATAATTTACTGGGTACAAATGTTGGAGGGAAATTTTAAACAAAACAGTAAAAAATAAAGTCAAAATAAATTAATAGGATAAATCATAATTGAACATTTTCTGTTCATTAAGTAGAATCAAAAGGAATGAGAGGAGAAATGAAAATATAATATAATAAATGCAAGATGAAATTTTAAGCACAATTAATAACATTATTTGAATGAAAGATCATTAACTTCCACTGGAATTAGTTGTTGTTGTCAACAAGCTATCGGTTGGTTGAGGAGATATGGGAATGAATGATTCTTGACCACTGATGAGTGAGCTTTCATTTCGTGAAGATTTGTGTTGATTATAAAGATGACTTTGTTGATTTGTGGTTGACGTTGGATTCATTGCTGTTGGTGAATTATTTTGGTGGTAAAGGGCATGGGTTTTGTGATTTGTTGGCAATTGATCAAGACCCATAGAGAATTGTTGATAAATTACTTGGGCTGGTGAACTAATGTATCTATATTGGTTGGTAGAAGTGGCCGTTGGTGGTAAACAAGTAAATTTTTTATCAAAAAATTTATCGCTCTCATTGAATGGTGTTATTTTATTAGGTGTTATTGATGTGGACGTTTTCAGCATTATCTTTGATAATTGATTGTTTATGGCATCATTGGATAAATGTCGTAAAGATTGGTGAACAATTTGACTAGTGGATGGGTTGGTGGTTGACGAACTATGAATCCTTTTGGCCTCTTCTGACGAGATGGGTAAGTTTTGATTTTGAGAGAGAGTTTGGTGTAAATCATGATTACGATAAGAAACCTTGTTTTCTGGTCCAGAAAAATTTAATATATGGGCTCCATTATTTTCACCACCAACAGAACCACTGACATTACTGTGCGAGGAAAGATTTTTAATAGATGAACGATTAGCCTCATTCAATCCAATTAATGGATTACTTGATGAAGAATTATCTTGGAAGTATGAAGCATGATGAGATGATGGTGTTTCTCTTTGTACAGAATAACCTGCTGTTCTCATAAGTAATTGTTTTTCCAACGTTTGATGTTGATTACATGAAGGTGGTGATAAAGATGATGGCGGTGATTGATGATTAGATCGAGAATTTTCTTGGCTAGACAGATTGACTTGATAATTTGAAAGCAAATTTTCAACTGAGTTATTATTGTAAATTGTCACTGGCCGATTTTGTTGATCAACAACCATTGAATAACATTCATTTGCCGATGATGGAAATTGTGGATAAAAATTCATTTTGCTTTCAACAATTGGATGGTCGGTGATAATTGGTGGATTGGCTGTGTTTCGATTTTGAGTCGCAATGTTAAGTGAGGGGGAATCACGATTTTCAAAAGTTACTGGTGAATTTGATTGTTTTAAAAGCATTGTTTGTTCTTCCTGATTGATGGCAGGGTATTGATGATATTGATCAGATGTTTGTTGACTTTCATAATTTAATTCACTCTTTGGAACTGATGATTCTCGGTCACATTTTGAGGCTTTGGTTAATTTTGCCTCTTTGATTTCTGTATGACTAGCTCTATCTGGTCCTTTAGATGAGTTTGATGGTTGTTGATATAAAGTTTCTTTAGGTCGAAAATCATCATCCTCTCCATTACCAAATGAATCTCGACGTTTCAATGCCAAGTTCCTTGCATGTCTAGCATGAGCTTTAAGTTCTTTCGGATAAGGTGTGGGATTACGAACTAGTTTACTTATAAATTGGTCATCTTTCTCATCAATTTCTCCACTAGCAGAGTAAAATTTAATTCTGCTCTCCGAGTTGTACATTTTTGATTCACCTTTAGATGATGATGAAGGGTCATCATGATCACTCAAATAAGCTTCATCAGGATTAAAAGGCGCTTGTTGAGGAAGAAGAAAACAAGTCAACACCTTTTTACCGGTAATTTCATCGGTATCAGTTTGCAATTTCATAATCGGCTTTTGTTGATTATCTGACAGCCAAAGTGTACGTAAGTTGGTAATATTAGCAAAACTGTAAGGCAAAAATTTAAGCTGGTTGTTCCGCAGGTTTAATACTTTTAGATTACTTAAACGACCAATATCATCAGGAAGTTCTGATAGATCATTGCTAGCAACTGAAAGTAGTCTTAATTTACTGCAACTGCAAATGGTATCTGGTAGTGTTTTGAATTTATTGCAGTCCATTATAAGACTGTGCAAATTCCGCAAGAAACCAATATTCTTGGGAAGGGATTGAATATAATTATTACTCATCACAAATTCTTGAAGAGAAGAAAGTCCTCCAATAGATTGCGGTAAACTGGTCAATTTATTATCGTCTAATCTTAGGTAAGTAAGATATTTCAAGCTACCCAAAGTCTCAGGAAGTTCAACAATTTTGTTACCTGAAAGTAGCAGGTCAGTCAATTTATGACATGCAGCAATGTTGGAGGCTACAGCAACTATCCGATTTTCGCTGGCGTCTAAATAAGTCAAGTTCGTTAAATTTCCAAGTGTCTCGGGCAGAGATGAAATACGATTACCATCGATCCAGAGTTCTTGAAGATTAGTCAGATTGCACAACACCTCGGGAAATTCAGCTAATTCATTTTGACCAATATCCAATCTTTCCAAATTGATTAAGCGTTGAAACGATTTAGGTAAAATTTTTATATGATTTTCTCTCAATTCAACAATCCGTAAACGTGATAACCTTCCAAAATTGGCCGGCAAGTATTCCAAAAATGTATCATTCAGATAAAGCTCTTGAAGATTGATTAACTGCGTTAACGAGTCAGGAACTTTACCCAATGGATTAACACTGCAATCTAGAACAATAAGGCACTTGCAACACTTGATACCATCTGGAATAACTAATAGACTGTTTCGACTTAAGTTGAGATATTCTAAATAAACCAAAGAGGATATGGCGTTTGGTAACGTTTCAATCTCGTTGTCAGAAATTGATAATTTTTTTAAACCAGTGCAATGGAAAACAACTCTGGGTAAATCACGGATAGAATTAACATCGAGTAACAGTTCTTCCAAAGTTCTTTCAAGTGAAAACACTTCGTCCGGCACTTCTTTAAGATTGCAATGGCTAAAATCTAAATGTTTACAGTCTTTGAAGCCATACTCTTCTCCTAATGACGAGAAGCAAGGCTTCAAACAGTAAACAAAACAGGGTCTTAAACATGAGCAATGTTTCCAATCTTTCCAAGAGGTCATGTTTTCAGGTAAACAAGCAAATAAATAGAGATCTTTAAATAGTGGCCAATTTAAATCCAAATAACAGCATAATGTGCACAGAGTCAGGAATCATATAAAATATAAAAAGGTGTAAATGTAACAACAATTACCAATGAAAACTATATTTCAAATCAACAACCAATAGTTCACAAAAATAGGTAACCATCCAGCCATCATTAATATTATTGAATAATCCAACTAGAGTTTAGAGAGAAAAAACAAAAGACAATTAATTTAAACAAGCAATAAAATTACCATCAGTTCTATAATAAATCTAAAATGAGCTTGAGTTAAAAGCCATTTGACAGTTTTTTGACAGCTCAAAAAAAACTGTCTACAGTTGCAAGAAACCTTAAGCTTTAATTGATTATTTAAAATGGTACATACCTGTTAAGGAATCATTCAATAATTCAACCCGCCGAGATTCATTGTTAACAGATTCATTTACAATTTCAAACAAAACAGTTTATAACGATTCAATTTACCTACTGCAATATAGTTTTGAAGTCATACACAGATTTAAAAGGGAATGCTGTCAAGGCAACGTAGTGCGGAATTATTAAAATTTTAAAAGACAATTTTTGTTAAATTAAAAAACTAATAATAGATGTTTAGATCGGGTTAATTAATTGATAGGATATTTATTAGACAAATTAGGAGTTTAAAACAACCTAAATTGTTGATTAAATTTGAAAAACTAACTTAAAATATGACTGAATGTTGATTAGAAGAGCTATTCATACTCATTATTAGTTAAAATAGTCTTCTGGTTATCCTTACTCAGTCTCATTTTGAGAAGGCTTGACTGTATAAAGATTGAATCTTTGATCGATATTTGTATGTATGAAGAGCTTACTCTTGCAGTCACTTTTACCTTAGTTTGATTCAATTTTGAGAGTAATGGGATCGGTCTTATGTTTATTTTTTGTTTTTTGACCATTTAACTTTAATGCTGTCTGTCCACTTGTTCAAGTTACTGTTATTGTTGATAATTTAATATCAATTTAAATAAAAAGCCGGTCAAATGGTTCAAATTAAAGAGTATCGTGTGGTTCTTCCAATATCGGTTGAGGAATATAAAATTGGTCAATTGTATTCGGTGGCTGAGGCAAGTAAAAGTGAAACCGGAGGTGGAGAAGGAGTCGAAGTGGTTAAAAATGAACCCTTCACCAATCATCCTTTATTGGATGGTAAATACAGTGAAGGACAGTATACATTCAAAATTTATCATTTACAAAGCAAAGTTCCCGGTTTTGTGAAATTTCTTGCCCCCAAAGGATCCCTTGAAATTCATGAGGAAGCTTGGAATGCATATCCCTATTGTAAAACAATTATCACTAATCCTAATTATATGAAGGATGGTTTCCACATCACAATTGAGTCTTTACATCTTCCAGATAATGGTGAACAAGAAAATGTGCATCAACTTCCTCCCAATAAATTGAAAAACCGAGAAGTGCAAATCATCGATATCGCCAATGATCCAGTTAGTAGCAAAGTAAGTAATTTCTTCAAGTACATTTTCTCTTCGTTTATCACTTTACCTAATCTATAACTATTATTTCTTTACCATTTCCTCTCACCATATTTTTTTCGAGCTATACTTTTGCTATTTTATTATTTTAATGATAGGGTGTTGTAGCATGGCTACGCCTAACAGTCTCAATGTTGGTTTTAGGTTTTTGTGAATCGATTTTACTCTATCTACCATTTCATTTTAACTTTTGTTGCGAATAATTTTCTGTCTGATCATCTATCTAATTAGGAACAATGGTCAGCTAGCTTATAATTTAATACATGTTGAAATACATGATCAGGTCATTTAGTTTAGGGTATCCTATTACCATGCTATCGTTTTCATGTCTACATGCATTAAACTTCCAATTTTCCAGGACAATCTCACATTTTGTGATCGTTCACCCGAAAACAATTTGATAGTAAGGTTGCTCATTGTTTTTTTTTCATTCTCTTTTTATAAAGGATTACAAAGAAAGTGAAGATCCAACAAAATTTAAGTCAACCAAAACTGGACGAGGACCGTTAGCAAAAGATTGGATCGTAAGTATTTTGGAAATATGATTCCGTAATTAAATTTCACTAACGGTACGGTTCTTTTAATTTTACAGAAAAAATCTGATCCAGTAATGTGTTGTTATAAGCTTGTGACTGTTGAATTTAAATGGCGTGGTCTTCAAAATCGAATAGAATCATTTATACATCAGGTAAACAATTTATGGGCTAATGATTAGCATTCAATGTAAAATCCACTGTTTGCACTCAGAATGAATGAAGGAAAATGTTATCTACAAAATCTGTTCTCCAAATAACATCTTAATAAGATCAAAGCTTTACTCAATTTTTAGCGATTAATCAGTGTATATAAGTTACAATTCTTTCGGCTTACCTCATCTTTCTTTGTTATCTGACCTGTTTGGTCTTATTCATCATAAGTAGGATTTTGATGGAATCTAGTAAATATCTAGGTTGCAATATAAATGATTAAATAACTAATGTTCATGGAGCATTTCATTTTTTTCAGCTTTTTTGAGCAGATCGTCATTTCCTTCATTCATTTCAACCAAACAGTTTTTATTGTGTCACATTTATTGTGTTAATAACAAGTTTAGACAATAATGTGATAACATAAATTTAATTTATTGTTCCAATACATGTAACTTAATGGATGACAATAGTTAAATTTCAATATATATATCATGCAATCAAATTAGATTGTACTTTGATTGGTATCTTGATTTAACACTCTATTTTGTCTTTTTGATAAAATTACAGACAGAACGAAGGTTATTTTTAACCTTCCATCGACAGCTATTCTGTTGGATTGATAGGTGGTATGGTCTAACAATCGATGATATTCGAGCAATAGAAGAGGATACAAAAAGAGAGCTTAATGAGGTTTGTTGAATAATCTCATGTCAATTCATTAGCATTACGATTAATCTTAATATATTTTCCTCTATACGTTTACATGTTTTTTCAGCTTCGTCAACAAAACCAAATCAGAGGAAGAGGAGGTGATGAGTAAAAAATGGAGGGAACAAAACAAATCATCAAGTCAACCCTTGCTGGTATTCGTAGATTTGCGTTTTCAAAATGAAGTTCCTACTGAAATTTAAGTTAATTGAGCCTGGTATCGAGTCTTTTTCGCAAAAGTGAAAATATTTTGAATAAAAAAAGAGCAAATACATTATTTATAAATATTGGCTCTGGAATGATATTCATTTTGCTGGCGATGTGTTTGTGCAATTTTGTCTCATTTGACTAATCAATCTAGTTTAATTTATGTCTTTTCATCCTATTATCATTATGTGATGATTACCAATTGAGTAAATGTTGTTCCAAAATGATTAGTAAGTCTGTGATTAGAAGAAACAAGTATAATCTCGACAATTCATGATAGTTGACTTCATTTACATTGCATGTAACTCTGCTTGAAACACTCGAGTTAATATAGACTTATCAAAAGTGTGGGAATATTAAGTCATGTACGGCAACAATGAAAATCTCCAACAATAACTTAATTAGTTTCAATAATCTATCAGCTTTAACCTATTAAACTAATTCAGAGACCAGATGATTTCATGGTTTTCATTCCAATTATATTAATAAGTAGAAACCTTTAAACGAAAAACAAAATACTCTTAACTCTTAATCTTGTTAATCAAAAAAAGTTGGTTGTTATCAAATAAAACGATTTTGTCATTTTTGAATAACTATTTTATTGCTCAAAGCAATTAGAAAAAAAATCAATTCAATTACTACAACATAAACCAGAATTATATGTAATTTTCATTGATTTCTAAGAGCAGGTAAAAAGAGATATTGATAAGCAACACAATAAGGAAATGCAAAATAAAACTGCCCCAATCAGCTCCATAATAGAAAGTTAACCCTGAACAGGAGGCTGAAACTGAATTATTGTAATCATTAAATAAATACCAACGTAAGCGAACAATTGTAAACAAAATTAAAGCTGGAAGGAGAAAAGAGTAAGGTCGATGTTAATTTTGGCTTAAGGAGATAAAAATTATTGTTAAGCAATTATTATTGCAATGATAAAACAAGTCGATACATTAGTGTTGATTAGTTGGCAACCTTGAATCAATCAGATTAATTAGATTAGAAACAAGAAACGATCCATAATTTGCTATAACATTTCATTTTGAGTACATTCAATCACCTGATGTCTATAGGGATCGTTGAGAAATTTAATGGCAACCACATTACTGTTTACACCAAAGGAAATCAGCTGTAAGCAGTTTTGACAGTTAAAAGAAGTGATTTCTTAATTGTTGTAATCTCTGAGCTTTTTTATTCCTTCTAAAATGGATAAAGAGCTTGAACGTGAAGCTAAGCAAAATGCTGCTAAATTGGTATCAAGTAATCTTCAAAGAACTAACAATTTGGAGCAAATCAGACAGAGTAAAAAACTCCGACTTAACAAAGAGGTAAGCCTTTATATTTGATAAATTTAAGCTTTGATGTAGTCTTGCATCGAAAATTAAGAATAGATATTCAATAATTTTATGCTTTGATTACTGGATTTAGGCTGCTGGGGAAGCTATGTTGAGAACAGCGATGCAAACGCAGTTGGATGATGTTCGTAAGGGTTTGATTCATTTGCAAACATCATCTACACACGCCCATTCGATTCGTGGATTAATTAAAGAGATTGAACATGAGTTGGCTATTATTCCCAGTTTGGTGGAAAAGCTTAAAGGAGTTCGAGATGAGAGTATGAAGCATACACAATTAGCAGCAGCTAAAGAAAATCTTAAGCACATCTTTAATGTCCCAGAAAATGTATCCAAGACAAGATATTACATCTCGGAGGGTAAATTATTGTTAGCTCATCAATGTTTAACAGAATTGGAAAATTCCAGAGACGACTTGCTGTACGAAATACACAGACTATCATCAGCCAATTCACAGGATAAAAGTATGCTTAGAAATTATTTTTCTGAAGTTGAAAAATTATCGGAAGAATTGGGTAAACAACTTTGGTTGATTATAAGATTAACATTAAACTCTGTAATAAAAGAACCAGCTATCATTGTAACCGCATTGAGGATAATTGAAAGAGAGGAAAGATATGATGCAGCAGCCTTAAAAAGGAAAGAATCAACTGATTTCATGCCGCCAGGTAGGCCTAAACAATGGAGGAATATGGTCTTCAAAATTCTTGAGGAAGCTGTTAATGAGCGAATAGTTGGTACTCAAATTGATGAGCGAGCTCAAGATAAAATGTGGCTGGTGCGACACTTGGAGGTTGTTCGGCGACAGATTCTTCGTGATTTAAAGACTGTAAAACTTGCCGTTGTACCTTGTTTCCCTCCTGAGTACAACATTGTTAAACAAATGTTGAGTATTTATCACCGATGTATGAGCACTCATCTTCAGGAATTGGCTCTTCAATTGGAGGGAAATGAGTACGTTACTCTTTTGAATTGGATTCAAAAGTATGAAGGACCTGATTTGATGACCCATCCAGACCTCGATTTTGATCTGAAAGAAGAAGGATTACCTCCATTGTTACCTAAACAATTGGTTGATGAATTAACCAACAAGTATTTGCAAACTATTGAGCGTAATTATAAGGAATGGATGAACAACACAATTAATCGTGAATGGAAAGATTGGAGCAGTGCAAATCCACCAGAGACCGATGATGCTGGGCATTACCAGACGACAACGCCAGTTATTGTTTTCCAAATGATTGATCAACATGTAAATTGATTTATCATTGATTAATTGATTTATTTAGTAATTGATTTTTTTCCTTTTAATCCAGCTTCAAGTCGCTAAAACTGTGGATCAGAAGTTAACAACAAGAGTATTAATTTTAAGTCTAGATCACTTGGCAACTTTCGCCAAACAATATAAAGATGCCGTCCACAAGTATTGTGACTCTCATTTCGAGGATAGAGGACAATTCAACTCATTCACTCCTTACATGGTAATAACCAACATTTTTAACATGTAGCGCTTTTATTGATGCTTAAACATCTTTCGTTTTAGATTGCGGTTGCCAACAATTGTGTTAGTTTCGTTGATATTGCCTGGAAATTTCGTAAAAAGTATCCTTCTGTTACAAATGCTAGTTCCGATCAAGCATTCGAAAATGTTTTAAATTCATTTGAAAAATTAAGAGAAGACACGTAAGTTTATAAATTATACAAGTACTTGCTCAGTCGCATTTTGTTAAATTCACATTGGAAATTTTACAGAATCAAATTTTTACTTCATGAGCTATTTTTGGACTTGGACAAAGAATTGGTCAAAGTTGGAACTCGAGAATGGTTGGAAGGAAAGTTCAGTGTTATTGAAAATGTTTGCCTAACTCTAGAAGATTATGTCCGTGATTATAATCATCTCAAAGAAAGAAACTTTGATGCACTGAAAGTTGCTCTCGAAACCAAATTGGCGAAAAGTTACATTACGTCGATTTTGAAAAAGTAAGTACATCTGATAATTGAAGCTTAATATTATTAACGACCATTTCCACTAGGAAAATGACTTTTAAAGATCACACTCAAAGAGAGGCATTTGGACGAAAGTTTATAAAAGAAGGCGAAGTTCTCAAAATTGCGATTGGTAAATTATCAAATTACAACACACTAAAATTAGAACAAAAGGTTGGTAGATTCCGATTCACGTTTCTTTCAACTCTTTCAAATCCTGCTTGATTTTCAATGGTTTCTCATTATTTCCTAGAAAACATCACCTTTCGATTCACTTCCTCTTTTGGCCGAATTTTTGAGACTAAAAGATTTGTCAATGCTATTTCTAGAAGTTTCGGTAAGAGGAAAATATTACATGTGTGCTAGAAGCTTCTGTTACTGAATTCAACCTTTTCTTGAATAGGGCCTGATAAAAAAATATCCTGATATTTCAGCTGATCATTTGACAGCACTACTTAATCTTCGAGAAGATATGACCAAAACAAATGTCCGCAAAGTAAGTGTATTGGTAGCAAATTTGGTGAAAAGATTGTTTAATTGCGATTTTCTTCTTATTTACAGCAAGTTACAGATATGATGTCCGAACTACCACAGTCGACAACAGCAGCCAAAACTGTTTTTTCTGAAATCGATTTGAACTGAAGTGAATTATCATAGCAAAAATCAAGACGGTCAGTGAATACGAATTATCTGGCATCAAATACAATCACTATAAAATGAGAGAAAACGATAGGAAGACATAGATGAGTTTATAAAATCCATCAAGTGATCATGAAATTTTTCAAAATTTTGAATTTCAACAAACTTACATCTTTTGGTTCGCTTTTTGTACATTATACGATAACCACATTCCCTACATCTGATAGGATCTCTCGGCTTGATTTCGTTTTCTTTATGACACTCTAGTAATCCAAAAATAAATTAACCAAAGAGAAATAGGAAAGTTAACAATGATAAAAATCCATTCAAAACAACGAGATACTTACCAGCACAAATGTAAACCATAGGCAATTTAATCGCAGGAGCTTCCTTATTCTCCATGATTTATGGCGAGATGATAATATTATTAATTCAAACTAAAATTGAAATCAGATGAAATTTATCTTAAAACTAACAACCAGAATCAGACCAGAAAAAGACCGAGAAAATTTAAAAACACAAGACTCGGGAACAGGCGGTGATTCATAGCTCCATCTATTAGTAAAAATCGAAATTTTTCTCTATATCGATACTTTCTTATCGATACCTTTGATCAATAAATGCCATAGAAGGTGAAGGAATACATGAGAATGTTTATTGAAAGTTTTGGGATAAACGGCTTAAAATTGTTTCACCAACAAATCAAATGTTTTCGTTAATCGGTTTAGTTTTTACCTCACTTTTACTTCACTTTTACTCATATTCAATTCATCGTTTAACATAACTAGTGCAATTGTAAGTAAGGTACAAGACTCTTCCAAGTTTGTTTTTTTGTGGCCATCATGAACGGGTTTGGACTTTTTAATTCCACTGAAATCACGGACGAGATGATGACATCATTTGGATCTGCTTTGAATAAAATACCAAGTTTGAGACAAGTAGCGCTTTTGCTGAGTGTTTCATTTTACTTGGTCGTCATTCTGCTAATTCATAGTGTTAATATTTTATTTGAGAAAAGTTTCGCCTCTCCTGTTGCTAGATTGATCATTGAACGGATGAATGAAACAACCGCGCTAAAATTCAGTGGTCCTGCTGATCTTTTGCAGCAATTTACTAAATATTTTGATCACCTTTTGTCTTGGGTGGGTTTATCACCAGAATGTCAAGAAGCACTTATCTGTCGTGCTGGAGCATCAATGGCGTCTGATTTTCCCGCTATCAGCACAAAAATAAGTGCTAGTGTATCCACATTGTTGGGCTCTTCTCATGAACCGATAGGATTAACTAAAATGCTTTTGGATGTGATGGTTGGTCAAGGAGACTGCCTCAAGTCGAATACTCATTGCTCAGCGATAAAGAAGTTTGAAAATTTGGATGGAGTCCACGAGGATGTTGCCGAGATGGGTCATTTTTTTGATACTATTTTTAAACAAGCTGTTTCGAAAATTGCCTTGATCTATTCTTCGACTGTGGTTGCAATATTAACCTCATTTATTGCCTGGTTTCTTTTTATTGTATTAAATAGGAAACCGAGAAAATCTTCTCGCATAATGTCCAATATTTTATTGCATAAAAAATCAGTATTTTAAAAATAATCAATAAAACACTTTACAGACGTCGCAATTTTTTTATCTGTTTGGCTTCTCCAGTGCTATAATTCATTTGATAATGGTTCTCTGCGATAACATTGATAGTTGTTCCATCGGGTTGTCTGACTTGCTCCTCTTTTTCGCTTAATTTAATAGTAACTATATCTCCTAGATGAGGACATGGATTTTCTCGAGATCCACCCATAAAACTTAAAATCAAAGCCTTTTCGACTTTACCAACGCTATTAGAATTCTTGAACAATTCTTGCGCTTCCAAAATCTGTTTTTGAGATAATTGTAAACGAGGTGTTGTCGTTGTGGTTGTGGTTGTTGGTTGCACAGGTTGTTGAGGCACTGGTGCTTGTTGATTGAACTGTTGTGATCCCTGTTGTTGGGGCTGAGATTGCTGAGAAAGAAAAATTTAATTTAAATAAGTTATTGTATTCGCTACAGTTTTAAAATGTTTTTGAGTTTTAGCGGGAACTTACCGTAGTATCAGATGGTTGTTTTGTTTGCTGCTTAGGTACAATTGTTATTGGAGTAACTTGAGAGTTAACTTGAACTGGACTTGATTGGATGGTTTTCTGTGGTGAAGTGATAACAGATGATCCAGAAATGGTCGGTGTGATTTTTGGAGTCGATGAAGAAGCAGTTGAAGGGGATGACGTTTCAGTAGATTGTGACGGTTCTTCATCGTTAGGAGATTTCATTTTTATAAGACTATTTGTTTGTGGTGTTTTACTAGCTGAAGGTGATTCCTTTTTAGGTGTTGTAGGTTCACTAACATAAGGACCAGGTGTTTGAGGAACTGAGTAAGCAGGAGCTGGACTTGGAGGTACCATTGATGTAAGACCCAAAGCGTAATCGGGTGTTGCTGAAGAATCTTGTCCATTAGTTTTGTCATTTTCCTTTTGCTTAGTTTCGGTTTCTTCTTGGTTACGCTTTTTACGTTTAGCATCCCTTCCTAATGGTTGTTCACCGATATCTAAAAGTTTAATACCTCCATCTCGACGAACTCCAGGTATTGTCGGTCTTGTAGGATTACGTACACTTCCCGCACTTCTGTTTGCAGGATTAGGCGTTTTAAACGTCGAAATAGACGACCCAAGAGAGTTGCGACTTGGAATACCTTTTAAAGGAGCTGAAAATAGATAAAATAGTATGTAAGAAGTCACTTTTAAAAAATATCAATGAAAAACTTACTGTTATCATTTAATTCTTTTGATAATCCTCTGTATCTAGCAGGAGCAGCAGGAGCTGTCATGTTTTTCTTTGCACTTGAGGCGACATCGATAGCTGTAAAAATAGGGAATAAAATAAGAGAATTGCGAGGTATAAAGATTATTCATCGGCCGTCAGTCGGACAAACGAAATCTTGACTTTGTTTTGATACTGAGACTTGTCAATTAAGACTTAAGCATATTTGTTCAAATAATTTTCAAACTGCAAGACTAGTTGGAAAATAATCCGTTTGTGTGTCTAAAGACGAGGAGAAGGGCCCAATCAACACGTCTACTCCAAAACTCAAACTGAAGCCGACTAGTCCTTCAAAGTTAGTTAATGAAGGATTTACTGCAGATGTTCACTTTCTTATGCTCTTGTTAAATACAATTTAGAGAATGCATTCATTTTAAGTTTAGGGTTCAGATAGGTTTATAATAATTTTGTTTTATAATGTTGGGCTAAAATAAATTTTCTAAAAAATAGCTAAGTTCACTGATAAAAGTTGACACTTTAAATTTCCTAAGTGAGAGTGAAAGAATGACCATCTGCACTAAATCTTATGAGGATCTAGAGGAAAGGATTAGTCGGCTGTCTTTAAGCCCATCTTTTTGGACAAACAAAAGCATAATATGCTACCTTTTAGGTAGAGAGTTATTTAAGCAGTTAGTTAGACTAATAATTGTTGGGTTTGGCTGGTAAAACAAAGTCAAGATAGTACCTGTCAAAATAATAAAGGTGGGTAGAAAATAAAAGTATAATCACATTTTTGTAAAAGCTCAGCTCTGAGAGCAGCCGATTTTGGTTTCCTCCGGAGGGTAAAATGTTTTACTGGTTGAGGTTGAGCGCCTATTTGAGCGGTAAAGGCATTTTTATTCAGGTATAAAGACTCAATTGGAAGTATTCCTTGGTCTGAATGTTTACGAACTGCAATAAAGAAAAAACAAATCAATAATATAGTCAACATGATAAAAGAGAAAATAAAATCTCACCTGATTTTTTCAAGTCTGTTATTAGATCAGTAAAAACAGCGGCATTTTCTTCAACGTTAAAGTTGATTGTTCCAGTTTCAGGAAAAGATTTTAACAGTTCAGCAACCATTGACACCCATTGGTCACTATCAATGGAAGCCACTTCCAAAATCTCTTCTAATTCGGATCGCCACTACAGATAAGAATAAGAAATTTTGTAAAAGAAACACTAAATCAATAATACTTCAAAAATCAATTTATCAAAATAAAATTTCTCTAGTATTTTCGCCAGTTTTTATATTAAGATACAAAGCAATGAATCATAATCCAAAAGAAGTGTCAAGTCAAACTAGCCCAACTTTGGTAGATTAATCAGTTTTTGAAACAGATGATATAGACTATTGATACAATAGTATTGGATGCTTGTAATTCAAGCATGATAATAATGTACCCTAGACTCTAGTGAACACAGTCTAGCGCAAAAAGCGTGAATAAATTGAAAATAAAAGTCAACAATAAACAAACAGAATACGAGGAAAACATTGAAAACATACCAGTTCAACATTCCTTCTAGGTAGATGAAGGAAGGATAGAAGTAATTTCAATTTGACCAGTGATTGCAGATCAGTAAAACAGTCTCGAATATTTTTTAGCACATCAGCATTTAACTGAGAACAAATTGAACCATTTGACCACAAATCATTGGCATTACCTAATTTATTGTGAAGCCACAAGGAAGTATCACTTTTGTTTAGATGTCCAGCCATAATAATAACACAACCTTAATGTTTCAATGATGTTCTCACTAACTAGTCCAATAGGGCAACATATGAAACAAATGTAATAGTGGTAAGTAAATTAAGCTAACTGATGGTTGATTGAAGAAATAAAAAAGCTAAAATAGCAGTTAATTAATAGAATGTATTTTAATTTATAAGAGTTGAATTTTCCCAGATTATTATTTTTGCATCGATTAATACAGTTAATAGAGGGTAGCACATTCTATTTGCATCATAACCATAGTGATCTAACTTTAAATGAGTAAATGCTAAATCAATAGATGGCGTTTCTCATAGGCTTTACACATGCTAACAGCTGACAATTTTGGTTTTTTAGATTTATTGTGAAAACTTGTTTAGATGGTTTTTTAATATTTAATTTTTTTGTGTTATCTGTGAATGTGTGCAAATTTTATGACATTTTGTGAATGGCGAATTTACTGAGGAATAGTCTAATGGTAGACACTAATCATTGTTTAAAATCTAATGGAACTAACTTAGGCGTTGTATCAGGTGTAATCGAGCCCATTGATTCACCGTTGAAGATATTTGTTCTTGCCAAGAGAAAAATCAACAATATCTTTGTTGCTATTGAAAGTTATGTCGAAGAGAGTAAAATATTCTTGGAAGCCTGTCGTGAAGATGTTTTGGAGGCAGATGCATTCAATAAAGTGGTCAATCTTGCTGAAAGAGTCTCCAACATTCGAGAGGTTCTGCGAAGAGATCACATGAAAGTTGCCTTCTTTGGTCGTACAAGTAACGGTAAAAGCACGGTTATCAATTCTGTTTTGGGACGTAAAATATTACCCTCTGGTATGGGTCATACAACCAATTGTTTTCTTCAAGTTGAAGGCTCAGATACTGATGAAGCATATCTAGTTTTGGAAAATGCCCCCGATGAAAAGTTAAACGTTGAATCAGTTTCTCACCTAGCAAATGCTCTCAATTCAGAGAAATTAGGTGATGCTACGTTGGTTCGAATATTTTGGCCTAAAAATAAGTGCTCTCTTCTTAGGGACGATGTTGTCCTTGTTGATAGTCCAGGAATTGATGTTTCCCCTAATCTTGATGAATGGATTGATAAACATTGTCTAGATGCTGACCTTTTTGTCCTAGTTTCCAATGCAGAATCAACGTTAATGCGGACAGAGAAAGCTTTCTTTCACAAAGTCAGTGAAAAAATTTCTAAGCCAAATATTTTTATTCTGAATAATCGTTGGGATGCTGCTGCTAGTGAACCAGAAAATCTGGACCGTGTTCGGAAACAGCATACTGATCGAAGTATATCTTTTCTTGCTGACGAATTAAAAGTTGTGTCCCGCAGTGAAGCTCCAGAGAGAGTTTTCTTCATTTCAGCTAAAGAAGTTTTGATCTGGCGTACCCAAGAATCCCCAGATAGTATTACTCCAACATTTCCTGAAGGATTCCAGCATCGTTACTTTGAGTTTGAAAATTTTGAGAGAAAATTTGAGGAATGTCTCTCCAAGTCTTCGATTAAAACCAAATTTGACCAACACGCGAGACGTGGAAACAGTATAATTGTTGATTTGAGTCATTTACTTGACACAATTAACAAAAATGCAACTAACCTAAGAATAAAGAAATCAAGTGATCGCAAAGAGGAATCAAATCGTCTTGAGATGACTAATCAAAAGATGCAAATGTTAACCAATGAAGTCAAGCACAAAATAATTTACATAGTCGAGCAAACTGAGCAAAAGGTTAATTTGGCCCTGAAGGAGGAAATTCGTCGCTTATCACTTTTGGTTAGTGATTTTGAAAGGCCTTTTTCAGATGATCCAAACTATGTACAGACTTATAAGAAAGAACTTCATTCACACGTGGAAAAAGGTTTAGATTCAAATATGCGAGCGCGTCTATCAACTGAATTATCATGTTGTGTTGAATCTGCTCAAAAAGAAATGATTGAGCGAGTGACACAGTTGATTCCAGAGGAGCAAGCTAAAAGAATTGACTTTTTAACATTTAGATCGAGACAAAGCTTTGAGATTTTATATCGAATCAACTGTGAATCTTTATGTGCCGATTTTCAAGAAGATCTGGAATTTCGCTTCTCTTTTGGTGTTTTGTCAATGATTCGACGTTTCAGAAGTGGCAACTTTTTCTCCAAAGGAAACTCGATTCCTCGATCGGTACCCTCGACGGCACCACAGACACCAAGCAATGATTATAAGTCAATTCACCATAATTCAAGTATATCTGCTGATGCTGACCTGTTACCTATTATTGAGAAAATATCTTTTCTCAGTGGAACCCAATCGCAAACAACTATTGGAGCTCTTGCTCTCGGTGGATTTATGGTTAGGACAATTGGTTGGCGAGTGATAGCAGTAACTCTTGGAGTGTATACTTTCCTCTACTTTTACGAAAGGTTTACTTGGACTAACAAGGCCAAAGAAAAAGCTTTCAAGAAACAATACGTTAACCATGCTACTCGAAAATTAAAGTTGATTGTCGATTTAACTAGTGCAAACTGTTCTCACCAAGTTCAGCAGTAAGTTAACTATTTATTATTGGTATACTCAAGTTTAGACAAAATCTCATTGCAAAACAATTTAGCAAAATTGTGATCGATTCCTAACTAATTAATAATTTTACCATTTTTTCCGTAGGGAACTGACCGCAACTTTTGCCCGTTTATGTCACATGATTGACTCAAATATGAAAGACATTCAACAAGAAATCAACAAATTAGATGCTGAGATTCGCCAATTGGAAGAGATTGCTAATAGTTCTCGTACATTAAAAAACAAAGCTAGCTTTTTATCAACAGAATTAGACAATTTCAACGAAGTCTATTTAAATGATGAAACTTGAATTGCAAAATAAAAATTGGACTGATTTTGCTTTTTTTGAAAATTCCCCATCAAACTTTCACCTCAACCACTTGACGAGAGGAAAAAATGCGAGGATGAACAACGAAAAATGAATAAAAATTACCCGTAATGTCCGTAGTGATCTTCATGTATACAATTTATTAACTTTTAAATGTAAAATTATTAGTGATGATAATTTTGTCATGCACTTAGATGTTCAATCAAAAAGCTTTCTTCTCCCCTTTTTCCTTGTTGGGCATGGATTGTAAAATATCTACATTTGTTGGCAATGAATCTACTTCAATTAATTAAGCAGAATTATCAACCCATAAAAGAATATATATATTGTACTAAAAAGTAAATAAAAGAATATTGACTGTCAATTTAAGTGTCATAAAAATTTGTCATTTATGTACAGAACTTTGCCATTTTCCAGTTTATTATGACCTTTACTCAAATGATTATTGTTTTTGCGTTTTTGCCGCTACTCAAAGCACTATAACTTGTCGCGTCTCGAAATGCTATTCAGAGTAGAGATGAGCCGGATCCCACTTTAATACACTGGGATTAAGACGCTTTTTACTGACTTCACGTTTTATCGTGAAATGGCAATAAGATTAAGATATTAAATATGTTTTCAGATATATTCCAACATTGTAAAATAATCAATACTACTTTTCTTAGCGACTAAATATCTACCAATGATAATATGGTTAATCTGGTCACTTGAGTGACTCATGTTTAAGTCTGAAACGACTAGAATAAATGATAGAATCAGTCAAAATTTTTGAATCCTTGAATCCATCCATAAATGCTTTAGATATGCATGATTTAGCTATTAAAAAGTCTTTTGTTATCATCTTCGAATGTTAGATTAACTGTTAACCTAGATTTGGCTAGAGTTAAGGCAAACATTCAGTCAACATTCTTCCAAACAAATCCATTCTTTATTTTTTGGCGTTAATTTTTGCATGATTCACAGTCATAATGTTTCTGGAATTTTATTTCCATTTCGAGAAAAGAGTTCAAAGTAAACTTCAATTTTGAATATCATTCAAGTTCATCCAAAAGCACATGTTTTGATATTGTCCTGGTTTACCGAAGAGTAATTGTTATACTCTTTGGGCTTTACTTTAAACACAAAGATAGAAGTCCATTTGATTCCACTAAAAAGCGTTAAAATACTGATGAATTACCGCATAGAAAGTATTTAGTTTATTATCTTTAATAACTATCTGCACCTGCATTCTTTCACCTGCTGACCTCACAAAAAAGGTCAGGTTATCTGGGTAACCATTGTAGTTACTGTTTAACTCGTTAGGGTTTCTCTGGTTTCTCTGGTAACCCAAGTCTTTTTTTATTTTTGGTCCATCTACCGATGAAGTGTCTGACGAGAACACCTTTCTTACCTGTTATTGTTATTTTTTTTGTTTTTACTTATCTTTAGTAAACCTTAGTTTTAGACGAAAATGCATCGAATTTATATCTTTTTGCGTTTACCGTTCTCAACACTTCCATCACTAGTAACATCATTCCATTTACGATTATCTTTCTCCTTCTTCTTTCTTCACTGCCTTTCTTCTGGACTATCTTTTGCTCTTAATTGTAATTCTTCCAACAACAATGCTAGTAGTGATAGCATGTACACTCCTTTCCTTTGGAAAGTTACCGGTAATGGATTGAATAAACCTGCTTACCTATTTGGTACGCTACATGTTGCGTATACGCGAGTTTGGGATTATATCCCTCCTATTGTGAAACACAAATTTCGTGAAAGTGATAATGTCTTTTTTGAACTCGACCTACTCGAACCCAGTGTATCAAATGGAATGGATGATTGTAAATATTTACCACATGGACAACAGTTATCAAGTATTTTACCTCGTGATCTCTATTTAAGATTAGTTGATCATTTAAAACATGTTCGTTTCATGATGCCTAAATGGATATTGCCAAAAAATCGTCATTCCCGTGACGAGGCATCTAGTTTGTTTCGCGCTAAAACTTCTCAATGGAAAAGAAAACACGCCATTTGGACATTATTAATGATTGATTCCTTGACAGAATCACAGATTCGATCTCATGGTACACCAACTCTTGACTATTATCTTGCGCAAGAAGCTCAAAGGATGGGTAAAAAAACTGGAGCAGTGGAAAACGTTGAAGACCAATGTGAACCTTTGAATAATCTTAATCTGTCTCATGTTATATTTGCTCTTAATATGTCACTTTTCAATCATGAAAACATTCGCCGTGGTTTGGTTCTTGAAACTCAAAGGTACGAGGCTTTACTCGAAAAGTACAAGTGTGGTAACATCGATATGCTTATGTCTCAAGAACAAATGCCAGTAAGTTGTCATTCCAGTTTCTCTCTAATCTCAATCTTATTGTCCAGCAACTGTGTTTAAAATTTTTTGAAAAGCCTGTCCTTGAAAAAAGTAAAGCAATTTTGTCCAATAACTCTTACCATAGGCTAATCCTTTAATTGTTATATGTCCTTTTATTAGTCTACTTGGACCTTCCAAATTAGATAATAATTTGATCTATTTTTTGTTTTATTTAGTCTAAAGATGACGCATTAATGTCTGGACAAATTGAGGAATATTTTCGAGAAAAGTTCATAAAAAACCGAAATCCCAAAATGGTCAAAAGGATCATGTCACTACTTAAAGAACATCCCAGTGAAGCTTACTTTTTTGCTTTTGGTGTCGGTAAGTTTAGTTTTGTCAAAATGGTTTTAAATCTTTAATTATACTTAATTTTCTTCATTCTTCTTCTTCTATTTTATTTATCAGCTCATTTTATCGGGAATGGTTCAATAATTGACCTGTTGAAAGCTCACGGATACCAAATTGAACGAGTTAATAATTCTAGGATTTCAAGTATACATGAAAATCGCCATCAAATCAGAAGTCGTGTGAATCTACTTCGTAGAGATGAAACTTTAATTACTCGAATGGAACCAATCTCACGTCTGGACAGCTATAAAATAATTGTCCGTAATGAAGAGGAACCTACAGTAGAACAGACAAATCCTTTGATTAATTGGCTTATGCTGGCGTGTTTATTTATTATGTGTATATTTGTGATACTTCAAGCTAGACGTTGAAACAAAAAGGATAAATAGCTTTTGAGTCATATTACCTGTACATAAACTTAAAAAGAAACAGTCATTTATGTAAATAGACATTGTAAATGTGTAATGTAATTTGTTTATAATTTGATAACCTTTTTTAATTTTGATTGTTTTTAATTGTCTTTTGATTTCAAATGAAAAATGCTTATGTTTTTAACTCTTATTTTCAACTTTAATGATAACATAAAATCACTTAAATACAATTTCTGTTTTCTAGTCAAATTTGTTCAACCTTAATCTTGCGTCTTGCAATTGTGACTTACATGGTCAATATTTTTATTTTAAACTCTTTTAGTGTAATAACCGTCTTAACTGATACAATCTCAAATCCATCCACTTAAATCAACTCTGGTTTCCGATTTTCGTCTCTTTTCTGGTTCCTTGGATACCGCTCGACCAGCCGCGAGTCTTTTCCTCATCTTTTGTGAATCATTCTCTTTACTTTTAGGCTTTGAGTCTTCTCCATTATCATCTGAATCACTTGACTGATAACCTCTATTAATTTGACCTGATAAAGACGAAGAAGTGTGTTGAACCTCCGAGTGAGATGAAGCTGCTAAAGAGTAAGGTGAAAGAGTGACTTCGGATGAAACAGGTTTGCTTGTAGACAAAAGTTGTTTATGTTGGTCAGTAGAAGGTTCAGTTTTTTCAATGTCTGGCTCAGTCGATAATACTTCTGACGATTTTGGATAAGTTACAGGTGCAGGTGGAGGAAGTGTTTCTGTTTGAGAAAAGCTTGGAATCAAAGGAGTCATATCTGATGGACTTGCTGGTGATAACAGTGATGTTTGTGAGATTGATGAGAGATTTAGATTTGATTCAATTGCTTGATTTTGTACACTTTGATCAATGGTTTCAGTCTCTAGAAGCAAATCTGTCAAGAAAATGAAAAAATCAATTCAGTTTATTGATGGGTTGCTGAAAAATCGTCACATATTTTGAGTCCTTAAAATAGCTAAATACCTTTCGTTTCCAGTGAAAGCGATTTTTTATTCTCATTGACTTCATCAATTACTTCAACTCTATCTGTAATACAAAAATAAATACAATTACCAAGCTGTAACTAGATAAACTTGAGTAAATCTTACCTCTATCCTTAAGACGGTCATAAACATGAATATCTTCAATCTCCTCAAATGATTCTTCCGTTGTTAAAGAATCTCTTTCTCTTAAAACCTCGTCCCTTAAGTCCCGTAAGCTACTTGCTCTTCTAGGTGTAGTACCAATTTGATTACCTTTGTTTCTAAGAATAGCTGTAACTGCTGTTGTCCATCGTTCTCTGGCCATTTGACGTTTCTTGAAGCTTCCTCTGGTTGCAATTAAATTTAACAAACCAGTTGAACCATCTGGATAATCTCCTTCCCTTAGAGGACCTCCACCACTATTAGGCCCACTTGTCCCACTGTTTATTAAACCAATATTGAAACCTTTCAGTAATCGCCTTTCTCGGATTCGTTCACGTTTACCGAAGCCTTTCCAGTTCCAGGTTGAGGTTTTGTGATCACAGATGAAGAGAGTGATGATTAAGAAATTAGAGAGAAACAGGGAAAAAATTGTGTTAGATTTTGCATAATAAACATATGGGTCGAAGATTAATCCAAAGAAAATAATCGATTTAATCTTATTCAAGATCATCAGCCCATATTTTTACCCAAACATTAACTGCCACCAAAAGTGAAAGCTCCCAGTCAATATAGATCAATTGGGTTTCTTCTGATGTTAAACTGTTTCAGGTTTCTAAAGCTCTGAATATCGAGTTTCTTGATGAATCAATCGTCTATTCAGATAAAACCTTTAGTTTATTTGAGCTTGATAACCTCATCCAATTTATATTTAAATCCCTTTCAATTTGAAGTCAATAATTCCTAAGTTAGAATACAAAATGTATATTAAGTATTATACTTACAATCATCATGACTTAATGTTGAATCGTATTTCATTCCATTCTTTTTGAGCATATCAATCAATTCATAACGGAAACTTCCAATGTCTTGTTTTATCTCGTTAACATCATCTTCCGTTACTATTCCAGTCTCTTCAGCCTTTCGCTGTTCCCTTGTAACATAACGACGAACCAAGCATCTCATAACATTAGAGTAAGTCTCTTTTAAGGCTGATCCAGACGAAGAAGAGGGAAACCTTTTCAAACCAGGTCCACTTTTAGACCAAAGTTTACCCAGAGGAGGAAGCAAATTGAATGGAGCAGGTACAGATAAGGTTTCATCAAAATAACTGATCCACAATTTGGAGCGAGCAAATTTCCATTCAGTATCTGCTCGTTCAGAGATTAAATTGTATGAGTTAGACATCATAGCAATAAGTAGGTTCAATAGGACGACCACATTGATAACAGAATAGCAGCCGAACATTAAAAGTCCCCAAAAACGGGTAAACTCTTTGATACCAGCTAGTTCAAAATTGTATAAATCAATTAAACCAAAAGAAGCCCAGAAAAGAGTTTGAGAAGTTTCAAATAAATTAGCAAAACGCCTCCAAACTTCACATGCATGATCCACTTCTAAAGGGTGAAGATTATTACTCGGTCCCCATTTACACCTTTCCCACTCTTTTTCAGCATAATACCAAAGTAATTGATTCAACCCCGTTCCAAAGGCAAACACGACCAGGATAAAGATGAAGAAAAATTTTAAAATATCATAAACCATTCGACCAAGTGAAATTTGAAGTGGACCCAGATGAGGATGAACCGAAAAGATGTGAACCAGCTTAAGAAAAGAGCAAATCGATGCAGCTCCAAACATTCCCTCTGAAAGCAACATTGGATCGTAAGGATCCCAATCTTCACGAGATTTATTTTCAAATGGTTTTTCAGGTGTTGATGAAGCCAATTCCAGTTGAACTTGCAGATAAGAAATAAACCTTAAAGCAAACCAGTTAATGTAAATTATGTTTGATAAAGCGTCAACTATATTCCAAAGATCAGATATGTAAGAAAATAGTCCGAGGGAAAAAAGCTCACTCGTTTCTTGCCATATAAAGCTAATTATGTAGACAATGATGGCCCATTCAGTTAAATTTGGTGGTCGACCTCGTTCTCGGACGTATGTTTCTGTTAACCATGATGTTATATTGTTTTCATCAAGATATGAGACAACCAAAAATTCAACTCTTTGGGAAGCAAGGACTAGTAATACTGTTGTGAAAAAAGAGAGTTAAGACAAGCTGACTTAAATATTGATGATAAGGTAAGGGTTCAAGTTATAAAACATAATCTCATATTTATTTTGTAGCTTGGTTTGTTATTATTTTGAAGACTTTAGTCTTTCAATTCTTGAATTGATTATTTTTAAATCACTAATTGTTCTTATTCTGGTTATTTAGGTGTAAGATGAGACTAGGCAAAATGGTATTGGATTAGAGTATCAAGTTGAACTTACAGAGAAAGAAAAGGTACGATGCAGAATGGCTTATAAATTTAATGAAGGATCTTTTCGCAATCCGGGCTAATTTGGTGTTCGGTAAATAAAGGGTTGCTAATGCATAAAGTGGAAATTTCATCGCTATGTTGATAACCGTTAACGCTTGTTTAATTGGGCCTTTCCGTCGGTAACCAGGCATTCCTTCAAACCAAACTGTTCCCAATAATTGCTGGACGTTTGGATGTGCAACGAAACTTTTTTGTTTATAGTCAATGGCTAGTTTTAGGCGTTCCAGTTTCATCTCTTCTTCCTCAGAGATGGTCACGTCGGTACTAAAATTCATGATAATCCTTAACTCATGAGTATTACGTACATGATCTAACAAAGCAACAGCAAAATTTTGAACATTACTCCGTAATTCCTTGTAATCAAGAGCAAACTCTTTTTCAATTTTAGATAGACGCCTAAGCTCCCAGCTTAATTGAAAAGCAGTCAATATTGGATCTCGACTTGATAATGAAATTAATGACGGTGAACATAATGCTTTATAAGCGTTGATCCGTGATCGAGAATGGCGAAGACAGTCAGCAGAAATGGATGTAATACACTCATAGCAGGAACATTTAACATCATGTGGAAGAGGCAGTTCTGCTCCACGGTCCAAGAGGATTTTCAATATTTCATAATTGTCTTTATGAGCAGCTAATATTAACGGTGTTATATCACGAGTATATGCGCTTGTTTCATGATCAACCTTTTCCCAACTCTGTTTGAACAATCGATCAATATCGTAAAAGCAACAAGAATCAATCTCAAATCATTAGACATTGACTTAATTGTTCACTTGATAATTTGTTTCAATTTACACAAACAAAGACTAGGCGAGATAAATAATCAGCCTTATGATGACAGTGAAAATAATTGATAAATCACTTTTTTTACAACACTTGATTGAACTACAAATAATAAAATAATGACTTCTGCTTTCCGTGTCTAAGAGCAATTAACATGTCTGACTCGTTGCACTACCCTGTAGTAAATTCACTTAAATCAATTTGATTAAACATTAAACTATCAATGTAACTAGATGTAATGATAAAACATAAACATATAAATGTATTTAAAGGGAACCCTAAAAAATACTCGAAATAAAGTGAATTTTTTAAGAAATGTATTGTTAAACAGATGAATCTTGATAAGACACTATTTTCAGCAATATCTCAACCTTAATTCAAGTCACAATTAGAGTTTATCTAGTTGGGTTGAGTTAATCACTTACGTAAGGAGCTCCAGGCTGATGAATCTTTTCCTCATGTTGTAACAAAATTTCAACAGCTTCAACATATTCTTCACTAATTGCATGGAGCAGGGAATCACCGGGATCAATGTTATACTTCAATAGAACCTCCAACAGCTCCAAATTTTCATTTTCAATCGCTAGTATGAGTGCAGTTCGACCCAACGGATCGGTACAGTTAATGTTCAATTTACTAGCTCCCTTTGAATCAGGTTTACAATGTTGTTGCAACAATCTTTCAATTCAAAATTGTAAAATTTAGATGATCAATCATGAATAAACACTGAACTTTCAACATGTTTGTTTTTTATACTTACTTTTTAACTGAAACAACATCGCCTCGTTCAGCACAGAGCAGAAATTTTTTATCATAAACAGTTAAACCTCTATCTCGTCCTCTGAGCAAACCATGGAGTGTACTTGGACTTGTTGGACTCGACATCATTGCAACAATGTAAAGTGTAATCACTTAAATCTATAAATTCAATTTAATTAAAAAATGAAACAACATTAGAAAAGTAGAAAACAGAAAAAGGAAAACATTTTTCAGCGAAAGCTTGAAACAACACAAGTAGGGTTATGGCCAAGTGTAGTGGGTAGTCAAGTAGGAAAAGTACAAACTCTTGGTTTTAGTTGAACAAAATTGAAGATATGATTTAATAGAAATATTAAGTCCAAATTGAAATCGAGTCGTCGCAAAAATCGAAGCCAATCGAATGATAATCTTATTAAAGGAAACCCAACAACATTCAACCAACTCATCATCTTCATTGTAGTCTTCTCTCTTCTTAACCATGATGAATTTACCAGTGCAACTGTTATACCAAGATATCTGTAAGATTCATCGATGAATTAAGTTTACAATTTGTTGGCTGTTTAACCAATCCAATAAAACAATTGATGACACTGGTAATTCAGAATATAACGATTCATATTGTTTTCAGTTCTTTTGCTTCTAACCAGCACGAGATATTAACATATCATTTGCTAGTCCAAGAAAAATTTGCTCCGTAAATAAGCGTTAACTTTAGTTGCTACTGAAAAGACATTGAACACAATTGTCAACTTATTTATGCAAAAATTGGCAAAAAAGGGTAAAAATTAATTTCTTTCAGATTTAGATTCTGTTAGTTTGTAGGGAAATAAAAACCGAGTTTATTCGTGCGTTTAAAAGTTTCTTTGATCAATAATTCTCGAGAAAATCGAGTTTAAAGTCGAAACTTCGATCGTCTTTTGTTCATTTATGGAAGCAGACTTTTTCATGAAACTCATTTCCCTGATGTGAATTTAAATGGTAAACCAGAAAATGCACTTATTTCGAAGAATAAAATTTTATGTCTTCTGTAAGACAGATAAGTTCGATTTCACTTAAACCGATCGCTTTCTATGACCACATGAGTGAAGATGCTGAAACTTATTATTTGTCCATGAAAATTGCTGGATCACACCATGAAACAAATGATTTTATCAATTTGTCAGCAGTTCTCTTGATTTTGGCCTTTGGTCTTGGAACTTTGAGGCTTAATATTTCGAGAATAGCATAACCTACAATTATCATTCTTTTACCAAGTTGACTCGTTGCTAATTAATGATTCAATGCATCTTAATAAAATTCCATAGGGTCATTTGGCTTACGATATTTGGGTTGTAAATGAACAAGAAACAACTTATTCAACAAACAAAACTCATCTCAACACATTTCTTGGTAAATAAACCAATTTTCTGGTTAAACTTACAAATGAAAAGCAATAAATGCTGCCAAAGGCTCAAACATTTGAACAAAGAGTCGAGACTTGATGAGTTTGTAGGGACGGGAAAACTGAATCTTTTAGTGCTAATAAATAATTGATCCGATGAACAGTTTTCTAGAAAATTAAGGTCAAAGTTTTAATTTCGATAGCTTTTTGTGCAGCTATGGAAGCAAGTTTTCTCACGAAACTTATTTTACTGATGTATCTTATGATGATCAACCAGAAAATCAATTAATTTTGGGAAAAAGAACTTTTCTTTTTCTTTAAAACAGATACGTTTCATTTACAGTCAAACAGATCGCATTTTAGGACCGCAAGAGTTGGCAAGCCGAAACTTATTCTCGGTCCATAAAAATTGCTGGTAAATATCATGGGTTCAATATTTCTAACAATTGATCAACAGTTCCGTTGTTTTTGGCCATTAGTCTTAAAACTTCGGGTCTCAATATTTCGAGAATGACTTTATCTACAATCATAATTCTTGGCCAAAAATTAGATGCCATTATGGGCTATAACAATATATAACTGAATAGCGCATAAAATTTGAGCTAATTCATTCAATATGAAGATCCTTCTAACGCATAAGATTTTTGGTTAGCTTTATGAATCAAGTCTCAAATCTGACAACATAAATAATAGAATGCTATAACTTTTTTTGTAGCATCTTGAATGTTTTGATATTTCAATATATTATATCCCATAATGAAGTCTAATGTTTGATCATAGAATGATGATTGCTGATGATACCATTCCCGATTTATTGAGGCTCAAAGTTTTTAGGTCAATGGCCAAAATTTAGCCAACTGTTGATGTATTGAAAAAAATGTTGGGTCATTGATGTTAAGCAACAGTTTTTATCGACGAATACAGCGGTTTCAGCTCTCTTACCCCTACGGTTACAGATCGCGATCGGTTTAGCTGAAAATTGAAGAAACAGAAAGAAGGTTTAGAAGATCCCGGTTTTGAAGAAACAGAAAATGTTATTTCTCTGAACAGATCCATTTTCTGGTTGATCATCATAAGATACATCAGTAAAATAAGTTTCGCGGGAAAACTTGCTTCCAAAGCTGCTAAAAAGGCAATCGAAGTTATAACTTTGACCTTAATTTTCTAAAAAACTGTTCATCGGATCAATTATTTATTAGCACTAAAAGATTCAGTTTTCCCGTCCCTACAAACTCATCAAGTCTCGACTCTTTGTTCAAATGTTTGAGCCTTTGGCAGCATTTATTGCTTTTCATTTGTAAGTTTAACCAGAAAATTGGTTTATTTACCAAGAAATGTGTTGAGATGAGTTTAGTTTGTTAGATAAGTTGTTTCTTGTCCATTTACAACCCAAATATCGTAAGCCAAATGACTCTATGGAAAGTTATTAAGTTGCAATTAATTATTAATTAGCAACGAGTCAACTTGGTAAAAGAATGATAATTGTAGGTTATGCTATTCTCGAACTATTAAGCCTCAAAGTTCCAAGACCAAAGGCCAAAATCAAGAGAACTGCTGACAAATTGATGAAATCATTTGTTTCATGGTGTGATCCAGCAATTTTTATTGACAAATAATAAGTTTCAGCATCTTAACTCATGTGGTCATAGAAAGCGATCGGTTTAAGTGAAAATCGAACTTATCTGTCTTACAGAAGACATAAAATTTTATTCCTCGAAATAAGTGCATTTTCTGGTCGACCATTCAAATTCACATCAGGGAAATGAGTTTCATGAAAAAGTCTGCTTCCATAAATGAACAAAAGACGATCGAAGTTTCAACTTCAAACTCGATTTTCTCTAGAACTATTGACCAGAGAAACTTTTAAAACGCACGAATAAACTCAGTTTTTATTTCTCTACAAACTAACAGAATCTAAATCTGAAAGAAATTAATTTTTGCCCATTTTAGCGATTTGTTTGTGACCATTGTGCTTGTGTCTTTATAGTAACAACCGTTCACTTTGAGCCAGCGAACCCTATTTTGGTTAAATTTCAGTCCTTATTTTATACACGATAGCTATGGATAAACGGCTAAATCCGATGGAAATTATTTCAGTTGCTCAACTTTTTGATTTAAACAAGTTAAATCAATCTTTGTTATTGTTAATTTAAAAACTTAATTTTTCATCTATCCAAAACTACGCCATCTCCTGGTTTTTAAATTGTTTACTGATTCCTACTTTCAATTTTTAAATTTTTCAGGACTAGCCATGCATCAGGTCGAGTTTATTTGGACCATTACTGGACAATTATGGGTTTGATTATTGAAAGGTGAGTGTAAATAAGTAGTTATTTTATTAGAAGCTTGAACAAATGGTTGGTTTTATTTTCTGGCCAAACTAGTTGGATTTGATTTTTATTTATTTTCAATTAATTTTTATACATTCAACCAAGAAAATTGCAATTTATATGAGTTTGGTGAATTTAAAATTAACTCTTACAATGAACCATCACTGATTATAATCATCTACTGTACCATTATAAATTGGCTTAAATTGAATATTAACATATGTTATTTTTTGTTGTACAATCTAATAGAGCAAGATGATGATGAGTCGATCTTTATAAAAACAATTAAAGGCTTTTAGTTTATATGTATTTAATGCAGTTTAAATTGCAATTTTCTTGGCTGCATAAGCATTATACAATTAAATGTATAATTTATAATAGCATCAGGTTTATATAATTTAGCATATTTATATATATATTTATATTTATAGTTGTTTCGGCACTGAATTGTTGGATGGTCACTCAGAGCCAATGTTGGATTGTTGTCTAAAACATTATCGATTTAGATAGATTGGTGAAAAATAACCAGATAACTCTTGCAGTTCGCGTTCGTCGTAAAAATATGTTCCAAATGCCAAGAATTAAAAAAAGATCAATAATCCTATTTAGATAATATAACCTGTAGATAGAGAAACAAACAGTCAATTAGTAATTTGGTCAAAATTTAGTAAATGTTCAACTCTTCAAATCATCTATGATTAATGATACTTCAAAGCTTTACTTTAAGTCAATGAAACAATGTTTTGATAAAACGATTCTTGCATGCGATTCAACTGTTAAATTGGTGAAAATTTATTCAAATTTGATTGAATTCACCGATCAACTGTAATAATCGATGAGCAAAAGGTTGAGAAAAGTGATTTTGAAAGGCTTTTGTAGCGTAAAAACCATAAAGAAATAGTTGAAATACAATGCAACTCTTGTATTATGATGAGGTGATTAAGGGTTGAAAAATGGACCTTAAATTGTGTAAAATTACGTCAAAAGAATTAATCAATTGCTGTCACCAGGAGTCGAACCTGGGTCGTCGCGGCCACAACGCGAAGTACTAACCGCTATACTATGACAGCTTATGATATAATAAAGGGTTGAAAATTGAACCGCAACAATTGGCTTCATTTTCAGCTGAATGATGCATCAACTTGCTTTCAACTCAACCAAGCAATGAAGTTGATTGTATCTACACAATAAGGAGAGCTGGATCTGAAGGTAGTGATTAACTTTTTTCATATGATAATCAAAGAGTAGCCAAATACAAATAAACTCAGCTATTCACTTTTTTCCCTTCAGCCAAAGCTATTCACAAATTATTTTAAAAATGACTTTTCCAATGTTGTTTTATCCAAACAGTTAATGAAAGAATCCATTTAAAGCCTTGAAGATCATTTTTTGTAGTTGATTTGGTCGGTGAAAGGACAAAACACTCACCGTTGCAAGTTTTTCCTCGCCGATGGTAAAGTACTGTTTTCCTCTTTGAGGACATATTTTCTTATACCGAGAATGTAATCTTCCCAATATGTTGGCCAGTGAAGGTCCCGAATATCGAAGTGAAATAACTGTAGAGAATAATCAAATTAAACAATAATTAGTAAATTTCTGATTAGTTTGTCATTGACTTTACTCGTAGACTTTTTTTGTCAAATTGTTTAAATTGACAATGAAATACAAATTTTTTGAAAATCACTGCAAACAAATACTGAGATGAAATACTTGAAAGTATCAAATTCAATTTATCGTTTTACACGCAATTTAAATCAAATCAAATCGCTTTTTTTCCCAGATTATTCAAAATTTGTGACTTCAAACAGGGAATCGTGAAAATAAGGTAAATAAAGACAGCAGAATGACTTTGAAATTAATTGAAAAGTAAGTGGATAGCAATATGTTAACATTTGTCAACTCTATTAATGTTAATGATCACGCAAACATTTTGAAAATATCGTTAAATTCAGTAGCTAAGTCTGTACAAAATTGCTTATTGATTTGTATTGTTTATAAAAAACTGTACTGTGGGAATAATCCAGTCAATCAAATGTAAACAAAGTGAATAACGATGAGTAAATATTGTTCAAGATTTCAGAGAATCAGTTTCACCCTGAATCTAGTAAAAGATAAGCTGTTAATAATCATAGCTTGAGAGTTGTGTGTCAAGTCCTTTAGTGAAATGAGCTTTTTGATGGCATAAATTCAAATTGCTTGAATTGTGTTTCACCGAAGATTGAAATTATTTGTTCAGATGTAAATAGTTAAAGCAATTATTTACCTGTTTATCTACTCCACGAAGCTGATCACACAGCATAAGAACATTATCAACCTTAAATCGCCATTGTCTTGTTGTGAAAAATTCTAGTGCTTTACTGGCTCGATGAAGTTTCTCGTAAATTTTAACCATTTTCCTGGAATCAAAAGACAAGGGTTAATCAATTAATTGAATTCATAGTTAGATGGGTAAATGATTGGTTTGATCAATTATGAACAGAAGTAAATTGTAAGATTTGAAAGATTAATGAGCCAAGAAAACAATAAGACAAATGAAAAAAGGATTGTGTCTGTAGACTAAGGTTACGGCCAAGTAACATCAATAATTAATTACAGTTGTTTCAACTGAATTCAACTGAAGCCAAAAAGGTAAAACCAGAGTAAATAAGGCAAGACAGGTAAATCAGGACAGACTTTATGCTGAAAGGTGAAGAAAGGAATTAAAGATGAAAAGGATTTTGAAGAAAATTTAAATCAGTAGATTAAATTTTCCTTTTCCATTTGTTTCTTGTTTTCACTCTGTGTTAATCATAAACCAATAACTCTGTTTGATCCATCCATAATATTGATCAAATGGACGAATGGATTGTTTAAAGTCTTACCCTCTTTGACCGCCTGTTAGGGCACTTAAAAAGTCAGCCAAATAGGAAGGTATGAAATGTTCAAAAAAGACGGAAATTTCATTGGCAAGCTTGTTGTTCTTGAAATAACCACCGGGATAACGGAACATTTCAGAAGATGGATATTTCAAGAGAATGGGAAATGCGATTCGTTCAATGTCACCCCATGTAATTGGATTGAGCAAACCCGATGTACAATTGTAAATCATTATGTTGTTCTGTTGACGGGTTGCTGTGTACCAGGCCACGGTAATCATCAGGTTAATCACTGTGTCTACTGGGATAAGGTCAGCTGTGGCTTTTGAGTCAATCAACATGGTTCGAAGGATTCCTTTTGAAGAAGCTAAGACCAAACCAGTTGGTCCATTCATGTTGTCAACCCAACCGGCACAAGGTTCCCTGGCAGCAGCCGTCACTATGGATGGTCGTACAATAGCAACTGGTAATGAACCACACTCTTGGGTGAGTAAAGTTTCTGCTAAAGCTTTGGTGTAAGTATAAGTATTGGGACGATCACCGACTAGTTTAGGTGTTATTTCATTAATTATATCATCAGACATCCATTCCATTGCATCGACAACTTGTTGTGGTTTAATTGGTGATTCATAAAATGCTTCATCAATTTCAAAACGATTGCAGTTGGCATAAGCAGTTGAAACATGAACCAAAGCCTGTAATAAGAAAACGGTTTTATTAGTAAAAATTGAATTTAAATTTTAATCTGCTGAACTGTTTTAACTTCAATATTGACTGACAATAACTTACCATCAGTTTATTCAGCTTATGGCAAAATTGGATCACTCTTCTGGTTCCAAGAACATTGAACTCAATGGAAGCTCTATAGATGGTCAAGATTAGGAAGAGACAAGAATTAGGTTTTAATCAATAAATGGTTATCAATGTTAACAATGAGAATGATTGATGTAAGTTTGGTGAATACATTTGAATATCTATTCATTAATAATGTAATAAATGAAATGAAGGTAAAATGTTCAAGTGTTCAAATTACCTTTCATTGAAATTGTACAAACAGTCAGGTTCAATGAAAGTGAAATTGATTCTTTCGCTGACATTAATCAAATTAATAGATGTCAAATTTAATCATTACGTTTGTGTGAATTAAAGTATTGACAACACAAATTGATATTAAACAATTTTGCCCTCAAGCTGATGGATAGATGAAATAATTTTGCAAAATTTTACTTTAAAATTGTAAATATCAATTGCTACTGAATAACTTTATTATTTAAATTTTTCAATCAATGAGAGTTTCAATTGCAGTTAAAGTATCAATTGAAGTAAGTCAAAATTGTATTATTTTTGAAATCCGTAAGGATTGATACTGAATTAATGGTCAAAGGCAAGCTGATGATCAACTTGATAAAGGTTTGATGTTGACCTGGTTATAAATTGTAAACAAGCTTTCAACTAAAATGTATTCTCATGAGTTTAATTAGCGATCTAGATCAATATATAATGATACAAATGAGCTTTTTGGGTAAAGATTTTGGGTAAGATTTTGGGTGAGATTTGGGTGAGATTTGGGTACTTCTGGTGATTCCATGAACCTGACAAACTACAAGAACGACTTTAAAGTGAATTAAAAATTGAGCTGAGATGAAGTAACAAATCGACATGAAAACCTCTAAATTACAATTTCAATGTTGAGTGTTGATTGGGAATAATGTTAACCTGATTAAAAGTAATGTCAACGAGGTTTAATATGAATGAATGAAATTGCTGGTAATTGAGATGTTGATTATCGTATGATGGGATTTTAGGTTTATCACAATCAAGCAGAAAGTGAAACCAAATATTTGATGATAACCAGTTCTTAAAAGTGAGTTTAACTTGAGTTAATAGTTTTTTATTCAACCATTTCATTGACCCAGAATTAAAACAAAATAATCATCAACATCATCACGATTATCGTCACGGAATAATCAAGATAATACTAAATTTCCGTCATTTCTTTCAAGTAAATTAAATCAACTTTCACTAATATTACTAATATTTGTTAATGATAACGGTCAAGGGCAGTTAAGGTCGATGAATCAAGAGCAACATTAAAACATCACATCGTTAATGTCATGTTCCTGTTAAGTTCCTGATTAAAGGTGAATATCAACAAATTAACTCAAATTAACTCTATTGATTAAGTGTTTCAAAAAGGTTTTTCAAGGCATATTTTGATGGATCAACGGTAATGAACATTTTTGTCAAAAGTATTGTTACAATGATAATGTTTATAAGCATCATAAATTGTCTTACCTTAATGGTTCATCAAACTTTACTGTTGCTGCTGAATGAAAAACAACTGAAATCTCTTTGATTAACATTTTCAAATCATTGTCAGATAATCCTAATCCATCCAGTGAAATGTCACCCGAAATCCCAATCACTTTATTCAATGCTTTCGGGTTTTCCTCTTTTAACCGGTCAAAGATCTTTTTTGATTTCCAATCATTGTGATGAATCGATCAATGTTTATGGTGAACAGACCAAGGTAATGACCATGTAAAATGGACAAGAAGACAAAAAGATTAGAATCAGGGTCAATATTGAAACATTATTGATGTCAAGAATATCGCAGGAAATAAAGTTGTTCATCTAAGCAACAGTTTTGATATATTGTCACAATAAGCATAATAATAGTGGATAACAATAAAAGATGTGATAACAAGAGAAATGAAGGTTTTCTGGTTTGAATGAGATGAAGAGCTGAATAATTGACTTTACCATGGTAAATTAATTTGTCTATTTGTGTTGGCGCTATTAACAATGTTTTTTGGGTTATGTGTTAAGATTACAGCTATTGTAAAGATTTGGTTAAGTTGAACCAGAAATTTGTCAGATAAGTTAACTTGGTAGTTATGGGGAGAGCGGGGAAAGTTAAATTTAATGAATTTAAATAATTGATAATCACACCTTTGCATCCATGAGTTCATCCAAACGTTGATGAGTATTGAGTCCCTTTTTATTTCGAAGCAAAACGTAAATGTTTTTCACACCTGAACAGGAACGAAGAAGCTTCTCAACCAGAACCTGAAATAACAAAGAGAAGATAAAAAAGAGTTAGAATCAATTATCGGACATTGAAAGGTTTTTCAAGGAAAGTAAGGAACAAAAATGGGTAAAACAATGGATCATTAAGTTATTGATTGATTTTGGGTTAAAAAAGAATGGATATTTTCACACCTTTCCCATGAATCCTGTGGCACCGGTAATGAAAACACTTCGGTCGTTGAAAAAATTGCCAATCTGAGACTCATTTCGAGGCAACATTTTTAATGGTCCGTAGTTTATTTGATGTATGGAATCCCGGATAACAAGAGCAATGGATTAATTGTGTATAAATCTGTCAATGACAATTGTTATCGGTGTTAAAATTAACTGGTAAAGTTATCACAGCTAATATAATAATTGTGTTGACAAAACTGTGTTGGTTTTGAATAAGAAACAAAAAAGTGTCTCAATGACACTAAATATCAATACTGGATGGATCGATGATGGTTTAAGTCAATATTGATGTACTGTTAACTGTTTAAAATGTAAATTGCCGTTTCGATGAAACAACTGATGATAATGAGAATTATGATGACGGCAAGAAAATATCAGGAAGAGTGAGAGATTGCAAGAGAGAAAGAGTGAGAGGAAAGGGAGGCAGTGATGATGACGATGGATGATGATAGGTAGTTTATGATGTAAATTGAGTGAAAGTTAATCAAGTTGAAAAGATGTTGTTGTTGTTGTGGTTGAAGATGGTGATGATGATTATAGCTGAGGTGATGATGGTTTCTGTCTGTTCAAGATGTTCTGTTAGATTCACTGAGCTTTGGTTTTCTTGGCAATTCCTGGTCAAACGCCTTTCACTTTACCAGGTCACCTGAAAAGAAAGGAGAAAGAGAAGAAAGATATTAGTAAACATTATATATCAATGATAGTAGTGGAAGTAATGATGAAAATGATTTATTTTTTTGTGTTGATATTGTTTGGTATTGTGATATCCAAATGATAATAACATGCTAATGTATGGTTCATTGAAGATAACAATAATGAAAAATAATAATAATAATCATCAAATTGAATCTGTTAGGCCAATAAGTTTGTTTTTTGGTCATTTTTTTCTCTACCCTTTTCTTGCCTCCTTTGATATGTATCATAAAAGTGGTCATTATAATGATGGTGGTCATGGATAAATTGTATAATATCTTATTTTCATCATTGTTATCTTGCTCTAAATGGTGTGGATTGATCGAAAAATCATTTTTTCACTTTTTTTCTTCTTCTCGGAAATTCAATTTCAATTGATGGTTTCAATTGATGATATCAATATTGATGTTGGTTTGGTGGTTTGAATGAGCGCAGATCTTTTTAAAGGGATAAAGGTGAAGGGTAGTTGTAATGGCGTGTCATGTATGCTGATTAATTCAGTAATTCACATGAAAGTAGTGAAAGTGAACCAAGACATCATTGAAAATAGAGGTCAGTTTGTTTCCATACATAAATATGTTAGGTCAGTCATGATTGTGATATGATGGATATCTTTCTTTCTTCCGGTTTTTCCAATCTTTTCACTAACTTTCATTATTAAGAGTCTGCTTCAGGCTAGTTCCGTGCTTTTTTTAAAGGCCATCATGAACTTTAAGATGGCTTGATGGTTTGTTGACTTGAAAATTGCGTTCCAAACTCTTTTAAAGGTTATTTAATTTTAAAAGTATAACTGATATCAAGTGATTAACAGGAGAAGTGTTGCTTTTCCTAATTTTCCTTTCTTTTTCTCTTTCTCTTTCTCTCTCTTCTGACTTGATCTTCAATAATGAAGATAGAGGTGAAGTAGTTTGAGATGAGTGGGAAGGATGATGCAAAAGGATGACTGAATGTAAAATATATTAGGTAGGGACTGGACCAAGCAGCAGGCAAAAAAGCAACGAGTTATTACATACGATAGCAAAAATCAATTATATTCTTGAAAGGGATAACCACCATAATAATCCAGTGTGTATATTAACAGCTACATTAACATTGTACCGCAATGAAATCATTTGTCTCAGGTTATTGATCAACTCAATCAAATTAACGTCATATAGAGTTACCTTATTCTAGCCATTATCAGGAGACAGCAAGTATGGCAGCAAGAAAGGTTGTATTGGGGTTGTCGTTGGTTTGATGGCTTGTTGACCATGCAGAAGTGATAAGTGGTAAATAACGATTAATCGGCTTTCCAATTGGTAAAATTTACAATTAAACAAATAACTGTAGGAATTGTTGTTAGAATGGCAATGACTGGTGTGACAATTGTCGAGGAAATTTTAACATTACGTCTGTGGAGTTTGGTTGAGATTTGATGGCTTCAAAGTGTTGGCAGTATAATTTTTCCAAGTTTATTTTGTTTAACTCGTATAACAATTTATTATATTATTGTCATTCAAGGTTAGCTAATAAGAGAGTGTTAAATTATATAAATTTTACAAAACTATTAACCATAAACAATGTAAGCATCTCAATTAAGTTAATCTATTGCACTGGGTAGCAGTAAAAAAGGTATAACAAGACGAGACAGGAGATTTAGGATGACTTGGGTTATAAAACAATGCTTTTCACCGGCTTAGGTTTAACTAGAAGACACTGATCAAAATGTTGGTGGAAATGGCGATTCTTTGGGTTAACAGGGATAAAGGGAAGATTTTCAGGTAAAAGGCGGTTGATGAATAATTGGGTGAAACGAAGAAAACACTAAATGAGAGTAACACTGAAAACCCAAAAGGAGTGTAAACGCGGATCACAATAACATCATATTAACTGGCTGGTTTCACATGGGCATATCAAACACTGGTAAAATTGAAATTGTATCAGTAATGGTGGTAACAATAATTGAAAATTAACACCAAACATCTAAAAGAAGTTGTAACAAAATCACAGTTTCATGGTGAAATGTAATTTTTGTTTATGTTGCTGGTTAAATAATGGCGAGTCAGAAGAAGCAAAGAGGTTTAGAAATAGATTGAGAAAAGTCGAGTTGAAACAATGTGGACCAGAAACACACACCAGAAAAATTAGGTGACCACCTAACACAATTTGATTAATAATTTTAAAGGTACTAGTTAACAAACTGAAGGGAAGGTCACTTTCGGTGGATTAACAGCTTTCTTCTTGTTCGTCTTCTGCCTTCCTTTCACTCTATCTTCTGATGTCTTACAACACTTTATAAAATAAGATCTTTTCTGGTATCAATCTGTATATGTATGTACATTAATGTGTCTTTATGTGGAAACATCCATTCGCACAGCTTTCAAGAGAAACAGAAAGACCCAAATTAACATTTCGTATCTTCTCTGTCTTCTCTGGGGTTTCTTTTCATCGATTACTTTCTTTCATCTTCATCATCTTCTCCTTCTTCCGTTCTAGTTAACATAGCTTCTATGGTTTCTGTAACCATGTTGAGCATGACTTATACTGATTTTTCATCTTTCCTCTTCTTCATGATATCGCAATTAGATCCATGCTTTTTTCACCACTTTTAAAGCTATCCACTGATCAAAATATGTACACTTTGTCACCATATCCATTCCTAATGAATCATTAGCAATGATCACCATAAAGATTGAGTTAATCAAAGTAAGGCCTAAAATTAACTTGTAAAATAAATACAATTAAATTGATAAGTCTGCTTACAAAAAGCATTAACCTTGTATTTTTGCATGAACTTTCATACTTGAAGTCAAGTCTACCAGCAATTGCTGCCATTAGCTAATTTATTTGATTACAATTAGGTTTAATGAAGCCAATTAAATGGAAATTATGTTTACTTGATAAGTAAACAATAAACATTGAACTGTATTTACTTTAAAGCAAGTCTAATGAGTTTCCTTCATGCTATTTCAATTTGAAACAAACCTTTTCCTTTACCATTGGAGTAACTACAGACTTTCAAATTCCCATCTAATTGATGTTGCAGCAATTTAACCAAGAAATTAAAAAGCTCAACCTATTGTTTCAAAACTCGAATTAAATCTATTTAAAGAATCATTCAAATCGACTTCGAGCTCAGTGAATCAAAATTGTTGAAACTTATTCAATTAGAAGTACAATTGAAATCAATTCAAGTAAAGATTTAATGACATTTTACTATCAATTAGGAAAAAGCTAATCATTTTTTACACTTGGCTTGTTCGTGTTTTTTACTTGTAAATTGATCCGAATGTTGAATCAATGAATCAATGAATTCAATAAGTTTATTCTCATCATATTTTGGTATTTCATTGAAACATTTTCATCTCTGATAACTAAAGCATACTTTTAGTTGAACAACACAGTTACACATCAATGGCTAACTACTATTAATATTACAAATTGATTGAGAAACTCTTGAGTAATCGATTCAATAATCTTTCTATTCATCTTTCAATCATTCCTGTTTCCGATTGAACTAATCAATCTCGAAGTGAAATAATCTACAGCTACAACCATCAGTGACTCTTTGAGAATTTCAAAACAGAATTATTATGTTACAATGATTTGGAAAAGTTATTGATTTATTCAAGGAGCTTTTGCATGATTTTTTTCTCGGATATTCAATAAATATCTTTTGTTTACAAATGTATTTCTTTACCAACATTGATTTTTTGAGCAATGTTCAATATTTAGTTAACATGTTTAGTTTTTTACACCCGAAATATAATATCTATTTGATTTTATTATGAAAATTGGCACGAGAATGAAAATATTTTTTGAAACATTGTTGAAAGTTGAATATAATAGTTTATTGAGGCAATATTGAGGTTTGCACAGTAACCCTCTAATGTATTACAATCGAAAGGGTAGGAAAGCTGTATAGTGAATTTTTTTTAATTTACAGATTTAACGCCTAAATCCAATCATGAAGTCAGAGTTTCCAAGATTTTTACCAGCTTTACGATTCCTTTTCTTTTGCTGTTGTCTTGTTTTATTCTTATCCACACGACCAGAACGTATTGATGGTCCATTAATGATTTGAACTGAATCGTCGAATTGCCGTCCAGCCTTCTTTTTCTTGTTTCTTCTTTCATTTTTGGATTTTTTACGATTGTTTTTGTTAGATATCTGTGGATTTGTACCAGAGTCCAATGTTACAACATCTTGATTGTTAGAACTAAAATAGCGTGGCCGTCGATATTTGCGACCTGATGTTGTTAGCTCTGATGGTTGAAGGGTTTGATGTGATGAAGCAGGAGATTTGGTTTTATTGGGATGAAAATTTCCGCCAAATGTAGTGTTGACATCATATGGTGAACTAATCTCGATGTGCCGTTGGCGTAACCTGTCACATTCCTGGATAAAATAGAATAAAAAAGAAAAATAGAAAGTTATTAATAGTTATTAATTTTCACATATACATGGTTTTACGAAACAACGACTAACAAAAGAGTAGTGTTGATGACGTCCACAAACGGAACAACTTTTCTTCTTGTTTTTAAGGATTTTATGGTTTGCTGGATCAGGTTCTACGCTAGGATCTGTGATGCTGAAAAATTTCCTCCAGTGGTTAGGACAATTGTCATCGAGATGACCGTATTTACTACAAATACGACATTGGAAATCTCGCACATTTAAACTACACTTCGAAGTAGGATGGAAATCCATACAACGTTTACAATGTTGGTTTTTACAATGTTGGCCTAAATGACCGATCTCTCCACATATATAACAAATCTTATTCTTAGGCAAGTGACATAGCTTAACAGGATGATTTCCTTCTTTACGACATCTAGAACACCAAATCTTGGGACGGTAAAACTTCCCATGTATTGGGTTTGCTATTAAGATATCTTTATAGTCTATATGCCATAGATCTCGTTGATCATCGACAATATTTACTTCTGAACCACCATTATCTTCATCTGAGTCAGATAAATAGATGGTTGAATTGTAATTTGCGTCGACTTGCACTTGAAGATTAGTAGTGGAAGACGATGAGGAAGGTGGAGGATCAATGGTATTGGCTTTCTTTAGCACACTTGGAGAACTTTTTCTCCTTTTTGAAGCGGAAACAATTGAGTCGTCAGGGGCTTGCTTTTTCACAGGTTTGGAAGGGCTGATAAATGATTTAGCAGTATCAATCCGTTGTGTAGTATTACAACCTGGAACAGCTTCAGATGAATGATGAACCAAAGAATAGAGTCTATGCTCTAGCTCTTCATCGATTATATCACTTTCATAACCCTTATTATCCTGGCTTGGAAGGTTCGGGGCTTGATTTGAAGGGTTGGTATCGATAAAAAAATATCTTCCTTGGTGTTTACTCTCCATGATGAATGATTAATGGTCACAAAGTGCACACTTGTAGCAAAAAGATATGGTAAACAAAAAAGACTGTGTAGATGTAGAATGGGCACCAAAAAACAGGCAAACTTTCAAAGATCCTCTGGTGATAACTGTGGTGATGATTGAACTAGATGGATAAGAAAGCAAATGAATAAATTTAAGTATAATGATTGACTAGAAAAGAGCGAATGAACAAAACCTCGCTGGAAAGCAATGTTTATAAAGCAAAATTTTAAACCGTTTAAGATACAATAAACGGATTAAAACAAATACTCACCCGGCCAAGCAATTCGCGAATTTAATATCGCCCCATCACATTTTCAGATTAATCAGCTTAACAATAAATGAACAAAACAAAACAAAAAATATTTAAATCCAAAGATTAAAAATATTCCATCCAAATATCTACATTTTAACGTGATGCAAAATCACCTGATCACAGTAGGGACTGTTGACAAATAATAAAAGAAAAGAAGCCAAGCTAAAGAACCAAAAAAACCAAGAAAACCAAACAAAAGGAACCCAAAAACACACTAAATAAAAGACAATTAAATAAAACAAGACAATTGACTCCAGTATAATCAAAGACCTATAAATTCATCTCAATTTAATGAATCATACGGGTTCAAAATAGCATCCAAAGCACCCAAAACAAAGTTACATATTTTATTTTTCCTTTACCATGCTCTTTCCTTGCTCCTTGTTTTAAAGCATTTGAAACGATAAACTAAGCTAAGAAAGATAATAATGATAATTTTAAAATCAGCAAAAATGATTAATCAGATCAATCAATGATTCTTAATTCAGATAAAAAATTCAAATAGAATTCCGACGCCGGGAATTGAACCCGGGCCTCCTGGGTGAGAGCCAGGTATCCTAACCACTAGACAACGCCGGATCTTATTACCTTTGGTGTTTGTCTATGGTTTTGAATTAATATTCAATTTACTCTTGATTTTCATTCATCGAATTTTAAAATTCAAATTTTCAGCTGTTTAATTTCTTGGATTCAACCTATTTGTCTCTTAATTGCTAGACTGTTTCGATTGTTATTTAATTGATGTTTACTTTAAATTGCGATTCGCGTTGATTGTTTGATTGCTTTTTCATTCGTTAGATGGAAGTGTGTGTTTTGTTTAGATTTATTTTGTCTCTTGATTTGTCTCAACCAATTTGTTGATTTATTTCAATTTATTTCAATTTAATTGTAACAAAATGGGATTTTTTTGTGCTTTTTTTGGTGCTAAAGGAGATTTTAGTTTTTAAAGCCTCAAGTAATGTATATAGATGGATTAGTGTTTGATCTCTTTTGTGTTTAAAGCTTATTAAAGCCGTTAATCGGACTTTGGTTTGAAAAAGCTTTGGTTTAAAAATATACTTACATATACTTTAATCTTTTATTGGAAAAATAACAGATTAAAATAAATCTCTTGTTTTGATGAGTTTGCTGATCATTTTTAGAGTTAATTTACTTTGAAGAGAAAAAAATGTGCCAGTAAATTGAGTTGTTATGCTGAATGGTAACAAATGCGTTAACCCACTCGGTTTTGGAGTTGAATTTTGAGTAAAAATTTTCAAGGCCTAGTTGAATGGTTGTAATGATGATTGTTAAGATAATTGTTTAAATGATTCATTTGTATGAATGACAAGTTTTAATTTTTGATTGTTCACAATTGGTAGGTTCAAATATCACCAGAATCAACCCAATAACCAGATGATATCACACCAATTGTTGTTGAAATGGATGTTTCTTGCGTTTCAAAATTTCTAGTCTTTGGGTTCAAATGATGATCAAATAAGCTAATTGAGCTTTCTTTTTATAATTCAATAAAGAATCAATTTGATCATTTTATATTTCTCCCATCTGATAAATGGTAAATTTAAACATAACCTTGAAACTGTTTAATCGTTTTTGATTGAAGTTCAATGAAATCAGAATGAAAAGTGAGCAAAGTGATGAGAGAAGGTTAGATTCTAACCAATTCAGTTGATAATTAAGCCACGTAAATGACGTAAAAGAAAGGTAAGAAGGAGAAATCTAAATTAACCAGATCTGTTCTCAATTACACTTAAAATTTCAGTAGAACATGTTGAATAGATTATCTTTTTAGCTCCAATAGTGAAAGCTGTTTTCAACATTAACGTTTGAAATCCCGCAAGTTTACCGATCCTATGTACATCTAACATCGGCTTTAGGTCGTCAAACAAGAAGTCCTTTTTGAAACTTAAAATCTTTAAAGCGTCACAATTTGTCGCAAGACTTTATTGTTTCAAGTTTAATTTATATAATACGTTAATTTATTATTAAGATGGTCGCTTAATATCTAGGTTAACTGCCAGAATTGATAACATTGGAACAATTAAAGACAAAAAATGTCTCAAGTAATTAAAATGAGGATAAATTTCACTCTTTCTTAACTTTATCAGGGTCTTGTTAATGTACAGTTCCAGACTTTAGTTGATGATGAGTCGTAATACAGATAACACAATGCTGCGTTGTTGTCAAAAGATAGTTCAGAGACTTTGAATTCCGGATTGATTGAAAGCTGACATTGAAAAGGGATTATTTAATGAAAATTAGTTAACAGGATCGTCAATAGTTGAATATATATTTACCTTAAGTTGGTATAAGCCAGGATTGAGATGAGTTATATCAATCCACTGACAATCAATGTTAGATAAATAGGTGTCTACACAGCCAACTGAGATTCCCTGGGTTCCCATATTTTTACAGGAATATTTAATTGTTGATCCTGGTGAACAATTGTTGTCTTCAAGACAGAAACTTGCTTTATGTCCTTCTGCAATTCGTTTGCCATTCAGGTCCAGTAAATCAAAATGGGCAAACACTTCCATACTGTGGTAATGTCGATGGCATGAGTGCCATTCCCATTCTTGTTTGGGTAAAAACGGGATAAAATCAGCAGTTCCAATGTTACCAATTCTTGCAGTAAACCTTAGTAACCTTCGAGTTTGGAAAAGCCATTCTGAAAACAAAGGAAATGCATGGCAATAAAAACGTGAATATTAATAGAATTGAATAAGTTCCAAAGGTAAATAAAATATGATACGTATTCAATGTTACATGTATTACATTATTGGGTGCACAAACATAAATAAATGGTCGTGATTAAAAAACAATCTCTTAATTATTATAAGATGATCTTCCTAATTACTTGTTAATGGTTAACTGTAAAAATTGTACTTATTATAAATTAAAAAACTTACCAGAGCCTCTACGATCAATAGCGTAAGCATCACTTGACAAACAGTTTTCCTCTAATGCACATTGTAATAAGGCCAAAGGACGATCTTCTAGATACACTGATGAACCAAACTCTTTCTCATCTGGAGCCAGATCAGGTAATTCTAATCATAAAATTAAGAAAAATTAATTTGATTTGATGAGACAAGTATTAATTGACAATAGCAGTGGACAAAAATGCTATTGAAAATAATACATAAGATGTATCATAAGATGTTTTTTAAGCTTACCCTTTGTACACATGACACCAGCAATGTTTTTATTTGATTGGTCACATGTTGCGGGAACATATTTGTCTCGGACTTTACATTGATCAAGACTTTTTTCATAACCTTTACAATTAACGGATGGGAAAATTGGTAAACTTTGATTACTGGTAAACTCTCCAATTGAAGCAAACTGGCCATAACCAAGACCCAAAGAGCGACAAACAACCATTGCTTCCAATAAAGACCAACCATTACCACAAACAGTGTACCAAGTAAGTCTATCATTTACTAATAACACTTCAACTCGCCCTTCTTGATCCGTTCTTCCTCCTTTAAGACGTATGTCACTTATTTGATGAGCCTGTTCTAATTAATAAACCGTAATTAAAGATCTACTTTATTATCGATTTTAGTCTTGACAAGATTTTAACATTTTACCTGAAATTTATGTTTAACTAACTCAGAATGACGAGAATCTACGGTTTCAAGTTGGTTTGGACGGGATAATTGGGAATATTGATGTTTAACATGTTCCTTTGTCTTGCAGATCACACCAGCGGCTTCAATGGTCACACAATCATGGATTTTCCAGCCATCAAACTGACATTGATCTATTCTAGTTTCGTTTCCATTACAGTATAAATTGTCCATCCATATTAACTCTATATTAAGATAAGTGACGGTTTTAGTTTCATTAAAACTCTAATCTTAAAATGGCTAATTATACTTACTTCGTCCTTTGCCAAATTGTGAGTTGCTGGTTGGAATGGCGGCATGTTTAGAGTAACCGAGACTCGTACAAATTACTGAAGCCTCTTTCTCATCCCATTCATCGTCACAAATTGATCCCCACCGACCAAGATGATAAATTTCAACATTACCTTCATGTTGACTTGATCCACCGACCAACCTAACTCGACCCTCACTGATTGTAGCTCTCCTTCTTGAGCCTTGATTACGACGACGATGACGGCCTGCCAAGTTGTACAAATATTGGCAAGAGACGATTGAAGTCAGGTAAATTGTGAGGATAAAACAACAAGCTGTGTGATAATTTAAATTCATGATAGCGTTAAAGTCAACAATATTTACAAGACTGACTAACTGTCTAACGATTGAAGACAAAAAAAGTGATGAAGCAAAAAATGACCCACAAAAATTGCAGATTGAATAACATCAATCTATAACAATTTAGCTTACTCCCGATCACCTAATTCGATCCGCTTTTACTATCTTTGGAAAGATGATTTTTTATCTATGAGTGTTTTAAATTTCTTTGAGAATAAGTCTGATGTTAGAATAATTACTCATAATTCAGGATTTTAGGTCAGAATGAATTGAAGGCAAGGTCTCAGACTGTGTTGCTAATGATGTTTTTAAGTGAAAATAAAGTTGTTTGCGAAAATCAGATGTGTTAATTTCATTATAAAATCTAATTTTGATTGATTTTAACGTGATAAGCAAAGCCCAAATAAATTATTCCCTTTTCAATAAATCTTTTAAATTAATAAAATAAAATGGAAACTTGGAAATTATCACTAAATATTTATTTATATGAATTATAAATATAATTAGTTGTCAATTTAATCATTCTGGTGGAGTCAGTTGATCATTTCGTACTAAAAGACAGAAGAAGAATCCTCTTGTTAGAAGGGTTTCATTTGATCTAATTACTTTTGAAGCAAATGGATAATTTGAATCACTTCTCATTGGCCAATCTGGTAATGGATCAACTATTGTATAATTAGCTGCTTCCGGAGATTCGTCCATTGCTGTCTTCACCACCACTTCATTTTCAAACGTTTCAGTAGAACATGTTGAATAGATTATCTTTTTAGCTCCAATAGTGAAAGCTGTTTTCAACATTAACGTTTGAAATCCCGCAAGTTTACCGATCCTATGTACATCTATCTTATTTGCGGACATATCAGGTCGACCAGAACCAGAACAGGATGGATCTAAAAGTAAAACATCTATCTCAGGATTCTGTAGATTTGGTGCTAAATCTATAAAATCTCCGTGAGTTATGGAACAACATGAAACACCCAGTTTATCCATCAACTTTTGCATATCTTTCAATCGATTCTCATCTCTATCAATTGAGGTAATAGTTCCTTTATTTTTCATACAAGCGGCCATTGCTGCTGTTTTGGTACCAGGAGCACAACAAACATCTAAAACGTTAGCCCTCTTCTTAAGTTTCATGGCTTTAACAGCTAATAAACTAGCCTTGTCTTGAATAATTACTTTTCCTTCCAGATAAATATCCAAACAAGTGATGTATTTGGTGGCTTTAGGTCGAAAAACAAGAAGTTCTTTCTTGAAGTGGAAGTCTTTTTTGAAACATCTCATCTTTAAAGCGTGACAATTTGTCACAAAACTTCGCAGCGTTAGAAAGGAAAATAAAAATTAGATTAGAAAATTGTAAGAGTATTTAGCAAATAATTACCTTTCAAACGATTCATCTTTAGTTTCATCTTGCGTAAATCCATTTGCTAACAGAATTGGAATTATTTCGGACATTTTACACTTCAAACGATTGATCCTAAGATAAATGTGGGTTTGAGCATCTCGTTTAGGCGCTAATTAAAAGTGTCAAAGGATATTATGAGAATCAAAAACAACTGAGAAATTTGAAAACAAAAGAAAACAATTTCCATACCTTTCATCGATGCTAATTTTCGTCGATTATTTACAATAACGTTAGTTTCGGGGATATCTCTAGGTAAAGAGTATAGCGCAACTTTCCTTTCAAAAATTAATTTACCAATTAACACTTGCAACAAATACTGATCCATCGGTTCCTTAGTAGCCTCCAGACAGAATTTTTTCATCTTATCGATAGATTCTTTATTTTGAATTGCTTTAATCGTTAAAGCATAAATTGCTTTCTTTTCCTAAAAGAATGAAAGATAAATTTAATTCAAAGTGTCAATTGATACTATCATAACTTACCCAAGTCGAAACTGAAGAAGGTAAATCGGACATACATTTTTTCAATGATAGCTTTTTGCTGTCAATTTTTTTCAATATTGAGGCAGCTAATTGGTATTTATTTTCAATATTTGTTGCTTCATGCATTATGGCAACCTTTTTCCTTTGAATATGAACAATAATATGTAATCCCAACAAAAACAATCTCAAACTAGGGAAAACTGTTGATTTTAATAACAATTATAACAAAATAAGTTAACTTTAAATGGATATAAACAATTAAACGAAGGCAACATACAAATTATCACATGTGTTTTTGTTTTCAGATTCATAAATTTGGAGCTTGAATGGTTTCCTAGATACCATATCTGGAGGGAATTTCAAAGTTATTCTTGATAAGTTCAATTTCTCATTTCGTCTGAAATAAAATATTATAATCATTATCTTAATTATGATTTCATATTATGTTTTTGCCACTACTTGATCATCTCAGTTATGGAGGCAACAAATCAATTATCAATCTTGACTAATTACTCTTTCGATGTACAACTCTTTTGATATTGATTAGGTGGAAAGATTGAAACTGAGTTAGCTCCATGTATTACTTGTGAGTAGTTGAAGATGGGAATAAAATTTGACTTTGATAGTTGAATAGCAAATGTTGTTGTTGATCATCACCATGAATATAAATAGATTATCCTCTTTCTCCTAATCAATCTTAAATACTTGTAACCGTTATATCAACAAGCAATTTGCAAGCTCCAAAGAAATGCTAAAAATTCTTGTTTCCTGGTAAAAAGAAAACAGTAAACCATGATAATCATACAGGAATCAGCTTGAAAAAAAAGAGAACCATCATAACCAAGAAACAATCGTCAAAACAACAGCTTGGATTGGAAAAATTTGCTTTTTATGTATTAAACCCATTTGGCATAATCAGGTTTGGCCATTGTTCAATCAACTAAATTCCTAGAAAACACATTCCATTTGATCCTGTAAATTGTTTCATTTCATGTCGTTGACTGTTATTTTAGCTTGTTGTGAGAAGTGGAAAAGCCAAAAGAAACCAAGATCGAAAAAAGAGATCAGCTAATAACCTAAAAGAGATGAGCAATTAAACACAAGGTATTGAGTGAACAGTAAAACAATCTATTTTAAGGATTTAATCAAAATTAAACATTAATCTTACCCAAGATTCACTTAATAATTAATTTAGTATTTTGGTTTTAACCGTAACCCAAAACAAAGAGCATAACCAACAACAACAATGGGAAAAAAGTGCGTCCATGTTAATGGAGGGAAAATCAAATCATTTGCCGTAATTTTTAAAATCAATTTTTGTCTAATTTTCTAAATTCCTATTTTTATGCATATTTACTCAGTCTGAATAAACCATTGACTGATAATAGTCTTGTTATATTGTAGCTAGAAATATTTCATGAATTTGCTTTATCAACCAAAAACGGTTGTTGAACACAAATGGGACATTTGAAAAATTGAGAGCAAGCTGTAAAGTATTTCTGATCATAACCGTTCTTTAAGTGCTGTTATTGATACTCATGTTGAGGTACGGAAACTTGATGATGACGATGAGTGTGAGTTTGAGTGTGAATGAGCTTCACTAGGAAAAATTGCTAGATGAACAAATGATGATGAGCAACCAAGCAATGGTTAAGAGACTAGTATTTCAAATATTTGTAAGTGTAGTACAGAAATGAAGATAAAGATGAACAAGATGATGCTGATGAATTTGCAGTTGTGAGGAAAGAGATGAGTGCATTTGAAATTATCCATGTTAAATGAATGAGCTGCCAAAATTGTTGTTTATTATGAAAAATTTAGATGATGTTGAGATTGAATCACAAACTTGCATAAGGTCTTATAAAGGAGATGATAAGTGATGAACAGTTTCCAAAAAAAATCATTGACAGATTCATGTTTATCTGACCTTGCTGATTGGAGGTTTATTAATAAACAATACAAACCATTAAACCATTTTTAATGATGATTGGGTTGATTACCAGTAAAACTGTATTCCAGCCTTTTCTTGCTTTTCCAGCGTTTCTTCATAAGCTGCACAAATAAAATATTAATCATGATGATTACAAATCTTAATGAGTCAACTTACCTTCAATGTTTACAGGCATCATTATCATTGTTAAGCTAAACGGTTTCAAGTTGAACGATTAAGTTGAAATTCAATTTTTCACAAAATTGCAAGATTTTTAGGTTTAGGCTTAAACAATAGCCAAGGTAACAAGCTTGATGAAAATGTACCTTTTGTATTATTAGTAAACCTAAAATTTGACTTGATTAAAATTCGTTGGCGTTCAATTTAAGTCACATTTATACCTATTTTTTTATTGTTGAATCTTTTAAGCCGAGACTGATCAAGTTGATGAATTAATTTAGAGTTTAAAGGATAAAGATTTACAATCGTAACTAAAAGGGTTACAGAGAGATTAAAAAGGTTTAGGATTAAAACAATAGATGGCAATGAAAATGTGATGAGCTTAAAGTTCATTGGCAAAAATGGATGTGAGTTATGCTGATATTTTGTGTTTATAATTGGCAATCTTAATTGTTTTCATTGTAATCTTCCGTCATTTTTAATCATCTTTAGTCATCTTGTTTATCTTCCCATTTCATGTCCTTGTTGCTTTGTTGCTTGCCTCACCAATTTCAATGTAAATAGGGATTTACTGTTAAACGTGTTCACTGTCAGTCTTTCAACAGATGACAACTTTTTTTTCAAGTACAATGAACTATGCTGATTTGATGACACTACTTGTTGATTGTTGATGCTTAGGAAATGCTGTGAATATTGTGTTTAGGATTAACAAATGTTTAACAACTTGATGTGATCAATGGTGGTGCTGTTTAACCTGTAATCTCATGAAATGTCAACATAACGCCAAATCAATATGTATTACTTGCTGTCAAAGGTTTGCCTTGAACTATATCACCAAAAGGTCGATTGATGTGGGAAAAAGGATTGAAGAAAGTGATTAAGATACCTGTTTCAACTTTCACCTAATTGTTGCTGTTGTTTTCAATCATGTTAATAGATGTTGAAATGAAAAATTTGTGGGTTGGTAGCAAATGTTATAAATAAATAACGTTTATAAATGGGATAAGTGGTAAAACAGTGACAAGGAAGAAATAATGATAATGATGAAAATGAAAATGAGAGGTTAAACATTTAAGGTTATTCCTGAGTTGGGTCAACATACATATTTAAATTTATTTGGAAGCTAATGATTATAACTAAACTATTAAACATCGGTTTATCATTATCATTCTTGCCTCAAATGTAAAAAGTATATAATTATTGATCAATTTTACATTTTGTATTCACTGTTTCAATCATTTTTCCCCTCATATTCAATATCATATACGGTCAGTATGCCCAAAATAAAGTCTTGGGATTTGCCTTTTCTCAGCTTTGCCCAGAATTTTCCAATCAAAGTTTCATCGAAATCAGTGAAAACCAAATGACGATTGGGAATATTGACTGTAATTTCATTTACATTTACTGACAGATTTTGTTCAATTTCAATTTCAGGTTGGTTCCAGTTTCTGGTAGAGACATCGCTCAAAATGATCAACAAGCTGTAAATTTCACAAACCGAGAGGCCGACCACATTAATATAAATTAGCGGAAAATATTGGAGACCATTTTTAATTGAATTGGATATTTTATTGTTATAACTGTTTTGGACAGAAAAAGTTTCAAATTGGACGTTCATTGTTGCTGTTTAAATTAAATATATTGATTGTGGATTTACGTCTTGTTACATGGTTTTATTTGTCTGGTGACAATACCGATTGATAATAGATTATCATAAATATAGTTATATATATATATGTTTGTGTGATTGTATGTATAAAAGGCACGAATAAATTGGACGTAAACGATGATAATCAAGATTTGGTCACCATGATTGAAATGCAATGTGTAATGTAATTAGAAGAATAGTTATTAGCCAAGTTTTTTCGATGTTGCTCTTTTAACACACAATATTAATTTAAATATCATCAGACTATGATCAGGTTTGGTCAGATCGCGATTGACGATGGAGACATGGGTAAAACAGCTTCAAAAAAACGTTGGCCTTTTCAAGTTTATAGCTACCAAAGTGAAGAGACGGAGATCACAGGGATACAATGTAAAGCTTGGAAATGCGTGGTTAAACGGTAATCAATAAATGATCAACAGGCACTTGGAGAGTCACAAGGAGTCGTTGAATCAAGCCATTGAGAAGAAACAAAATTGAGTCACTTTGCTTGATTGTTTTCCTTTGCCAATCATTGCTATCCATTTCAAAAAAAGGTGATTTGACTGATGATTCTTGGTTCATGCAAAATAATATTCAAGGTAAATCAATGCTTGATGTAGGTGGTAATAGTTAAGGAATAACTTTATGTTTGTTTTTATTTTGTTTGCATAGGGCCAAGTTGATGATGATTTCAGTTGGTAGTTGCTACTATTTAATGGTCAATCCATTGAAAGCAGGAAAAAAAATGTACGCACAAAGGAAGGAAAAGAAGGAAAAAAATTGTGTGTTTTATCACAATTTCAAAATTTAAGGTAAATGTGAAAAGGTGCAAAGATATATAATAATGGTGAAATAATAACTCGAAAGAAGAGATGAAAAGTAGTTACGGTATTTTTACAATGCAAACTTTTCCCAGTTTAGTTTATTTATTATGTAGAGATCTTGTTTCACTTTGTCCTTTGCCAAATTTCAGGATAACACATCAAGATTATCTGTTGAAATAATTCATCTTCATGGCTATACCTTTATAGCTGTGCAGAGGTCTTGTTTTTTGTGTGTTTGGTGTGTTATTATTTATATAATATTTTAATGGTTTGTTTCTCAATAAATAAAGCTGACCCTTTCATCTCTGATATCTTCTCGGAAGACTAAATGATATGGTGACTCGTAGCTTGCTGTTGATGATGAAAATGAGGTAATTGATGAATTGGATTCAAACAATATGGTTGAAGAGGTTGAAGACTTTTCTGAACTGGTTGAATGGTTTCTCCGTTCAGTTGACGCCGATCTGACCAATGTTGATGATTCCTCACTGATCATAAATCGTTTACAGGACGGAGTATTTGGAACCGATTTACTTTCACTTGAATTTGAATGGGAGGTCATCTTAAGGATAAAATAGTCTCGATTTTTGTCTTTCACTTTAACATCGTTAACATTGTTGTTTCCATTGATGTGAATGTAATTATTAATGTCATCTTCCATTGATTGATTCTCTTTATTACTTTCAATGACTACTTTGGGTAAAACCTCGAATGAACCGTTATTTGAATTTCCATTAACCCCAACCAGATCATCGACATCTTCCTTTAACCAAACATGTTGTAAACACTCTTTGGCAGTGGGTCGTTTCCTGATATCCGCATCATCGCAAAATCATCACCATCGTCATAAAGTTGATTATTGTCAGCAATCACAGAAAGTAAAAGGAAGGAGAAAAAAAAGATAAAATGAAAAATGGTTAAAACTGTGAACGTAAACAGAAAAAAAATGACAATCGATTGACAATTGACAATTAAGTTAATTACTTTGGATCTTTAACGAGTAAACTTTTAATAAAGTCAATGGCATTCTCAGATATTCCTTCAAACTCTGGTCCAAACTCGAGTTTACTGTTGGTTATGTTTGAATAGGTTTCTTGTTTGGTGTCTCCTGAAAATGGACTGTAACCAGTGAGAAGGACGTAGGTCAAAACTCCGATGCTCCTGAAAAGAGTAAATAAAATGATAAGTAAACAGTGGGTAAAGAGTGATGAATGATAACCAACAATTTATTAAAAGTGTGAATGAAATTGGCAAAAGTCAACACCAGGCTGATTGTAATTAATGGGAAAAAGAGTAAATAATTGAAATTGTTTTATGCAAATTGGCGTCTATTTTTTTCACAGCTTTTTTGGCGCTCCAGCAAATTGCAATGGCAAACAGATATAATTGTCAATAGCAAGAGTGAAACAAGGCGAAAAGTAAACAGACAACAAAAAAATGTGATCAAGAAATGATAATGAATCAATTACTGGATACATTTCAAAGTCTAGTTTGATTTTCATCTTTACACTTAAGGATTATTTCAAGCATAACAAGGCTAATAGCAATAAGACTGAAAATGATAAAAATGATTGTCCATTCAACTGGTAACTAAAAAGCGCTAAAGATATAAATGGATACGATTTTATGAGTTTTGACACTTCAAGACCTTTTACCTATGTTATCTATCGCTATCATATACTAAGTACATCTTCAACGTTCACAGATTAGGTAAACCTGGACAAGTTCATTGATCCATTCAACTGCAACACAATGAAGTTTAAGGTTGCAATAAAACTGACTGTTTCCGTACCATTGATGTATAACAGTGACTCGTTAAAATGAGCCAAGAAAAACATAAGATGAAGAAGGAGGGAGAAGAAGAAGATGAGGAAGAAAAGGTAACTGTGTGAGGTTTTGGCTCATTTTTTTAGCAAACTAAAGGAAACAAGGTTCGGCGAGTTTTACCATGGCCATCACACAAAGCCCAAGTTATGAGAAGAAAGTTGAAGAGTGAAACAAAGACAGGATGCAAGGTGGGTACAGGAAAGGAAGGTAGGAAGGGAGGAAAAATAAGGTGAGAATCAACAGGTAAGTTTACAGAAGAAAAGCAGAGTTATAAAAAAAGCAAGAGCCATTGAGGAGGAGAACGGAAGAGTTAATGAGTGACCTGGACGAGCAAATGCAGGTAAATAGCATATAGCATCATGTTATAATGTTACTAGTTAGCAAGTGAAAGAAAGGCAATTTAAAGGTCTTCAATGTTTTTGCCATTTCTTTTCTTTCTTTTCTTACCCTCTATCATCTACCAATCAGGCTTATTCTAGATTCATCTTAAAAATTTGTTATCATCATTCAGATCTTGTTGCTACTGTTCAGTTTGGATGCTACAAGCAAATATCCTGAGGCTTTGAGATGCTCTTAAAAAACTAGTTCGTAAGTAAAAAAAGTAGCCTTCTTTTTCATTCTCTTTTTTTCTTGGCTAAATCATTCTAATCACTTGAAAAATTATCAGACATCAATTAATCTGACAAGACAGACAAACAGATGAAAGAATAAGAATAAGCAAGCAAGCAGATGATGATGATAAGGCTGAAGGAGATATTCAGTATTCATTTCATGGTAACAAAAAGTAAGTCCGAAAAAGAGAGCAAGAAAAAGAAATAAACAAATTGAGAAGAGAAAAAAAAGGTAAGAAAAAAGGTAAAAATGAAAACTTACCACATATCGGTTTCCAATCTGATAGCTTCATAATGCAATATTTCAGGTGCTGGATGAGCAGAAAGAAAAGATATTCAATACATGAGAAAATGCAAATTATATAAGAAATTGATTCGATCTGAATCATTTGGAAACATCAACATTGGAAATGGCAGAAAGAAGAGCAAAATTTATTGAAATCTCAACAACCAAAGCTAAGAGATAATTTTCATAGCAATTGACATACAATTGCGATTATTTAACAATCAATTTAATACAAATGAATATGAGCTTGAGTAATAATTAACTGTTAAATCAGTCGAGAGATTTCAGTCTGAAAATGGCCTTAAAATGACTTTTTTGAATTGTAAAAATTTGCGTTTAAAATTTTAAGTTTATAGTTGAATGAAAATGAAAATGCATTTCCTTGAATGTTGGTAAAACTGGCAAATTTAAAACAAAAGGTAAATTAAATAACTTACCGACATAATCAGGTGTACCAACAATTTCTCGCAGTTCAACTCCTTCAGTGATTAATCTTGAAATACCAAAATCACACAATTTAACTTCCCCATCAGGTAAAGGACCCGTTAACAACAGATTTTGAGGCTGAATAAAAATACAATCAAATACAAAGGTTAGTGTGAATTTAAAATAACGGGAAAACAAGCAACAGAAACACCAACTGTAAATGACAGTTTTACAGGTTTTTCAGGTTAATATTGAAATGGAAACAAAAATGAGGAGAAACCAGTGATAAACTTGCAAAAGGTTAACAATCAACAAATGCCAATAAATGGATACTGTCCATTATTGATAGGAAGTCCAACTAGTCTTGGCTAGTTGCATCAGAGCGATAGTCCAATCTTAAAAAATTAAGTTGATTTACATTGATAATGTTTCTCTTTGTTGATCAATTTAGGGCAATTCAGGCTCAGTATTTGTTTTGAACTTGAAATGTAAATTGTAACCAATATTGACTTTTGTTTCAATTCAAAAAATTATTTTGACACCATTGGATTGAAAGAGTTTAATTTGAATTGTTTCCCATAAATTTAACCCAAAACGACAATTGAATTTGGAAATTGTGTTTGAATAAAAAAGTATCTAAAAAACGTTAGGAAAAAGCAAATGAATGAAAGTGAGGAAAAAAAGTGTCAGACTTGTTTACAGAGTTTTCATTGTGACAATTTAATTAGTTGATTAAAATTAACTAACTATTTGAACTAAAGCTTTTCTAATAGATATCTGGATAAGAATGGAATGAATAAAATTGCAAATGAATGGTAAACAAATGAGTGAGATTTGTCAAATAATGTGATTAAGATGTAGATCAAATTGCTATCATTAAATTGAACACACCTTAACCAGAAAACGGGTTAATTGGTCAAATAACAATTCCGTCCAATTTTTGGACTCACTTTGTGATAACCATCTCATCTCGACACATCTCGTAAATCTCATTAAGTTAAGCAAGAAGTGAGTTTAAAACACTGTTGAGTTAAAAGCCAACTTGCCTCCAAATGCTTATTAAAAGTGTCCACTGTTGATCATTTACCACAATCAGACTTGGATAAAGTGAAGGTTTATCGTTGTCCATCTTTCCATCGCAAGTCTTTCATCCATCAAAAACCATGGCCCATGTTCATTATCGCCAATATTATTGGTGCTTTTTAATCATGACCGTTTTACCGAAGTTAGCTTATTCCAAAGGAGATTGTGGTAAGTATTCGTGATTATTTAGATTCAGATTCTTGACGAGACTTGAGTAAATTATGAAAAGACCTTTTCTGAAATATATTTCATATTTCGATCGTTCAATTAGATTGTGGAATTGGTGGCGAACCAGTTTCATCTAAAATTTATGGTGGATCAGTGGCTTTTTCTGATGAGTATCCATGGATGGCCCACTTGAGGTAAATCATTTGGAATGCTTAATCTTTTGTAACATTGTAACCTAGTGTTTATCTTGCTTCAGGTTTTTTGATAAAGTTGGTGGTACTCGATATGGCATGTGTGGCGGCTTTTTGATAGATTCAAGACATGTTATGACAGCAGCTCACTGTATAATGGAAACTCAAACCAAAGTACGAAAAATTGAGGCAACCGAGGTGTATCTTGGAGTGCATGATTTGAGTAAACTAAATACAGCCCATAAGGTCAACACTTTCTATTATCCGGCCAATTATAAACAATACGATCTCTCCAATGACATTGCCATCCTTCAATTAGCCAATCCAGTTAATTTTACCAAAAAAATACGTCCCATATGCTTGCCTAAATCAGATGATGAACCATATAAACGATTAATTGTGGCTGGTTTCGGTCGACTTGGTCCCAATATGGATACATCAACACTTTTAATGCATGTCAATGTTGAATATATACCAAGTAAGTAGCAACATTTTTCGTTGTCTGGTTCCTCTTTTTACTGGCAAACTTTGCTTTTCAATTCAGTAGCTTATATTGCAGAGTGTTGCCCAGAAAATCGCGAGTTAACTCTTAGTTGACCATTTTATTTTGTCTTTTTTTAGATCCCAAATGCAATGAAATGATCAAAGATTATTTCATAAGGAACAATCCTGACATTAAGAAAGACCCTGACCGTTATGATATACCCAAGGTACATGATACTCACATGTGCTGTGTTGATAAAAGCACTGGAGGTGATGCATGTAGAGGTGATTCTGGTGGTGCTTTGATGTACAAAAAAGACGGACGCTATTACGCAGTAGGCATTGTTTCAGGAGCTTTTGATGAATGTGGTGATCCACGAACACCAGGTTTTTACACAATTGTCAGAAAATTTAGGGAATTAATAGGAAAGGCGACAAAAGATGCAAAATTTTGTAGCTTTTAAACTCAACCCAACTAGGTAACTATCACTTTGTAAAATAACATTATTCAAAACATTAATGTACAATGTAATTTATTGAAACTACAAGCTAACTCAAAGACACCTTTGAGCAGTTTTTTACGTTTTTAAATAAGTCAAAAAAACTTGAAAATAATTAAAAATGAAACATTTGATTTCGGCCCAAAAGCTGTAATTACGTTGTCGCGAACGAGTAACAGTGTCAACTCGGCAACAATTATCATAGGAATTATTGAAAATACTAAATCTTATCAGATAGTCTGAAGGGGCTTATTAAAGCCCAAAAAACTGGTCATCACAGTCAACATGAAAGGCTTAAAAATAATGTAAAAGTTCATTTTTTTTCTGTCATTTTCAGTCTCTTTTTTATCAGCTTTTCCTGATGCGTTGGTTTTAAAAATTTGTATATTTTGGGGCGACATTCAGGCCAAGACCTTTCGTTTGCAATTAACGGAAAATTTATTGAGTTCGGAGAAATTTTGACACAAAATTACCAAAATGGTAATAATATTATGGATAGATATTAAATTGTTAAAGTATTTCAATCAATAATATTTAACAAAAATTAGATTGTAAATTGTTAGCAAAATGGATTGAATGGGAAAAGTAATAAAAGATTTTGCAAAATTTTGCTCCTGGGCTATTCAATTTCAACCATTCCTCAACCTTTTCTCATTTTTTCATCTTTATCTTGTTGATCATTTTCATCATTTTCATCATCATCCTTTCATCTTCACCTTTTATCTACCTTTTTTAGTGTGACATATTCATTGCATTAACCTTAATTTTTAGTTTTACCTTCATTTTGAACGAGTTGAAAGCAAAAATGAGAATCAAGCTATCAAAGTGAAACAAAATGAATCAAATAAATTGTGTGACCAATTAGATGATTAGTTAACAATTGGTGACCAATGATGATGATGACAAAATTTAGGTTAATGGCTCATTCAGTCTCAATGAAGAAAGTAAGATGAAAAAAAAGTGAGACAAGCAAATCATTTCAATCATTCAGAAATATGATGATAGATGATGATATTTGCAAAATCAATTTCAAAGCCTTTTCCATTAAACAACTCAACATTCAATGTTAACAAATTAAAACATTTAACTCAAATAATTGCTAAATTATCTGTAAATCCATTTTTCAACAATTAAAATTGTTCAATTTACTTTTCTCTGCATTTCTTTCATTTTCATCTTTTTACCGTTTCATGTCAAGTTGCTAGTCAATGTTCAACAATCAACTTTTACGCAAATTGTTCAATAATCATTGTTATAACCATCATCATGACAATTAACAAATTAACTGTAACAATTTGCAACTCATCAACTCTCATTATTTTCATGTAACCCAGATTGGTTAACAATTAAATATCGATAATTGACTTGGACAAATTGAATAAAATCAATTGTAGAGAATCGTTATTATTAAATTTACGTTAATCACAATAATAAACATAAATTGCTGCTAATGATACTTTTGGAAACCTCAATTTTCATGATTGTTCACACAAAAGCAAATCTATGTTAGTCAATGAAAAGTTTCATTTTCATCAACAATTAGTTTCGTTTTTCCTGCGAATCAAAGCGTTTCGTTTCACCACTTTTTTCATTATTATATCATTTCAGTAATTTACTTTCTTTCCGAGTTCGAGGTTGATTTTACAGTTTAATTCATCCAATTCAATGATAAATTTAAGAGCACCATTAAAGCTTGATCATGATTTTTCAATTCATTTCCATTCTCACCAATTGTCCAATTAACTATTAAACTCTTTTTTTTCTTGTCTTCATGTTCAATTCATGAACCTTGACCGTAAATTTCAATACATATAAATATATTTCAATTTAAATTGGAATGATTTGATTGGATAAACATGGAAAAATTGTTGATACAATTTGATAATCCTTGATTTGGAGTAAAGGTTGAAAATTAAGTTGATATTGATTCGGTTATTGCATGATTAAGCATTCAATGATCAACTCTAAACATATTCAAACAGAACAATTGAATTAATTCATGAAAATCATACAAGTCTATGAATTGAAGTAACATTTAAATTGAGCAATTCATTTCCTCCAATTATAGCCATTTGATTGTGATAATTTTGATTGAGTTTTTCAATCAAAAAAGATGAAAATTTTTTCTGCAATTTCTCAGGTTGTAAGCAAAGGATTGAAAAGTGAAATTCATTATCGATTAAATGTAAACATCGAAGGAAAGTTTAATCAAAAGTTAATTAGTGTGGATTGTTAATCAAGGTTACAAATTAATTATGTTGCTTGGTAATCAACATAACTATTGTTTAATGTGCATCTTTAAAAGGTACGTAAGTGTGAAACAAAAGTTAAGCTCATTTTGTGTTCATACTTCACCTGTTTCCAGACTGTAAATAACAAGAGACAAAAGTTGATTGCGATAATAGAGTAATTTTTGTTAATTTGTCTCATCGTTATTGACTTTCACTGTCAATGTGCATGTAAGTATTCAGCTGTGGATTCAGTGTGATAATGATAATTCTGTCATCAACATCAACATCAACTGTCGAGTTAACTTAGCAACAAACAAACTCACGGAATGTCAACAATTAAGAATCAAGATTGTTCAAACTGAGAGTGCACTGAATGCACACCAAGAATGCTTAAAATTTGACTAAATCCTTGAAACAAGAGACAATAAATTGAGACTGAATCCATGGAAAAATTTTCCAAGTAAAATATTCACTGAAAACTCAACCAATTTCAAAGTTAAATTGGGTTTAGAGTTGATTCAAGGTGAGCTCAGAGTTATTTTCAAGATGTTTCAAAGTCGATTGAAAGTTGCTTTAAAAACAAAATGGTTGAATGAGCAGAGATGCAATTGATAACCGATAAGTTCATAGATAGAGATGAAAATACGTTATTTTTTGACGAAAAGTTGAGAAATAAAAAGAAGCTTGAAAAGCCTTTTATAGCAATTTTCAATTCTCTTGATACAATGAATAATACCTTGATTGGAAATGAATTACTTCCTTAACCTTGATTTTGAAGCTTTATTTTTTTACAACCAAACACTAAATCACTGGATATGCAACAATCAATATTCAACAATTAACATTCACTGACATAACATCATCAATTGTACCAAATTTTATAAGAATCATTTCCATCATTGTTTGGCTTTTTTGTTTCATTTTGCAATTCAATTGTTCAATAAACGATTGTAAATTGTATTCATAAATGGATGAGATAAAATCACAAAAGGATTACTCAGATGAACCTTTCCATGATACATTCTGGTATTCAAAATTACTGTTGAGATAAATTGTGACTGACAAACTAATTAAGCTGCAAGGTTAACATAACTTGATGCCAAAATTGATCCTGCCAATTGTACTTTGAGTGAGTGTAAACCCACATTAACCCAATATATGTAAATATATGAATGAATAAGTGAAGATGAAAATGATAAGTAAATGATCAACAATTCATTATAACAATTTGGGTTGTCATTAAGATTCCCATGTTATAATTGAAATGCAGATGAACACTTGCAACCTGTGATTAACAAATTGATAACCATGTTTGGTTAACATTTAATGTTTACAAATTCAAATAGATTCAGTTTTCACTTTCATAATCATTGTTCAAGGTTATTCCTAGTTATCATGGTCATGAAAATTGAGATTTTTTGTTTGCTTCTAATACAAAGAGTGAGAATTTTCGATGAAAAGGATCATGAAAATGATCATCTTCAAGGTAGATTAATGTCAGTTATTATTCTGATCAATTAAAGATCAACTTGTTTTTTTTCCCTGAAAGTGAATGGTCAAATTTTAATGATAACATGATTAATTTTAATCTAAAAAACTTAATGATCAGAAGCTGGTTCATTGAACTGATTCTTGGTTAATGTTACCAAAAAAAAGGTAAACTCACAATATTAACCAACAGGTAGATCTATCTTGAGGTGACAAAATTCAGTGTTTTTTATTAATGAGAAAAAATTGTCCAAGTAAAATGATAATCTTTTGCACTTAACTCAAAATGACCGCAAAGATATTTAAATAGATGCGGTTTGCATAATTGGACATTAATGATCACTGGTTAGTTTGTACTTTGATTATTGTATTAACTTTTTTTAACAGTTTCAGTTAATACAATTAAACGATTTTAGAGACTTTATTTAAAGCATTAAAATGAAGTTGAATTAATCATATTGGAACTTATTTTATCAAGTTTAGTCATTTACAGGTCAATCATACAAACTGGTAAATCATATGATTTAGCTAATCAATGAACAAACTTTGATCAATGATGAATCAATTGGTAGAGACGGTTAATGTTCAAGTAAACATTATTGTTGAAATTTCATGGAAAAGTTGATTTTCATGATGATACATCAGGCTTGGTGAAAGAGTTTTCACCCTTTCAGAGGTTAAAAGGTGAAGTTATAATTTGTTGAAAATTCACTTGAACTTTATCCAGATTTCAGTGACTCTTGAGTCCAAAATTTTCAGTTGACATTTTCATTTAGCACATTTGATGAAACAGTAAATTTTATCTTTGCCATTGAAATACCAGAATTAACTATAATTAATCAAAGTGTAATCATTGCAGTTGCTGCATCACGAGTTGAATCAATTTTTCATGGCAATAATGAAACAGGCAATTAAATCTATGGTAAAAGGTATCAACTAATCTGAAACCATTCAATTGATAAGTTTAATCGACTTTATAACCAAATCGAAAGGATTGCAAACTATTTCAACTGGACTTGGAAACTGTTGAAAGGTTGTTATCAAAAGTCGAATCAATCGATCAATATTTGGTCCAATGTGTCTAAATAAGTGGCTAAATAAGATCAGGTAAAACAATTGATCAAGTTTCGTCTTAAATGGTTTCCATTGTTTTTGTATATTAGCCTTTTAGACAAAAAAAAGAGAAAGGTTGTCTTCGCTTCAATAAATCACATTAACAATAAACTTGAGCAAAATGAATGAGAATGAAAACGGTCATAAATGCGCTAAAAAACACCGATGATAACAGTTTCAAATTGGGCTAATAATAGCATTGAGTCTCTATCAGAGTGACAACAATTCATGATAGATAATAATGAAAAGGAAAGAAAATTGAAACTTTTCTTTCACTTGGCACTTGACATAGACATCTTTTCATTCAACTCATTTTCATCATGTAACTGAATTTTTGACGCTTCATTTCATTTATTGATTTTTTACTGCAAACACTTTTCATGAAAAAAAACAAAGAGTTATACAGATCTTTATCCTTAAATTTGTTGCTTTTGTGTTGACATTTTTGCTCATATTTTTTACAAGTTAACCTGTTTCCGAGTTAACCTTTTTCATGTGTTCAGAATCGACTGAAAACAATTGATGCTATTTTCATTCAGGCCCACAACAAGTAGACACAGTCACACACAAATTCACAATATTTTGATATTTGTAACACTTTTCCAGGTTTCATTTTTTTTTCTTAACGCGAATCATCTGATTTTTAATTTTAATCAATCAAACAGTTTATCGATCATCATTTTCTGACACACTTGGCTCTAAACGGGAGCTCAACGTTAGACCAGCAAGATAGATCAGATTGCCCGATTCAATCGGCACTTTAATCAAGTCAATACACTTTGACTTTTCATTTTTGTCTAAAACAGTAAACACTTGATATTGGAAAACCTTAAATCACAGTTTATCGCCATTTATGTATTTCAATACTTAGTGAAACTAATCTTTAAAACTCTTGAAAGCAAGTTAATTTAAAACAAATTAATCAACACTTAAAAGTAATCAATTGTTAGTGTATTTTCATTAATTGAAGTGATAATGTTTCATCGATTGATTCAACTTTTATGGACAATTTATCTATTCAATTCAATGATTCCGTACCAATCAAGTTTCCTTGTAATCTCTTCTGGCCTGGGTTCTCGTCGCTCAATATTTGGTAATGTGCTTAAAACTCATGGTATTTTTGTGCCTAAAACACCGATTCGACTGTTGCCTAAATTTGGTGAAGTGATTGACGGTTCATTGAGGACCAAATTGTTTCGCTGGCCAAAGGAAAATACAATTGAAGTGAAACCAATAGAGTTGACCAGTTTCCTGAAATCGATTCCACATTTTACTTCAGCTGCATCGGCTGGACTCTTATTGGAAGCACCTCATCATGCACTTCAGTTGAACCTAAAAGGTTCATCAAATAAAAACAACAATCAAGGTTCACAGCAAAACTATCAACTAGTCGATATTCAGGGACTCAATGGATATCATGGTCCTGGCCATGATCAACCCTTTTCAGATGGAACTTATCCCGAGACTTTGACCGTCTCTGGAAATGAACATTCAGACGATGCAACTTATCTTAAAAATTCTGGTCTTTTACAGCCAGTTACCATTTCTGGTGATGGAAGTGAAGATGAACTTCGTTTATGGAAAATTAAACCCAATTATCAACCGGTACAATTTTATGAACTTCAAAGTCATCAGAATATATCTCCATCTCCATTGACTTCATCGACTCAGTCACAGGGTAAACCTCAAATGGCTCAGATTGGAATGGCTCAAGTAGGCAATCGCTTCATTGCACAGAATCAAAATGGTCAACGACAACAAGGTTTAGTTCACAATACAAATGGTAATCGTGCTCCTGTTATTCAAACAATTACTCATCATGTACCTGATGTGAGACCCGTTTTCAGTGGATCGGAAAACAAGCCTGTCATTCATCCAATGATTCCATGTAATCCTAATCTAATCCCAATGCCAGTCAAAATGAATTCAACAAATACGGCAACGGCAATTATTCGTGTTCCCGTACCAATACCAATGATGGCAAATGTTGCAGTTCAAAATCAAGTCTCTCAGCCATCAATGAACCAACAAAACTCTCAAAGAAACCAAGCACCACATTTAACCAAAGATCAAGTTCAAAATAATGAAAGAAAACCTGAATTCAATCAACAAAATCCACCGATAATTTTTTATCAACCCAACGATCCAGGTTTAAACAAAGTTCCAAAAAATCAATTGTTCCCAATTTTCATTCCTAACCCTTCATCTTATGAGGTGAGATCATCTCAAACAACACAGTCACCACTCACACTCACAACTAACCAACAACAACAAACACAACCACAGCCACAGCAGCAGTACCAACAACATCAACAACAACAACAGCAACAGCAACAGCCACAGGAACAACAAGTGCCACTTCGTAATACTTATGAGTCTAATAAACCAACTGCGACAATAACAGCTTTAACTTTAACTTCAAGTTCAAATGATATTAAGGCGGAACCAGCGCCTCGAAAGAGGCCACCAGTTCGGCCTTCTTCTCATGTTTTAGCTATTGAAAGGGAATCGGCTCGATCCCTTGCAACAGCTAACAAAAAACGTCAAACAGTTCACAATTATCGTCATCATAATGATCCAAGTTCAGCAATGGAATATGAAAATTCGGAGGAAACTGACAATTACCGGTTTACAATGCCAACACCAGATTCACTATCCTCCGATATCGATGATTTAACAGATAATTTGGACATTTCATCAGATCGACCTTTTTCACCATTCTCTTCATACTCTGTACCCCATCGAGGTCATGATTACAATGAACTGGATGACGATTCAAAATCAGCTGCCTCAGATCCTAAAGGAATGGAATACATATTTCCATTAGATGGAGCCAAGATACCGAGGTCAAGATTGTCATTAACCAAACCACGACCTCGACCATCAAGTTCAATGTCAACATCATCCTCACCCTCAACATCATCACCTTCATCTTCCTCATCTTCAATACCATCAATAAAGTCACACATTTCAATTTATCCAACATCAGATGAAGTAAAAGTCAATCCCGAAGATTCAAAGGCAACATCACAAGAGACGAGTTTAACCAAAAGTGATCGTAAAACGTTTGATAAAGGCTACGAAAGGTCAAAACATCGGCTATTTGAACAAAAAGTGGAAGAACTTTGGAAAGAGAAAAAATGGAACAACATTGGCAAAGAAGAGTCTGAAATTGAAACTCATGGCATGAAAACTGAAATACCCTGGATAAGTAGACGAAGAGATCGACGTCGACCTTTATACACGGACAAAAGGCCGCTTAAATATTCAGATCGACCAACTTACAACCGAGAAGATGAAAGCAAATCCGATGACAACAACAAGGACAATTTTCAAAGTAATGACAATAGCAATGTTAATGGTTTTGATGAAAATGAGTCGATCGATGATAAAGATTCAAGAAAGGTTGAACCAAACAGGAAAAAGGATAACAGGGAATCCAATGGTAAATATAATGATTGGTCAGCCGAAGCTGGATCTTCAGGTTGGCGTACATCTTATCGATCTTGAACAATTTACTCACATTTTACTCGCAACCATTTTTTTCATAGTTTAATATTATTAACCTTATTAACATTATTTTGAACAACAACAAGAAAAAAAACAAAAATAAGAAACAAATTGACATAAATCAATTGGTTTTACCTGCTTTACATTCGTGTTTCAAATGGCATGATAATAGTCAAGATAACTGCCACGTAAATGAAAAATTAATCAGTGACTATTTAGATAAAGCAAAAAGGTTTGACTCTTGATCAAATTAAATTGGTTCTATCATTACTCAAAATTAGTTTTAATCAGTCAACATGATCACCATCATTGAAGCATAATTTGAAACTCAAACGGATATAAGTATCTGTATTTATCTCGCCCCAATCTTAATCTGAATATCAATCTAACTTTCTTTTCCTTATATATTCCGTTCACTTTGGATAGGTGCTTAAACTTAACCTTCATCATCATCTTCATCATCATCATCATCATCATCATAACATGATTTCGCTTGTACGATTGTCTTGGAGGTCACTTATTCATGGTGTCCTCAGGTTTCCTCAGGCTGTAATTGTGAAGGATCTCATAAGATTTAAAGTTGTTGTTTTTGATGATCATCATGATGAAAGAGTAGTGATAAATAATTATAAGGAAAAAAAAGGAGCAAAGCAAGGGTAAGAAAAGGGATCAAGTGATAAATTGAGATGAAATGGCGATTCACTGAAATGAGCTTAATCAGAACCTCCGTTTCAAACGATGAGGAAAAGGTGCTAGAAACGGATAATCGAGAAAGTAAAGATGGGAAAAGCTTTTTCATACAAAAAGTATTGAAAAGCAATGAAAATACAAGTTTTTTTTGCATAAGTGTTGAGCGTGAAAAGACTTGGTTATTAACTAGATGGCAATGAGAGTAAAATTTATATAATTTGCAAATTATAACATAAAATATAAATTGCTGTTTCGGTAATTGATTAGGCTGGTAATTTGGATAGTTAAGGAGAGAACATAAAAATGAAATTGAAAAAATTATTCATGAATCAGGATAAAGTCAGTAAATTCACAAGATCAGTCAGCTTATTGTAAATGTGATATTTTTTTCACTAACTTGTGGAATTGCTTTGCAATTAATTTCACATTTTTTGTTTCATAAATTTTTCCTAAGTTTAACTTGGGATGGAACAATGAAGAAAAATGAGAATAATTTAAGCGAAATATTGAATCCAGAATCGTTTTTAGCAACAGCTAAATAAATATTAATGCGTGCGGAAATAGCATTTAAATCTTAAATGTAAAAATAGAGAAAAAAGTGAAAAAAATTGCTAAAAAATGGAAACATAAAGAGCAAGAAAAATAATGAATGGACGATAAGAAAGGAAATATTGAGTAAAATTATAAGTTCACTTGTATCATGCAGCTAATGATGCGCATTTAAATAGCTGAACTTGACATGGTATGATTGGTAAAGTTTTGATAATCTTTCCTACAATCAGCAAGAATTAATTGATTGTGCATTTGCTATGTGAACAAAGGTCTACCGAGCAAAATACAACTCTCAGTAATCCTTTCATCTTGGCAATAAAGATAAGACGGGATTTTGCTCAGTGTATGTGTTACAATGTTTTTGAGTTAAGTGTCCTTTGAAAATGTGTTGAGTTAACAATGGCTTTGAAAGGTTTATCACTGGTTTTAAGTTAATGGTTAGCATTTAAACGAGTCCTACCTTGATGTCGAGATGGGCGATGTTATTGCTGTGTAAAAATTGTAAAGCTTTCAAAATTTGACGTAAAAGTCGGATAACATCTTTCTCTGGAACGGTGTCTTCTTCATCCAAGACTCTTTGTAATTCACCACCTTTTACCCTGTAAGATGAGGAGAAAGAGAAAAAAGAAATTAATTAATGGAACAAAAAATTAACAAAAAGAGTAATAAATAACAATCACAACTGATAGCCAAAAATGCAGCTTTAATCAATATCTATTATTAGCTTTTGACTGGTTCAAGTAGCATTTCGTTTTGCCATTGCATTTGATGTTTAGTTAATGGAATCGCTCGTTGTAAGTCTAATACAATATTTAAAAACGGCTAAGTCAATTAAAGTTGGCAAATTGTTTAACTGTATCAGGTTCCTGGTTAATCAATGATTGATATATTATGGTATTGCAATTTTATGGCTCTGATTGTTATTTCACATTTTATGATGACGCTTTTTCCGCTTGTCATGTTGATCCTGGAGAAGCAGAAGTAAACCCTTACATTTCTAATATTAATATGAATTCCGTTGGAGTCTCGTAAACTTCATGTAATCGTACAATTCCATTGTTGTTTTGGGATAACAAAAGGACGCCAATTTCGTGCATTATTTCATGGCGAACATCGGTTGATCGTCGACGCTTCTTGATTGATTTACCAGCATATTCAATGCCTGTTTGCCTATGGAGACATCTTTTCACTTGTGCAAACTTGCCTCTACAAATTGAGAAAAATAAGGAAGAAAAAAAGAAAGAAGAAAATTGCGATTAAATGGTACAAACGAAAAGTGAATTGAGTCAAAAGCGTTAATGTAACAGATATAAACAGGAAAAAAAATCAGCAGTCAATGAGATCAAGCTTCAGTTCAAGGTTAACATTTTTTTCTCACTTGCTTATTATCTGCTTTTACTCTCTATCTTTCGTTTCTTTCTTTTCTTTCTTTCTCCTTTTCTCTCTTTTGGTTCCAAACGATTGATTTAGAGAATGAAATCAGATCAATTGAGTGGGTAAACAAGTAAACAATTAAAAGACAAAAAACACAATGAGAAAAAAACATTAAACAGTTATACAGCTGAAATTAGTTTATCATCAACACATTTGGGTTTACCCATTAGTCTCGGTAAAGAGAAATGAATTGATAATTCTGGTTGTTATCGGTAGTTCTGTTGAATTTTTGTTTCATAGTTTATTATGTAACTAAAATGTATTGTTGGGCACAAAATTTGATGGTAAACTGATTTTTGGGTTGAATAAAAGACCATTGGAACACAGCTTTGGGCTTACCTTGCAAATGGTCGAGGGTCAACTTGGTATACTGATTCAAGTGGCTCTTGGCAGATTACAATGTTCACAGGGAAATTATCCTCATTGATAAATCCTTTAGTCTGTTGATTTTGTTTGATTAACGGGCCCATACTTATTTGAACGACAACAATGAAAAACTATTTGATAATTGAGATATATTAAGTTGAACGTTATAACAGGTGATGTTATTAAAGATGATGATGGTGATGTTGGTGATGAAAATGAAGAAAAAGAAGAGGAAATTATATAAAAGAAAGTTGATAGAGAAAAGGAAAGAAAGGAAGAAAAGGAGAAGGGAGAGAGAAATGTGGATAAGAGAGGGAAAAAGGCAAATCCAAAATTAGAAGAATGAGAAGCAAAAAACAACAAAATACATCAAAACCAATTAATGTAAGAAGGAAAAAAAAGGTAGGCAAAGAGAGGAACAAGAAACCTTCGCTGGTAACACATAAAAAGTTAAGGTAAATGATAGTGTGTGATGTTGATGTTGGTTGTTGGTTGTTGGTGCAGTTGTTGGTCCTCCAAAAAAAAACAGTGATCACAATATAAAAACTGGTGATGTTCAACAAGTGAGAAGGTTAAACAAAAATGGTTGAGACGAAAACAAAGAATAATGTTGTTGAATTATGTTGTTCAATTGTGTTGATGATTAATGTTCATTTACTATGGGAAACACAATCGTAGATGGGGAGAAGATAGAGTTAATTGTTGATTTGAAGTACACTGATTAAATGATGATCAGAATGATGTTAAATTATATTAAGATAATGTGATAGTAAAGAAAAGTTTTTTAAATTACTTGCTTCTCTCTCTCTCTCTCTCTCTCAACGGCAACCGTTTGTTAACAGTCATATGAGAAACTCCGCCCAATCTTTATAGTTTATGCTGACATCTAGATTTTAACATAGTAACCAGGTGGCTCTCATTCATAAATATTCATAACAATAAACTCTGATTCAATAAAAACTAGACACTAGTCAATACATTCATCGACTAACTGAATAAGTCGACTCATTTCCCCTGTTTTTTAGTCTTTTTGAGAAAAATTCAAAAATTTCAATCAATTCATGGTTTTGTTCACCCTTTCACCAAAAATTGAGTTGTTTTTTACACATGTTATCGAGTCGACTTACAACTTGTTAGACTTGTCCAATTTTCATTGACTGGCTAACTGATGTGACTTGATTGCCATTTGATTGTTTATTTTAATTGTTTTTGTTTAATTTTTATTTGTTATGTGCTGATAAGTCAACATTTAAACACTTTGTGTACTCAGTGTTATGATCAAAATTTAGGTTTTCTGTTTCTTTTGTGTTTTAAAAGGTTAGTACTGGGAGCATGTCGACCTATGGCAGGGAACCCTTTCATTGACCAAAAGATAACCTCTTAAGCTACAAAAAAATGTTTTATGACTGGACAAGGTTTGGACTTAGAGCTACTTAGCTCTCTCAGGTCAATGTGGAGTACGCATTATAACCAGACCAGATAATGGCTACGGCGAGTAAGCTCGGTGAAAATACAATTTTACTCATTTTTCCGGTTATCAGGTTTTTGCTCAATTTTGACTTTCTTTATTTTACTTACTAAATTATTATTATTAGTTTTTTGTTTTTAGGTGACATTGTTATTTAATTTAGGACAATCAATTTCAAGCCACAAGGGACAATCAATCAATTTTTTAAGCCAATTAGTTATTGTGTTACAAATATTGACTCACTTTCTAAGGTCGGATTACAATTTTGGTGTACAGTGGAGTACCAGATACTGTCAGTAACTGGAAATAGCTTATATGCACAGCAAGACTATTAATCGAGCTAAAATTTAAAATTAATAACAATGGTTAATAAAATTAAAGTCAGTTGCTAGAAAAGTCATACAAACTAATGTCATTGTGCTGAGGATCGTTAATTGAGTTGAATTTGTCAGAAATATTCAACTTTTTTGATAATTTCTTTATCATTTCAATTAAAACTTTCCTTATAGGCCTGTAAACAAAGGGTTTGAGGGGCTATTGAATAATCTACTGACATTATCTGGTACTGACACTATCTGGTACTCCACTGTATATAACAGCAACAAAACAAGTGATGAACCCTAATTACTACTCATACAATTTAATTGCCTTGGGTGATTTTCATTTTCTGTTCTCATTGTTTTAAATTTATTTTATTAACAATTAATGTGCTTATGTAACACTATTCAACATTCCACCTTTAACGATAATAATAAATTATAAACATTAAATGTAAATCTTGTTGAAACGTAAGTAGACTCATAAACAAAACAATAGCCCAATGGCTTATTAATGCCAATTATTGGTTTGGTGTCAATAATATTCCCTGTTAACCTTTTAATGATTAAATTTTATTGTTACAGCTATTAAGGGTTAATTTGTTTCAACATCATAATATTTCGGCAGCAATTGCTATCCAAGAACCACTAAAATTTCTCAACTTAATTGGATCATTTTTCTGCATTTTATAAAAAAAAGTCATTGACTATGAATCAGTTTGTGTGGTAAAATGATCAATAATTTCAATCCGAGTTTAATCAAGACATTCAAGCAATCTTACATCCGAAATTCGCGCTCAAATAGATTTCAATAAAGTGTTTAAAAAGCACAATAGATGGCAGTAGTTAGTTAGTCTCGCTATTTTACCGGCAATTTAAAGTTTAAACATTTGATCTTTCAGGCAACGATTTTATGTAACATTGGCCTAACATTAGTCTTAAATGCTCATCAAACCTAATTGTTGAGAAGATTTAGATTCAGATTTATTTAGATCATTTTGGACACTTCCCTAGTTAGTCAAGTGGTAAGTTTAAAATTTTTGTCAACTGTTCATGAGTTTTGACTCGAAATTGAAAGTTTGAGGTTGTGCATATTTTGACCTTTCGACTTATCAGTATTTTACCAAGTAGCTGTAACTCTTGTAATTTTATCAAAATTAATACTCGCTCTAAATGCTTGTCAATATTCAACGCAATTTCAAACTTTCAGCAGAGAATAAAAGAGCCATTAAAGATTCAAAGCAGCTTTGACTTGAAAGCCCTGTATATTGGAGTCTTTAATAAGATTAAAAAACCTTTGCTTTATCCCTTCAAGGTATTTCCCGATAATATCTAATTTGATTCAATCATAACATCTGTGACAATCCATTCGGTCTATTGAACAAATGGAAATGGATTTGGAAAAAAATAAATTAAATATTTTATTTAATAATACATTAGGATTGGATGGATTCCATTATTTTCAACGATGTTTATCGTGGTCATGATGCTCTGGATGATGCTTCTCATGATGGGAATGGTGCTTTTTGTGTCCATGATGTTTATGCTCATGGTGTTTATGTCCATGGTCGTGATGACCTCCACCATCATGCTATATTGAGAAGTATCACAAAAGATAATCAGTCAATGATCAATAGAGGTTGACTAGAGTCGCAGGATATAACAATAAACTTACATGATCATGATGATGGTGATGATGGTGTTTCTCATTTTCATGCTTAGATCCATGATCCTCGTCATGTTTAACTGCATGTTCCTCTTCATGCCATTTCTTCTTCTCGCCATGATGATCTCGTTCTTTCCAGTCACCTGAAAATAAACGCAAATTTAGTCAAGTAAATGATGGATGGTTGAGAACCACAAAGAAACTAATTTCAAGTTATTTACCTCCATGATGATGCCAATTCTTCTTAGCTCCGAATCCATTGTCCCAGTGCCAGGATCGTTCATGACCACCCTCTTTCTTGTGCTCCCAATCTTCTTTTTCCCGATGTCCGTGGTCTTTTCTGTGTCCTTCATGTTCATCTTCCCGTTCCCTACAAAAGATAAAGTTTTATTGGACATTTACCAAGTTAACACACATTTATTTACCTGTGATGTTTATTTTTCTCTTTGTAATGGTGGTCATGATGATCTCTGTCCCATTTGTGGTGTTTCTTTAAAAACAATATCGATAAGTCAAACTGGTCAATCTAGATGAATCACATTCTTACCTTATGTCCATGTTTATCACCTGCATGCTCTTCATGGTGACCCTTATCGTGATGTGAATGAGCATTTTTCTTCCAGTGTTCCCCGCCTTCGTGCCAATGATGCTAATAGAAGCAAAGAAATCGTTGACAAACGCGAAATTTAAGAAGCTATTTAACCTTTCTTACCTCTTTGTGGTGAGGCTTATGATCATCTTTATGGTGGTCATGTTTAACGTGGTGCTTGTGCCAATGGTCAGCAGCAGCTAAATAATACACAAACCAAAAGGAATCGATGTAAGTTACATAAATATTAGGCTTTTCAAGCTGTCGATCACTTTCAATTGACCTTATCACTAACTCACCTTCCAAATCTTTTTCAGTTTGGATGACGGAATTTAATCCACTTGGTCTTAGCTGTGTATCACTGGAATCACTTTTAGCTTTATTGTCGACTGGTTTTCCTTGGACAAGACCTAACACAACAATTGAAATAACAGTTATGATGAAAATGTTAATCCTTGGAACCATTTTGTAATTTGTTGATAAGACTCGACTTTAATACACACTAAGATATGATGATTCTAAGCTCAGCAACACGATTTGTATCGAGAAGAGTACATTTGATACCCACTAACACAACACAATTTAATCAAAATGATCAGGCAACAGATCATTTTATACTCTGAAACTTTTGGCTCACCTCCCAAGTCATCAGTCTCATGTTTTCAGGAATCTCTTTATTTTTTTCTGTTGTTCCCACCTTTCAATTTGTGTGAAGTGAAAAAATTTCACTGATTGTTTTGATGATTGTATTTGAATGTTAAATGTAGTTAAATTGTTGTAAAATAACGTTTGAAATGATCAGAGGTTAAAACATGATCGTATGTCAACTATTACAACAATAAAATGAGAAGTGAAAGAAAAGCTTGAACCTTATGATAATTGCCTTTACCGTTTGCACTGATCAATGGTCTATTTGAAGGCTAAAAGAATGACAAAGGTCAAGAAAAAAAGGAGAATCGTTTGAAATTGATGATTTTATTTGTGACGATGGTAATGATTGCTGTTTTAATTGTAAACACGAATGGATAAACCAGTTGATTATCAGTTGTGGCATTGGATATTTGGATCAAACTAAGCGACCATTATGATGGCAAGTCGCTTCTTTTATTTCCTTGCTTTTTGTTGTTTTTTGCTTTTGTTTTCATTTGATTTTGGTTCACACTTGAATTTACTCGCTTGAATCTAAATCAATAAAAATCAGTTGATAACAATTGAATTGACAAATTTGCATCAATAAACCTATTTCTCAAATTCAGAAATAATTGGATCATTTGGTTGACTTCCTAATTCTAAGGCTTTAGAGGCAAAACTATCAGAAAGACAAAATAACATTGAAGAAAGTATGGAACTATTATGACAATCTCGGATTTCTGAAAAGGTCAATCAAAATGAGTTGATTACTTACAGTTGTTAGTAGTAGACATGAAGCTTAACGATTCAACAACCAAAACACCAGTAAATGAGTACAGATAAGCTTGCCTAACACGTGTTATCGAGTAGTGTTACAAATAATGCACACTTCTTCCCAAGATTTCCCTTTCAAAATGCCCAATTCTTTGTTTATGTTATCTAATTTGATTCAATTTTAACATCGGTGACACTCTATTCGGCCAATTGAACATTTGATCTCTCATCTTCCAGTAAAAGTATTTGAGTGTAAACACAAAGCTGTAGAATCTAATTTTGACCATTAGTCCTGATTTTAAATTATGATTTCTTGAATAGTGATCTGATGTACAGTCTAAATGAGACATTCAGCCTTGACAAAAAGTAACCTTTTACTGAATACAATTATAAGCTGACAATAGCCTTCAAATATTTTTAATTGTTAATGCAAATGTAAACGGACAAATGTTGAAATCAAAATTTTACTTTGAAATTAAGTGATCTATTTTAGTGACGAGTATTGGTCAACCATTTGAAGTCAACTTAAAAATGTTTTGACAACAAATGTAAACAATTAAAGAAGCCACCTTCATTGGTGGTTACAAATTTTTTAACCTAAATGAAGCATCCAGTTTGTCAATGTAAATCAAGGACTTTTCTTGATTCAAGTTTAACCTTAATGTTTTAAAATTTATCTGCGTCAACCAGGATGAACATTGACAAACAAAACTTGCATTAATTCAGATAGTTATTGAATCAAACTAGTAAAACTGTTACTTTTGATTGTAGAGCCGCAATCCGCTTCAAATCTATTTTCTTCACAATGAGTACTTTGTTCATCAGATGGCTACAGACTTTTATAATTTTTATCGTTAAAATTATCTCTTTATGTTGTAATTATTAGCTAATAATTGATTATGGATCTTGAACTTTTATGCATCTCAATATGAATTGATACAATGAATAGATGACTTGTTAACCTTGGCTTACATAGAGATACAGGGATTGTTCGTAGAGGGGAAAATACTTGTACATTGAACATATCTTTTATGGTTTGTTTTATAATGACATTCAGGTGCGAATGATGGAAAAATCGCTCTTCTTGCGCCATTCCATGTTCCATCCCATTGGATCTACTTAACACCCTGTAACTCTTTGATCCACTGGTGTGTCCAAACTTTTGACTCACAAAGTAAAGCAGTGGGTGAACCAAGTCAGTGGGTCACATAAGTCTGTAAAAATTTGATTTGAAAAGGCCCTTAAAAACATTTGAAATGAATTGAAATGTAAAAAAATTGTTATTGAAAAGATTGTACTTTTTTCATTGATTTGATACCAAAAGTAGACTTGATTTAAATATGCTTGAGAAGGCCGAACGCAATGCTCTCGCGAAAATAATGTTTCATTTTATTGTAATTCTGGTGCATTTTACTTTAAAGTACCCTGACAACACTTGAAGCCTGAAGAAACTCCTAGTTCTTACCGCGATCAACGCATTACCCTAATACCGCATAATAAAAATTGTAATCAGGAAAAAAGAGTTGATAGAAATTTTCCATCAGGTGGACTGGTGAAAATAAGAAAATTATTCAGTTTTATTGAGATGTAATCGGATTGATAATCATTTATTTTGCAATAACAAGACTATTACGTCCAAAGAGTAGAGATAAATATAAATTCATTCAATTCATTGGATACAAAATGATCAAATCTTCACTTCAGCCAAAATGAAACTCATAACTTCGTATATTTGTGACAAGAGATATTGCCTATTTAAAACCTTGCTGGCATATTTGACATTTTTTTGTTTGGGGTCAGCTTTGAATCTTCTTGGTTCCAGTTTACTTGATTTACAAATACGTTTTGGTGTCGATTTTGCCACAGTTTCATATTTGATTCCCTTTCGTAGCGCTGGTCACATACTTGGTTCAACTTCTTGTAAGTCATGTTTCATTGTGACAATATATTTCAGAGTTGATTAATGAAAATTTGTTTTTTATCAGCTGGATTTTTTGACCAGAGGTACGATCGATCTCTCGTCCTTTCCGTTTGCAATTTGATTTCTGGTATCTTTCTTGGTGCTGCTCCAAACTTCTTCCGATTTGAATATGCTGCCTGTTGTCTATTCATTGCTGGTATGGCTCAGGGTATCATTGACGTCCGTAAGTGTTTAGTGGCTTTGACCATTTTTGATTTAACCACAATTTATAATTAAAGTCTTGTAAGCCTTACTAGACAGACTGTATATGAATATTGATATGAATTTTTCTTTGATTATTTGAATCACAGTCTGTAATACATTGATTGCCGACACATGGAAGGATAAATGTACAAATTGGCTACAAGCGTTACACATGTCGTTGGGAATCGGTTCACTATTTACTCCAGTCATATGTCGACCGTTCTTAATACCAGAGGAAGGAGAAACAAGTGTTCAAAGTGCCTTAAATGAAACTCTTGAAAGCCCCATAATTGAATTGATTGGTATCAAACCAACTGCAAGTGATGTGAAAGCACAATATGCTTTCGTGATTATTGGTGCAATTTCAGTTATAATTTCATTACCATTCGCATTTATATATTTGAAGGAGAGAAGCAATCAAAGCAAAAACACAAACATTGTACAAAAAAGTTCAGAAACTGGAAAAGGATGGTCTCCGTTGAAAGCTAATGTAGGAATATTTCTAGTAGTGCTAATCAGTCATCTTTTATACAGTTTAGAAGCAGTTATTGGTAAGCAAAAAACTCCAAAGGCTGAGCTGATAAAACAATAACCTTTGTTTCTTATTCTTAAACAGGTTCCCTTGGAGCTTCATTTTCAGTCAAATCCGATCTTCACACGGACAAAAAGACTGGCGTTTTAGTTGCAACCGTTTTCTGGACCTGCTTCTCCTTTTATCGATTAATCTTCATTCCATTAACATTTGTCGTATCCGAAGTGAAATTACTTTTAGTAAATATATTGTTCATGTTTCTCGGAGTTGTTATTTGTGTTCTTTGGGCAAACACAAATCAAATGGGCATTTGGATTGCTTTCATCTTCTTAGGAATGGGTTTATCTCCAATATTTTCAGCTGCATATGGAATGCTAGCAAAACACATTACAATCACTGGGAAAATCGCCACTCTTATCATCATTCCTGGAGTTTTCGGCGAATCAGCTCATCCAGCACTTGCAGCGACTTTAATGGCCAAAAATCCAATTTCATTTCTTTATTATGTTGGGCTACTTGGCATTATTCTTGTCGCAACATTTAGTCTTCTCATTATTTATTGTAAATTAGTTTTTAAAACACCTAATACTTTACATCGTAACATCGATATAAGATTATCAACTCTTAGCATAAGTCGTCATTAAAACTGCCATCTTATTTATTAATCCATTTAATTGAATAACGGATAACTATTAATAGATAATAGTAATAGAAATTCAAACCCAAAAGATAGTTCACAACTAGACAGTAGATTTAGTTGAACGTTGGTTTTCCTGTTTTACATTTTTTCCATGTCATTGAATTAACCAATTATTATGTTGAACATGATTGGTCTTGGTGGTCATTTTATGACTCTATTTGGTCATGGTCAAAAAGATACCGGTAAATGATGGTTATGAAGTTCAAATCAACTCTTATTTCTACAAGGTATTTTTCGATATGATCTGATTTGCTTAAATCATAACATCGGTGACACTCCATTCGGCCTATCGAATATTTTATATCTCATCTTTAAGTAAAACTATTTGAATGCAAATACAAAACTGGAGAATCTAATTTTGACATTTAGTCCTGATTTTAAATTATGATTTCTTGAATAGTGATCTGATGTACAGTCTAAATGAGACATTCAGCCTTGACAAAAAGTAACCTTTTACTGAATACAATTATAAGTTTACAATAGTCTTCAAATATTTATAATTGTTAATGCAAATGTAAATGGGCAAATGTTGATGTTGGAAAACAAAATGAAAATTTTACTTTGAAATTAAGTGATCTATTTTAGGACGAGTATTGGTCAACCATTTGAAGTCAACTTGTGAATGTTTTGACGACAAATCTAAACAATTAAAGTAGCCACATCATTAGTGGATACAACTTTTTTAACCTGAATGAAGCAGGTTGTCAATGTAAATCAAGGACTTTTGTTGCAAGCAAAACCTTAAAGTTGATTAAATTGTTTTAAATTTATTTATTTGCGTCAACCAGGATAAACATTGACTAATAAAACTTGCATAAATTTAGATTGCTATTGAATCAAGCTTGTAAAATCGCGACTGAATTGACAAATCTAAAAGATCAACATCTTCATTTCGTTCTGAGAGTAGAGATAGAATATACTTGCATCTGATTCGAAACAAAACTATCGAGTCTTTACTTCAGCCAAAATGACTGCCATAACTTCATTTATTAGTGACAATAGATTTAACATATTTAAGACCTTTCTGGCATATGTGACATTTTTTTGTTTGGGGTCAGCTTTAAATCTTCTTGGTTCCAGTTTACTTGATTTACAAATACGTTTAGCTGTTGATTTTGCTAAAGTTTCATATTTGCTTCCTTTTCGTAGCGCTGGTCACATACTTGGGTCAGGTTCTGGTAAGTCATCATTCATTGTTGAAATATAAATGTAAATTCATTTCATTTTTTATCAGCTGGCTTTCTTGAGCTGAGATTTAATCGATGTCTCGTCCTTTCCGTTTGTAATTTGATTTCTGGCATCTTTCTTGGTGCTGCTCCAAACTTCTTCCAATTTGAATATGCTGCTTGTTGTCTATTTATTGCTGGTCTTGCTCAGGGTATCATTGACGTCCGTAAGTAATTGTTGGCTCTTAGCATTTTAGTTATAACCGAGATTTACCCTCACTAGAAAGATTGTCCTATGCATAGACACATAACGATGGTAATTACATCTTCTTTCATTATTTGAATCACAGTCTGTAATACATTGATTGCCGACACTTGGAAGGATAAATGTACGAATTGGCTACAAGCCTTACACATGTCGTTGGGAATTGGTTCACTATTTACTCCAGTCATATGTCGACCGTTCTTAATACCAGAGGAAGGAGAAACTAGTGTTCAAAGTGCTTTAAATGAAACTCTTGAAAGTCCCATAATTGAATTGATTGATATCAAGCCAACTGCGAGTGATGTGCAGGCACAATATGCTTTCATGATTATTGGTGTAATATCAGTGATGATTTCCTTGCCATTCGGATGCATATTTTTGAAAGAGAGAAGCAATCAAAGTAAAAACAAAAATATTGTAGAAGCAAGTTCCGACACTAAGCCAGAATGGTCACCGTTGAAAGCCAATGTAGGAATATTTTTAGTAGTCGTAATCAGTCATCTTTTATACAGTTTAGAAGCAGTTATTGGTAAGTGATGATTAACCTCCATACAGTTGAGACAACAATAACCTTTGTTTCTTATTCTTAAACAGGTTCCCTTGGAGCTTCATTTTCAGTCAAATCCGATCTTCACATGGACAAAAAGACTGGTGTTTTACTTGCAACTGTTTTCTGGACCTGCTTTTCCTTTTATCGATTAATCTTCATTCCATTAACATTTGTCGTATCCGAAGTGAAATTACTTTTGTTAAATATATTGTTCATGCTTCTCGGAGTAATTATTTGTGTTCTTTGGGGAAATACAAATCAAATTTGCATTTGGATTGGATTCGTTTTTTTAGGAATGGGTTTATCTCCAATATTTTCCGCTGCATATGGAATGCTAGCAAAACACATTACAATTACTGGAAAAATCGCCACTCTTATCATCATTCCTGGAGTTTTTGGCGAATCAGCTCATCCAGCACTTGCAGCGACTTTAATGGCCAAAAATCCAATCACATTTCTTTACTATGTCGGGATACTTGGCATTATTCTTGTCGTAACATTCAGTCTTCTCATTATTTATTGTAAACTAGTTTTTAAAACACCTAATGGTTTTCAGCGTAACACCAACACAAGATTATCAGCACTTAGTATAAGTCGCCATTAAAACTGCCATCTTATTTTATAACGATTAACAAGTAATAGCAATTCAAATCCAAAAGATAGCTCAACTACTTAGGTAGTGGATTTAGCTTAATTCATGTCATTGAATTAATCAATGATTGGTCTTGCTTGTCGTTAGTAGTGATTTTAAATTATCATTTCTTGAATAGTGAGCTAATGGTCAATCTAAATGAAACATTGAGCCTTGACAATTCACCTTTTACTGAATACAATTATAAGTTTTGAATACTTTTCAGGTATTGTTAATGTATAATTGTTAAACAGAATTTTACTTGTAAATTAAGTGATCTATTTTAGGACGAGTATCGGTCAAACCAATTGAAGTCAACTTGAAATATGTTATTACGACAAACGTAAACAATTAAAGCAGCCAGCTTCATTAGTGGTTACGTTTTTAAACCTGGATGAAGCATTCAGTCTGTCAAAGTTAATCAAGAACTCTTGTTTCAGGCAAAACCTTAAAGTTGATTAAATTGTTTTAAATTTATTTATCTGCGTCAACCAGGATAAACATTGACTAATAAAACTTGCATAAATTTAGATTGCTATTGAATCAAGCTTGTAAAATCGCGACTGAATTGACAAATCTAAAAGATCAACATCTTCATTATGTCGGGCTAATCGGCACTCTTCTTGTAACATTCAGTCTTCTCATTATTTATTGTGAATTAGTTTTTAAAATACCTAATGGTTTTCAGCGTAACACCAACACAAGATTATCAGCACTTAGTATAAGTCGCCATTAAAACTGCCATCATATTTAATAACGATTAAAAAGCAATATCAATTCAAAGCCAGGAGATAGATCAACTACTAGGTAGTAGATTTAGCTGAACGTTCATTTTCCTGTTTTACTTTTTTTCCATGTCATTGAATTATCTAATGATAATGTTGAAAATGTTGATTGTGGTGGTCTTTTCATGACTCTATTTGGTCATGGTCAAAAGATAACGGTAAATGATGGTTACTAAGTTGAATAAGGCCGAAGAAATGCAAAAAAGATTAAGCATTACGATTTGTTATTGTTATTGTAAAAAAGAGGAATAATTATTTCAATTGCAATTGATTAAGCTCATGACTAGGGATTTGATTATCAAAAAGAGTAGATGGAAGGAGGAAAACAGTGAAATGGTTTGATAGGTTTAGGAACAAGATTGTAGGGTAAGAAACGGGAAAAAGGTAACAAGATTCATCAGGTAAGGAGGGTTTAAAAAAGAAGAGAGAGAGACAAAATGAGAGGACAAAAGATTGGGACAAAAAGTGGATTTAGTTGGACAAATAAACATGATTGACGATTGTAATTATCATGTTGAGCTTGAAATTGATGAAGATGAAATTGGAGTGACCATCAATTTGGTGATTCCGGCAGATTCCCCTTTTGTGGTCAACAAGATTGGCTCTTTCTGGTGAAAGCGTATCAAAGCAGGAACAGATTCAAACGTCTGTAAGAAATAAAAAAACAATTAGTAAACAATCAGAGTAAAACAAAATACAATCGAAATTTAAATCAAAATTGAAAAACAAGGAAAACCAACAGAGATAGACAGATTGATAAGTAAATAATTGTTGGTTAAATTAGTTGATAGAAGTGGCAAACTAATTAACTTTTAAAGATTGATTTTGACCGACCAATTGTTTTCAAAGGTTAGCATTAATCGATTGGTTTGCAAAATGTAAGTCAAGTTGTTGTTGATCAAACAAAAGGAGAAACAGTTTGTTTTTGAAAATTATTTTCAAATACAATTGATTATTAATTTGAATTGATTTCATTATTTCTTTGTCTTGGCAATTCAAGGTGGAAATGTTGAAGTTTAGCTTTGCTTATCAATCAAAAATTGTTCAATTTTAATGGATAAATGACCAATAACCTGAATTTCAATTTCATTTATCAACTCTATTCAACCTTTTACATTGATAACCTGGAATCTGGACAACAATGAAGTGAGAAAAATCTGAGCAGAATATTAATTTAACAGCAGAACAGTGAAACAATTTAACAAAAAACTTCCTTTTTCACTTGAGTTTTCAATTTTTCGTTCAAAAACATTGACATGATGTTGATGAAAAAAATGAATCAGGATGAAATTGGAAATGCTCAATGAAATTCAGAACAAAAGCGTGCAAAAAACAATCTCAACCAACAAGGGTTCGCTTTATCTCCATTTTAATCATCTTAATCATCTTTATAATTCGTAATCGTCAATTGAACCAGATAATCTGTTTTTCAGTGAATACCAATTAAATGGAAAGAGAAGTGCAAAATGTGATTAAAAGTAATCATGATAGACAATTTGAAAATTGAAAAGTTAACGCCATTAAATTTTCAAAGCTTTTCTCACAATTAAGTTAACAATCTGTGGATAACTGGTTGTTTAAATGATAATCAAAGAGTCACACAATAATCTTAGTTAATATGGTTGATCAGGAAGGAATCAAATGTTTTTTATTGCAAATCAAGTTATGAATCGAAGCTTAGATTTACAGATTAATTCAACATTTTCAGGGTTTTTTTTCAATCCCACAATCATTGAAGACTAAAAGAGGATCAATTTAAGTTTCTGATTAACGCAAATTGCCAATTAATTGGTAGATAATTTAAGATTGAAATTAAATTGATTTTACCCGTAAACAGGCAATCTTACAATCTTCATAATCATTGACTATTTTAAAGCTGTTGATTGAGTAAATTGGGTCCTAAATTTAAAGAAGAAAAATTAATGAAAAATTTAAACCCAAATTAAACTATCAACAGTTTGTAGGAAAATTTGAATCAACAATTTATCCAGAATCAGTAAAAACAAAATTCCAGTATAATCCATCAATCTTGTCAACAATTAGGTATACAAAATATGATGAATGATTGTAAATTTGCAACTATCAGAGTTTTAATTATTCAGAAAACAAGATTGACTTCACAAAGAGACTGAATCAAGTGAAATGAAAATGTATGATAATGCTGAGCTAATCTTTAAATAGCTTCAAAAGTTAATTAATTTCAATTCAAGTGATCAAGGGTAATGTAAACGACAAACGGTTAAGCTTGGTAAATGCAAAAAAATGATTGGCCTGAAAAAGAGACTTGAATCTTGGCTAAAAGCATTAACATTGAAAATGGCGAGAAGAAGCAAGTTGATTAATTTTATCAACAATAATCATTGACAATTAAAATTTGATGGTTTGAAGGGGAAGCAAAAAAATGTTAACAGTTGATTGTTTTCAATTGTAAAAACAGCTTCATCAGGTTAACAGGAATTGTAAAAGCTACAGCAAAAGCTTCAGGTTTGGTTTGAGAAAGCAAAAAGTGGTAGTAAATTTCAATTAACTATGAGAAGGGACAATTTAGAAACTGCAATTGATTAGTTAATGGTTAACTTTCATTGTTAGACAAGGGGTGTTGATAGTGTTTTATCGGGTCAAGGCTTCATGTGAATCTGGTGATAAGCAAAATGATGAGAAAGATGAGATTCATGATGACTACTTGTGTCTTCAAGGTAATGAATTCAACATTCAAGACGGTCAACTTTTGTTTCAAAACAACAACAAAAGGTTAGCTTAAAAGATACTTGTAAATGAAGATGGAAATGAAGATGAAGATAGAAATGCTGAGAAAAATGAAGTTTCGTCTTCAATTCGTTAATTTGTATTATATTACTTTCTTTTGTTGACCTCTTACTTTTTCTTGCTCTTCCAACTTTTCTTATATCAAACACATATTAGGGCCATCAATAATTCCGCGTGAAAATTATGTTGTTCAGGTCACTGCTGGCCATTAATATAATTTTTTGATAGCTGCAACACTGAAGGGTGATAGTACGAAGTTTTATTAAAATTCCTACTAGGGCTACTGAGATATTCCATGAAAAGGTCAAAAAAGCACACGAAAAATACAGTAATTACCCGCTTTGAATCAAGAGTTGAAATTTGCAAAAATGGCCTGTTTGGCCAAGATGGGTTTGAAATTTGTCAGAAAACTTTTTCAGCTCGTTTTGATAGGCTTGCAGGGACTTCTTTTTGCATTCAAACCTAGAAAAATTCTTTCGAAGCGAAAGTTATGGTCAATAAATACGATTTTGTCGCCCAAAGACGGAAACTTAAAAAATGGCCTGATTTTCCATATAAAATTGGTCCTGACGCCATGTCCTACCGATAGTTAGCCCTTAATGGCCTGATGACCAATTTAATGTAAACTCAAAAGAATGGTCCCTAAGCAACATAATTTTCACGCGGAATTATTGATGGCCCTAATAATAAGCTTGATCAAGGTTGGAAGATGTGTGTTTTTTTGCCGTTCAAAATCACGGTTTACACGAGTTGACCTGAAAAGTAAAGGAGTAATATCAACTTCAAGGGAAAAACTAACCAAAATAAACTAAACACAGTTTTTATAATAATATAAAGTAACATCATTTTTTAGATACAATTGAACAACAGTAATTATACTCTAAAAACCGGGTCTTATTATGCTTTTTTTACCTTCAACATCATTGCATTTTTCATTCATATTTCATCTTTCATCTTTTTTTCATTTATCATTTTGTTTCATCTTTCATCTTTCCTCTCAATCTCAAGATATCGTATGTACTACATGAAAATACGCCCGGTAATGAGTAAACTGATCCTAAATACACACTAAAATACATTGCTTCTGAACCATAATCAACTCTTCTCTTCGTTGTTATTGTGCATAACAATAGCATTTTGACCTCACCAATTATCATTCATCTCTAACTTTCATTGATGATATCATTTTAATCAATATTTTCAACTGCCAAAATGGAAAGAAAGATTATTAAAATTGTTGAATATCTCAAACAACGATCATGAACAGTTTAAATATTAACAATACTAAACTGTAATTTAAAATTTGCTGCCTTGCTGCTTTTCAATGTAAACAAAGTTGAATCTTTTATCGACGTTTCAAATTTTCAATCAATGAATCAGTCTTTCCATAATAGAAACTTCAATTAAACCTTTAAAAAAACAATTTATATTACCATTATTATTATTATCGTTAGCATTTCCTCTCATTTTGAGTTCATTTCCAACTTTCATTCTGTTGCTCATTTGTATGTAAAATTGCTTCAAAAGGAAATGTAAAATGTTCTGAAATATTTAGACTGACAGTGATTATCTAACCATCTCTGTTGATTTTGAGTTTATGTTTACAATTTAAATCATGATTTGATTTTCAAGCTGATTAGTAGTTGGGTCAACATACTCTTTCTTTGTCCTTCTCTTTTCCTAGGCAGTAAAGTCCATCGGATCGACGACGAACATTCAAATGGAAAACTTTTCCTTCGTGTAAAATACTGAGGGTTAACGGGTTGGACTGTCCAGCTCGTTTACTAGGCCTTATAAGGTAAGCTCCTTCTGTACCAAGATCTTTTAGTACAGCGGTTGCTGAGTCTCTTTCAAGTCCATGGAACCATGAGTACTTTTCAATAGGCATAACATCATCCGGTAATGGTGGAAGTGGTCTTTGAGCAAGGTTACAGGTTGATCCTGATCGATTAATATTGTTGTTATGATTAACGGATGACGATGAGTTGTTGTTGGCTGATGAAGATGATGATGAGAAACCAAATGATTTTCCGGTTGCATAAATGGATTCAAAGGTTTTAAATGGAGGCCGTGAGTTGATAATTTTTTTGGCAAAAGCCGCTTTCTCTGCAAACTTGGCTGCAAACTCAGCTTTAAAGCTAATTCCTGATGAATTATTATTATTGCTGTTGTTACTATGATTACCATTAGTAAGACTATTATTACTATTATTGTTATTGTTATTATTGCTATTACTGTTACTACAATCGGGTTTACTTCTTGGTAATTTGGGTCGATCAACGGTTAACAGTGAAAGGTTTGACGTTGAATGTGAATGTGAATGTTGATGGTGATGGTGATTATTATTATTATGATGATGGTGATTATGATGATAATGGTGATGGTGATGATGATGGGATGATGACGAGTGGTGACTATCATTGTCAAAGGTTGGTGTTGTTGTGGTTAGTGGATTAGATGATGTACCAACTGTATTTGATTGATTTTTCATTGATGAAGATGAGGACAAGGATGATGATAATGGTGTTGTTGAAGTGACCGTTGAAAGGGAAAGGTCAGATCTACTTGATGGCCTGATGGCGTGCAAATTTGGCGTTGATCCAACACTCTTCATCAATCTACGACAAGAGCAACAGTAATTATCATCAAAAGGAGGTGGCGGTGAGATTGGATAAGGCGATATTCCGGCACAATCGGAAAATCCTGAATCAGGTACATAAGATCCTGAAGCAACGGAAGATGATCGGGACACCAATCGAGTACAAGTCGATGATGAACCACTATGGGCACTATTGGTTGCGGTGGTATTGGTCCGAGAGTCAGCGTTATTGTTTAAATTTTGTGACATTGGATATTTAAAGTTTAACGGTGTCTCATAATCTCCAAAATCCTCCTCATCATCAACATCATTTACTATACAAGTAACATCGGTAGCAACAGGAGAGAATATTTTATCAGAATTGTAATTATCATCTTTATTACTCTTTTTTTGTTTACTATTATTCTTGTGATTGTGATGATAAAATTTGCTAATCTTATCATTGATCTGTCCCATTTTTTCCTGGTTCAGGTGATCACTCTTGGTTAAATTATGGTTTGACTGTTTATGCTGATCTTTACCATTCAACACGTTAGTGGTTGTTTCATTATTACAATTAGATTTAACTATTGATGATGTTTCTGTGGCTGTGGCTGCGGCTGCTTCTGCTTTGGCTGCTGCTGCAGTTACTTTTTCAATATTGGATGCAGTTAATGTTACAGTTGATCCAGATGTAACACAATCACCATTTTCAGAAGCAAAATCATTATCTTCCGGGTCAGATGATAATTGAACGCCCAAAACTTCATTCAAATCGTCCAAGGTTAACTCAGCTAGACGATCAGTTAGTGAAAGTTTAGATGATGCGGGTGAGATTGGAGGCGGTGATTTAGGTACTGGGGGTGGCGGAGGTTCCCCAGTGGGTCTTACAATTTTACGTCTAACTTTGCGTCTAGTTCCAGGGCTTCCAGGTTTAGATGGGTTGAACTGAGTTCTGTAAATGAACAATGAAACAAAACAAAATATGTAATGAATAAAGTGAAACAATTGAAAGTAGTCAAGTAGCATGAATAAAAATGAATAAAAGTGGTGGTGAAACTGAATAAAACATGGAAAGAATTAAATCGTCTCAGCGAAAACACACACAGAGCAATTAACTGGTTACCAACAATTGATTAGCATAAAGAAAAGTGCAAGTACAAATTTTAATGACATCAAGAATGATTGTGTTAAAACAAAATTAAGTTTCACCCAATTTCGTGGTGTAACAAACACTTTGAAACGAGTTGTCTCAACTAATCTCAACAGTAATCTTGTGATATGATTGTGACAAAAAGTTGAACCGGATCTCAATGAAAACTCATTGTTTTCTTGAAATTTGAAACAAATTAAAAGGTTAGGGAAGAAGGTAAAACAGATTATCCAAGATAATCTGTACATCTAAGTGACAATTAGTGAAGGGTTAAAAGATGATGATGCATTGATCAAAAAAAGGTACAGTGACTGATAATGGCGATAGTTGAAGCATGTATTCAACTAATAGCTTATTATCGTTAGTATATCTGAGTTACAATCGTGAGTGAAATGACACATTTTGTTCATTAATAATGCAAAAATGGCTGTAAACAAACAGATTCACAAGAAACATCAACAAGAGCACCAAAAAAGCTGTTAAAACTCAGGATTATGATTATAATCACAAGTTCAACTTTTTTTTTCTTACACTTCAGTTTGTGCATAAAATAAAGGCTTAAAATTAACTCAGGTTAACTCGTTGTGACTCTTCATCAAGCTATTAAATTGATTGCACAGATTGGCTATAAAGTTACGCAAAAAAAATAACGCAACTGAGTAAAATCATGAATAGTTAAAATAATTAGACAATCAACAAAAATTAACGGTAAAGTGGGTTGAAAAAGAGCGTAAAACCAAGTAAGGTTTTACAGATTGACTATCTGTTATACATACAGAAATGTATTTCAATCTCATATCATTATCATCATCGTAATAATGATTATCATTTGGTAAAATAAACATCATTAGACTATCACAATTTTGTTGTTGCAGTTTATGACGGAGGTTAATTCATTTGATATTATATTGTAGTTATTATTTTATATACATTTATATGTATATATAAGGGAAAAAAGAGAGACTTGAAAAAAATCAGATTCAAAGTGATTAACTTAACATCTAAATTACAGTCTAGATTATGATGACATTTTAGTTTTGAATGTTAATTTTTAATTTACTTAAAAATACGAGATTTATTTTTAGAGTCAACTTGATGTTACTTTGTTCTGTCTTGTTAATCATCGTTTTGTAATGATCATGTAAATAAAGAATGATAAATTTAGGATAATTCAGAGTGAAATGTTGATTCGGTTGTTTCATTATTCTCATATTTAATGATCACTGGATTGAATAATAGCTAATAAATTGTAAACATTGCAATGAGAATCACTTGGTTTGTCATAATTTAAAGACAAATAATCGACTTGATTGCTGGTTTCATCATTTTTATGATTTACCTTTGAAATGGCCGATTGTTAATGGTTTCAAGTAACAATTAAAAAAAAGGGTAAAAATACGTTTCCGTGGCTTAAAGGTTGATTAACATTTAGATAGTGCTGACCCTCAATTGAAATGGTTTTGGACACAGGATTACATTCCAATGATGATGATAATGATATAAATTGTAATGAACCAGATTCAATTTGTAGATAAATAAGATTAATTATATTTTTGCAGAGTCAAGATCATCAAACAATGCCATAAATAGGTTGATGGGATACAAACAAATGCTTAGTCTAACAGGAGTTGATCATATTCTTGAAAGATGATTGCGACAATTGAGATTAATTGTAATCTACAATTGAGTCGATTGTCTCGGTAAATAGTGGACACTCTCAAGGATAGCAAATTGATAATTTAGAGGTTTTGTAACTAATTGTAAGCAAATGGAAACAATTTTGAAGAACTAATTTCTCAATAAACAAATTGAAAATCAACTTGATATCACTTACACTGAATAAGCACGGAATCAAGAAAATTAATCGACCAAAAGTCCCACTTTAAACAAAATTAAGCAACTGTGGATATAGCGAGTCAATTAAACAGAAACAAATGAAGGTTGATAATTATTATTGACTGATGATGACTGGTGAACACTAATCAGTTGAAGTATATATGAATTTCATTGATTGTAGCTTGATAATTTGCTATGCAAAATAATAATGATGATAATGGTTGTTTATTATTTGAATGTCTTCAGGATACACGGAAGCTTATCATCAATGTAAGAATCGGGAAGAAAGAGTTGCGGTCAAAATCACATTCAAATATAACTTCCTGATGGTTCAAATTAAATCATTAATAGACAAGGTTACGATTAGTTTAACACAATGTTGTAAAGATATTAACCATCAAACGGGAATAAATGAAAATGATTATGTAAATATACATATAAAATTGAGAGAGAAGTGAAATTATGGGAAGATAATTGTTGATATACTGATCAACAAAAAAATAGCTTCATATAGCTAAAGGGTAGGCTCGTGATGATCAATTTGATTAACAACTACAGCAAAAAAAAGATGAAATAATGAATATTGTCTGTTTAAAAGGTAACTTGTTCTGAATGTCAGTAATCAGTTGGTTGCTCTGTTTGATTGACTTGGTTGAGTATTTGAATAACAATAATCAATTTAATTCATGGACCATACACACTTGGTTCTTGAGAACAATTTAAAATTTTGAAGAAAAAGCTAACGTAAAAAAAACAAGGCATGAGTTGGAAAGTAGGGCCAAAAAAGTTGCAACTTACAAGTTAGGCTTTGGTGGGATTGCTGGTTTAACTAATGGACGGATTCGGGCTTTTGGACTTGGCTCTGAACATTGACCAGATGAGGCTTCAGATGAGGCTTCACATCCGTTGAGGAATGACCTTTTCTTTCGGTTCAATTCTCTCATAATATACTCTGAGCTAACTTCAATGGAAAGTTGATGAGGATGCTGAGAGATTCGCTTTTTTTCATTTGTTGAATAATCATAAACAGAACAATGTTCACTTAGTTCACTTCGATCATCTCCACTGTTGGATCGAGTGGAACCATTCATTTCACCTATGCCGGACGACGATTTTTCACTTGGACACGATCCTCTTCTCCTTTCTGGTGGTGTTTCATAAAATGTTGAACTATTTTCAGAAGATCCACAATAACTTGATGTTGATGGAGTTTCCGAAATGGCTTCATAAGTATTATCAAAGGTTGATGCACATTTGATGCTTCGCAATTGACACGACGATCTTTCAGTTTCACTTAAAGAATAGCTTCCACATCGCCCTGATAACCTACCATCGACATCATCTTCGTCTTCTTCATCCTCTTCCTCGTCCACATCATCCTCGTTATTATCACAGTTATCATTTGTTCGACTATTTCGTCCATCGGCACCATCATCGGAGCAAGATTCATCAAAATCAGATCCCCAACTAACGTATTCATCGTCATCATCTGCTGTAACTTGAAAAGCTATATCAAATAAAATATAAAAAGATATATCTTAAAATCTCGAACAAAAAAAATGGATCATGATTTACATTTGTTTCGGAATTGGACGTAATCAAAGAAATTTGCAACTTTAAATGGGTGCACCGAAACTTTCCTTTCAATCTACACTGAGCGTTAAATTAAACAAGGCGAATAATTAATCAATTTGATCGCAATGGCAAGTTTTTATAAGTGTAGGAGATATCAAGTCTTAACAAGGTACCCATATTTATGAAAAACAAATCGAGTAAAAAAACTGATTGAAGGTTACGGGAAAAAAGTAGTTAAGGCTATTTATTTTAGATAGAGCTAACTATTGGGTCAAATTATGTTGAGTTTGACGATGAAATTGCATTTATGAATTGGGCAACATAAACAAACCAACAAACAGTGATGATGATAAATTACAAACAAGAAGGCAGAGGAAAAACGAGAAAGATGAAGAAAAGAAACAGGCAAAGCAAATTCAGAATAAGCAAGGAAAAGCAAAAATACCACATAAAGCAATTTATAGAGGAGTGAGATTAAGAAAATACAAATAAGGAGAAAAAATTCACTGGTCAAACACAAATCGATTGGGTGTAGTATCCATTAAGGTTGCCACAGAACACACAAAATTGATCAACAAGTAAGATTAATCAAATGAACAATTAATCTAAACACGGTACAATTTAAAGTATAACAAATCCAAGAAACAAAGGTCAGGTTAAACGGTCAAGCTTTCAACTTTAGACTCACCTCTCATTTTGTTTTTCTTCTTGATGGACCATTTTCTTGTTTCAATGTTACCAACAAATTTTTTTGCCATCACAGCAGATGATTTACACTCATCGATAGCTTTGGTTAATTGCTTTGAAAAAAGCGTCAACATGGTTTTACCCATTAAAAAAGGAAGAAGATTGATGAACAAAAGAGAGGTCAGATAAAGATTAATTAAATTAAGGTGAAATAAGTATTCTCATTATCCATTAGACACAAAAATTATCCGATTGGAAGGCACATGCTGAAGTACTGAACTACTGAACACAGTCATGAACGCGAACCATTACTTTCTCTTTGAACTGTAATGAAGAAAATGAGAAACAAAATGATAAAACTGAGCAAAGGAGAGAGAGAGAGAGAGAGCGCAACAAAACAAAACTCGTTTCCCTCTCTCTTCTTCCTTCCCTCTCTTTCTTCCTCCGCCATTTTCCCTCTTCTTTCTCTTTCTTTCCTTTCTTTTTTTCTCTTTCTTCTCTTTCACCCACAAAATTCTGACTCCGCCTAAGATTTTCTTCTTCAGCTTTTTGCCCGTTTGCTTCCCTGTCTGATGCTTTTTCTCATCAGCATCACCTTGCCTGTTGCCTTTTTTTTCTTACTTTTTCTTCCTCTTCTCGTCTTTTTTTTTCATCGTCATCTATATCGTTCACAAAATTTTAAAATCATTCAATTCGTTTGCCAAGCTGGCAACAATTTATGTTGATAAACAAGCACACAAATAGTCACACAAGTAGTAAAATCAAACAAGAAATGAAAAAGTACATTGACAAACATTTATAAACTGTAACGATTCTTGTTAACTTACCTTAGAATTTCTTATCTTCCTTTCTCTTTTATCCACTTTTTCTGCTGTATCATTATCGTTTAGACCCAATTTACCGGTTCCAATGTAATTGTAAACTTGGATAAATGTTGGATAAACTTTATTAGTAACAAACTGTTACTCGCAAGTTGAAACCAAAAAATCAACAAAGCAAGTAACTTGAACTATTACGCGCCATAATATCTCATGTTACTTTCCCCTTTATTTCCCTCTTTTTGCCTTTTTATCTTCAACCGTTTTTTTCTGGTTTTTTTCAAATCCAAGTTACAGTGAAAATTACTAATCTGTTTATTTTTACTCTTTGTTTTAATCTCGCAAGTCTAGTCTATTGTCACGTTATGGATGCTTTAATGTCTTCTTCTTTTCTTAAACCCAGTTTCTTTGACTCTGTTTGCATATCTTTTTTACCACTTTAACCTACTTGACACTTTCGACTACCTGGCATAGTTGAATAGTTAAAGTTAATCTTTGTTGGCTTCTTCCAGAGTAAATTCAAATAACAAGCAGTAAAAGGCTCGTCATAATCATCATCGGTATTTTTACTAATCATCTTTGTCCTTGCCCTTTTCCTCTTCCTTTTGCTATTTTTTTTCTGTAACATTAACTTTTCTCTCTTCTTCTACCTTTACAGGTTATTTCTCCGATTTCATCAATTTCCTCTTGTTTGCTATTTGATTTGTTTATGTTACATGATGAAAGAATTTAAAATGGCTATTGAAATTTATCAAGACAAGGTTCAAATTATCAACATTCAACTGCTATTACATACCCGTAAACAAGTCTAACCTCATTGAAGCCATATTGAAGATGAACAATCAAACGATAATCATCATTCTCATCATGGTAAATAAATAGGAAAAAATGCTGATGTTATATGTGCAAATGACCCAGAAAGCAATAGGAAGAAGATAAAAGATGATAATATTAATGATTATTACAATGATCCATTGATTTGATTATGGTTGTCTCACTCAATTTTGCTGATCAATCTTTTTCTTCCTACAACTTATAACTTCTAGGAGTCCCAATCACCTGTTTGTCAATTAAATTGATAAAGCAATAATGAAGAAGCCCCAGTGATGTTTAATTTTTTATTTGGTTCATCAAAGGTTAACAAGTGTTGTAACCTAACAATTGCTTCAACATGGAGTTGATTGTTAATTGAAAAAAAATTGTTAAAAAGTTAAATCTAATAAGGATTGAATCTACTTTAGATCTGTAAAATTCAAGATAACTGTTCATTGCAACTTTTCCTATCTACATCTATACATGCAATATGTAAAGCGATGTCAGTAATTTCAGTAAACAATTTCCGACCATGACTGATCAGAGGTCCGCTTGTTAGTTATATGATCAAACAAATTATCAGTTTAGTTAAATACCATTTAATCGCAACTGAGTGGTACAAGGATAAATTTAAAGTACAGTTAAATATTGTTAAAACTGGATGATCTGACTAAACAAGTTTGGCATCTTTTGCCATTGAATAAAATTCAGTCTTATCATTAGCTAATAGATTGGTTGGTGAATCGTATTCAATTATATTTCCTTTATCCATTACCATAATCTTGTCATAATCCATGATAGTATTTAAACGATGGGCAATGGTGACAATTGTACAATCTGCAAACTCTCGTCTAATTGTTTCTTGGATAAGTTCATCTGTTTCAACATCAACTGCAGCCGTGGCTTCATCAAGAACCAAAACTTTAGTTTTACGTAAAAGAGCTCGAGTTAAGCAAACTAATTGCCGTTGACCAACACTAAGATTTTCACCACCTTCAGCAATCTCATAATCAAGTCCCTCCTCAAGTGATTGGACAAACTCTTTTAAATTTGATTGTGCCAATGCTTTCCATATTTCTGCATCTGAATACTTGTTGATTGGATCAAAGTTCATACGGAATGACGATGAAAATAATACTGGATCTTGAGGGATTACAGTTAATCGAGATCGTAAATCATGTAAACCAAACTTGGTAATGTCTTCACCATCAATGCTTATAACACCGTGAGCTGGTTCAATTAGACGGAACAGAGCCAAAGTCAACGAAGATTTACCCGCACCAGTTCGACCCACTATTCCAACCTTTTCATTGGGATTTATAACAAAACCAATCTTTTTAAGAACCAAATCAAGTCCTGGTCGATACCGTGTACTGTAATCTTTGAATGCAATCTCACCATTATCTGGCCATTCAGGTCTTGGTCTATGTTGATCATTAACCCATTCAGCCTGCATGAAATAAATTTAAATTAAAATTAAACTTCAAGTCCAACAACTGTGAATCAACCAACTTACCTCAATACCAATTCTTGTGAACTCCATACATCTTTCAATAGACACAACGTTTGTTTCAATGTCAGAGATTGCTCTTACCATCATATTGAGAATCATTGTGATTTGCATTGAATAACTTATCGCTAATCCAGTTGAACCAGGACTTAACGAGTTACGGGAAGCAATAGCGAAAATAGCTGAAATGGTAACAACAAGGTTACCAAGAAACTCCAGTCTAACAGCAAGCCAACGGCTAGCACCAAGATTTGGGAAGAATGAACTATTGTTGATATCGACTCGTCGATAACACTCTTGGATGAAACGATCTGATGCATTATAAGCTCGGATTGAAGTAGAACCACTCACAGTCTCGGAGAAATGGTTATAAATTGGTGATCGAGTTACTGATTCAATTCGACGCAGTTGTCTTGATGAAGCGATATAGAATTTCTAACGAAAATGAAATAAATAAATTTTCAAAAATTAACCAAATTATTCAGTTATACTACTTTTTACTCTTTGATGATGACAAAATAATTTTCAATAATTCTTACCTGAACAAGAATATAAGCAATTCCCAATACAATCATGACAATGACTAGATAACCAGAAGCAGTACAAATACCAACAACACAGACAATCGCTCTGAAAAACTGTGCTGTGAAGAATCTAAGATTGAATCCTATTGTGTTATCAGCTGTATCAATATCTTTGGTGAATCGATTAAGAACACGTCCTAAAGGTGTTGTATCAAAAAAGGACATTGGAGCCCGTATCACACGGTATAACATTTGGTCGTGAATCCAGGCTGAACCCGTTAAGACAGCCAAGTTACTAATAGCTGAGTTACCCAATATCAAAGCTGATTCACTTAACCCTAAAGCAGCATAAATACCAAGACGTTTATTTCTCAAAGCAGTGTTATTGACTTTCTCGGGATCCAAGGAGTCATCAGCCCATACAGTCAACCAAGAATTAGTACCAAAGTTAAAGGCAGAAGAGCCAACGTAAAAGGCAATGGCACTGAAAACTGCTAACCAACCAATAGCGGCAAAATAGTCCAAGTAAACTCTAGCCTTGACAGATCCTGTTTCAGCTCCTTCCACTTCAACCAATTTGAAAACTTGGTTAGTCTGATTGGCTGCTATTTCTCCTACCATATCGGTTTTCAGATCCTCTTCTTGATTTACTGAAGTTTTTTCCAATTTTGATCGTTTTCGAATGGATGATTGTGATCTAACCCGCTTACTCAATTCACCAATCGATATGATGGAATCCATTTTTCTCAATGTTTCTCTTCTCTTTGCAACCTCTGCTTCACCGATAACCTCTTTCATTTTTTCAACAACATTAACATCTTCAGCAGGCAACTCATCATCACCAGCTTCAGCAAGATACTGAATAATGAAATCAGAGAACGAACCTTTTTTATCCATCAATTCACTGAAAGTTCCTGATTCACGTATCTTTCCATCTTGCATTACAATGATCTCATCTACTTGAGGCAAAAATGTGATTCGATGTGTCACTAAAACTCTTGTTTTATGCCTTAAAACTCCTTTCGGACCAATTACCTTTTCAAAAAGATGCGAAGCAACATGAGCATCAACAGCTGATAAAGGATCATCGAGCAGATATAAATCTGAATTTGAATAGACTGCTCTAGCAATGGATATACGTTGCTTTTGTCCACCAGAAACATTGATTCCTTTTTCACCAATTTCAGTCTGATCACCACCAGTTAATATTTTTAGATCAGTAGTTAATGCACAAGCATCAATTACACTATCATATTTTGTTTTTGAATAAGGCTCACCAAACAATATATTATCCCGAACTGTTGCATTTTGAATCCAAGCCGATTGAGGTACATACGCAACTCGACCATAAACATTGACAGAGCCTTCTTGCTTGTAAAGATCACCTAAAATAGCTGCCAGGAGCGATGATTTTCCACTTCCAATGGTTCCTACAACAGCAACCAATTTGTTTCGTTTAACATGCATGTCAACATTTTTAAGCACCGGTTGCTCATCATAAGACCAACAGAAGGTTCCATTTTTAATTGATATAGGAACCTCATAATTAGGGTCATGGGTAACAGTATTTAAATCCAATTCATCACTTTGAAGATATTTGTTGATTCGACGAATTGAAATTATAAACTGTCCAAAAAAGAAAAGATAAATTCACAATTAAAAATGAAAAGATTGAACTATAATATAAATAAGCTTACATTGGCTCCAAAGGTTACAACCATTGGTAAGAAAGCAAGAGGTCCTCTCAAGATGTTGATCAAAGAAATGGTAACGAAAGCTTTGTTTGCATCCAAAACATTTGACGAATCCATCAAGACATAAGTCATAAAGCTGACCAAAGTGACCTGTTATAGACAATAAATTATTAATTATATTTTAAATTAAACCAGAAGCATTTCAAGTCCTAATTAATAATTACCAAAAAGGGAGCGCAAGCAAAGGCAAAAGCAACTCCAGTTGACCACATAGCTTGATATCTTAGATATTTAATTTCCTGAGCTCGAATAGCTGCAACTTTATCACCAAAAGCACCTTCCCAAGCGTACAATTTCAAGACTTTCATTCCATTCAAGATTTCCGACATCATTCTGGATCGTTTATCTTTCTGATTCATTACTTTCTTCTGTAATGATTGAAGACGAGATGTTATAAAGCCATTGAATGGGATTAAAGCAATCATGACTGATAAACCAGCAATCGATGCGACTCCTAATTGTTTCCATAAAAGGATCACAGTTACAACCAATTGTACCGGTGATGACCAAACAAAGTTAACAATGTTGATATATTCAACAATACGTTGAATATCAACAGCCATTAAGTTGATAATTTCACCGGTAGTAAAAGCATGTCGTCCTGAGCTAGACAAACGTAAACTCTGGTTGAAGGAAAGGAGTTAAAAATAGATTTAATGTGTTTATAATAATATTATTGTTTTAAATATTAAGCTTTTATTGTTACCTTTTGATAGACACAAGCAATTAATGCTGATCTCATTCTCATTGATGTTGTTTGAATCCAAAACTCATATTGAGAGTCAAACATGGATTGAATTAGAGTTGAAACAAATATTCCCAAAGCCAGGATTGCTCCTTGCCAAATGGGTGCATCAGAGGCGATGAAAGTCAGTAAACTGTCCATCAACTGTGGACTTGCAAAGACAAGAACTGAAGATACTAATTTAAACATGCCACAAGCTAACATCCAAGGCCAAAATCCTTTCAGTAAAATGGTCAAAAGCGAAACTTTCATTGTTTTTCGCTTCTTAACGTCACTTCTTTTAGTCGCTCCATTCATAACTGCTTCTGATTTACTTGGAGAGCCTAAATATTTGGTTCCCGCTGTCATAAGGTGGGCAAATTTATCCTGAATCAGTTGAGTTCGATCTTCTTCAGGTAAATCCCACATATCGGCCTGAGTCAATGTTTTCCTAAAACCTAGAAGAGCCATTGAATCATACCAGACGAACAACAATCGACCCAAAAATGACGACGTTACATATGGACATTCATACTAAATTGATGAAAAAATTAACCCTCAAATTATCATTTAAAGCTAAGATTAATTGAATGAAATTTACCTCATTAATGTCTTTAAATTTGCTTGGCTTTTGTTTGACATCAGCAAAACAATTGAAAATCAACAATATCCAAACTGAACATAATTGAAGTGTCTTGATGACCATATCTTTCTTATTGAATGTCCATAATCTCAGATCCTGTATGAATTAAGATTCAATGTAAAAAATCTTTTTGTTTATCAAATATATTGTGAACCTACTGGGTTGTTTTTGGCATCTATCAAGGTCCAATAATTGAAAGCTGTTGTTATACCCATAAGAAGCCAGTAAAGGAAGAGTAAACCTGAAGTATGAACCCCTTTGCGTCGGAATAAAAACAGCAAAGATGTAGCGATTATCTGTTGGAGCAAGGATAAAGAGACATTGATCATTCATATTACCAGTAGCTATTCAAATAAGTACAGGATTTCATTAGGAAATTATTTTCAATTCAGAAATCGATTCAGAATTTTTAATAATGCCAATATCAAAGAAAGTGTTTTCACCATTTTACATCTTAAGTCAATCTTCACATTTATCATTATACTTTTCATAAGTTTCATTTCCTTTCACTTTTATTGCCATTTATCTGATTGACATTTTACTTTCTAAATCACGATGTTTACAAGTTAATCTGTTTAGATGCAATTCAGTCTGAAATGTGGATAAAAATAGGACAAACAATACTTACAAATGAAATGAGTCTGACGATGGGCGCAACATATTGATATTGATATACGACAGTGCTTCTTGCCTCAAGAATAACGTTTACTAATTCATAAATTGTCACCAGGCAAAGAATCAAATTGAAAGCCTGAAATAATGCAAACAATTGAATCAATAAATCAATCAATATTAGATATTTGTGGACAACATTTGAAGTCATTGCAAGTAAAAAAAGCTAAATTACTAACCAATTTGACATAAAGCCTAAAAGTAAGAGGTAAACATGGTTTGGGCTCTTTAAGAGTAAAATAAATTGAAAACGGAGTCAGGATCCATAAAAATAACGAGCTAGCCCAAAGAGCGGCAGTTTCAGTTAAACAAGGCGAAAATACTGGCTGAGGTGAGTTCCATGATGTCTCTGTGTCCTAATTGAACCAAAAAAAGGGTAAAATAAAAGCACAATTTGTAAATTAAACCAGAAAAGGAAAAATAAAAATATAAATATAAAAGTTACCCAAAATGGATGACCACAAAAGGAATCCAAAACCATGTTGAGGTCCAATCTAGGCAAAAAGCTTTGCCAATCCCGTAAACTAGACTAAAAACTATTGTTCAATTAAATTAGATTGGACTAACACCTCACAATTAACAGTTAAATTAGCACTGAATGTAAATTTGACTAAACAGTTGAATATATTAATATCTTGAACGAGCTAAAAATGGTAAGTCAATTGTCAATCTCTTAATAACTGAAGCTACAATTGTGCCTTCTGTTTACAATATTTCATAGTAAAAATGATAGTGAAATGAAAGGTGAAATATTCAATTTCTAATCGGTTTCTCAGCTCTTTTCCCTGTTAGATAACCATATTAATTGCATTGAACTGAAGCTTGCCATTGTATTTTTGCAGAATTTCATTCTCAGAAGGGGCTTGTAAGAGCAATAAAATGTTATCTTAATTAGCATTAAACTACAATTAAACGGTTAGATTGAACTCTTGAAATGGTTAAAACAGATTTTCTCCTTTTTTTATTTTCCTCATTAATTAAACTCGAAAACAATTTAATATTGAAAACACAGTTACTTATCTTGCCTAATGAACCCAATAAGAGCCATAAACGCGTTAAACATTGGTACAAATTTCAAACCCTAATTTGCCAAGCCATTAATACCGTCAGCAAACAACATTGTACTTACTTTGCCTCAATTAACACTGATTTTGTGTTTTACCTGATTTGCCTAAATTTCCCTTTCTTTTCCAATTCTTACCTGATATTGACTTTCATCAAATGTTTATGTGAAAGCACTGTAACATGATCTTGGCTAATGACGGACAAAAACGACAAAAGTCTCATCGTTATATGATGAAGAAGCCAGGAAAAGCTAGAAACTGGAATCTTTTTTTTCTCTTCTTTTTGTTTGATCTGTTTGTTGTTCGGTAAATACAGCAACAGGTATTTTGAGAAAGCAAAATTGAGCGGAAAGAAGGAAAAGAAAGCCAAAAAGCAGGTCAAGGTTCAATTGAAAGTCCAATGACCATGTTGAATGGTGTTCATTAAAGTGCAAAGAATCACTGGACTAACCTTTAAACTTGTTGTTCCCATGAAAAAAAGGTAGAAATGGGAAACATTCAACTATCAAGGTTCCATCAGACTTCATTTTCCAATTTATTCCACCTTTTTTCTTCTTCTTTTTTCCATTTCTCTCTAATCTTCATCTTATTACAAGGTGATGTCCGTTGTTATCTCCATGAATTTCACTTTTATATTATCTGATTATCCTTCGTTCAATCCAAGGACGTAAACCAGTTTCAACCATTTTCTTACCAAATTTTCATCTCCATTACATGGAAAAAAAGTCATTTACTTCTGTGTATCGATTCTCACTCTATCTTGCTGTCTTCATTGAACTAATCAAGGTAATCACATCAATTAACTTGAAATGAATTTAACTATTACAAAAATCCAGTTCATGATAATTTAGCTTTAAACTTGAAAACTGTCTTAGCTTTGTCTTTGAATCTCGCTTCATCTTTGACTTTTTCAATGGAAAAATTGGTTTACCCAAAAGACTCATTTTTAGGTAAATTGAAGGGCTAATTAAGATTAATTATTTCAAAGTTAACCTGAAATTGGTGAAAAGATGAACAAATGAACAAATAAGTCAACAAAAGGTAAAGATTGAGAAAAACTTCCGGATCAATCTGGGAATCATTTTTTCACCTTCTTGGTTGAACAAAAGTATGATGTATCAATGGTTTGAATTGTTGATTTTTTGATGGAAACATCTTTTTCTTATAACAAATATAACATTTATTGTTGTATAGTTTGTCAAGGTAAATACAAGATAAAGATGTTAACCTGTTCTTCCCTGTCTTCATAATAATCATGTTGATGCTCAAAAATCACGCTGATTTTTCGTGTTCAACAAACAATGTAAACTGTTATGTAAAAAGATGATGAAAAGAGTCAATTTTTTAGCTTCATTTTTTGCCATAATTATCAGACTCTTGAACAATGATATATGAACTTTCAAGGAATCACCATTGAACCTGGAAAGACAAGAAAACAATAAGATTTTGACTCAATTTCATGATTGTTGGACTAATATTGAAATATCTTTCCTGATCACCAAATCCATTGACAAGTGAAGACACTTTTAATTAACCCAACAATTGGTAAAGATGTTTACCTATTGAAAACTGGTTCCTTTGTTCAATTATCATCAATCTTGTTGGTTAAACAACAAGCTAATTCACCATTGCCTTTACAAATAATTCATTTCAACGGTTCAAAGGTGGAAGAGACATTCTGATCAATTGTTCAACTGTCAGTAATCAAGGTTAATCATTTAGCTGTTACCTTCAATCAACTTTTAACCTGCAACCCAACAATTGGTTTATTATTGGTATTATTGGTGTTAACCAGTTTAATCATTTGTAAATATTAAGTGAAAAGGTAAACATTATTGAGATTTCATTTGCATCAACATTTTTCTGGTTAAACCATTACTTTATTCATAAACATACATTACCTCAACTGTAATTATCATTACCGTAATTAATTAGCTTACCATTTTAACCTTCACTCGATTGATTGAAATCAATGTTGGACCAATTAAAAGTTATTAGTTTCTCACAAATCAATTTATGATCTCCTTGAACTTGGTTATTTGGAACCAGAAAAATGATTCAAATTCATGTTGCATTATTTTCACTTGGAATTGGTTCAACCGTTTCTATCATTAATACAAAATCAGGTTGATGGTCAATAACTGTTAACCTTAACTTGATGTCTATTTAGCTTGAAACTGTGTGTTTAACGGTCATTTGGTATTACCTATTAATCAAATGTTAATTTTGGGTCTCTTTGGGTTTTATTTTACATTTAGCTTCTTCTTACTAACCGTGAATTCAAATTGATTAGTAGTTAATACTCAGTTGATATACACCTTGAAATACAAATTGACTTTTACAATATTTCACTGATTCTTCCTTAATCTTAATCCTTCATCATTTTAGGTTTACTTACTGTCACTAAACTATGGTTTTGGGTTTATCTAGTTGACCCTTTAAATTGCTACACTTTTTGGGTTGTAATAAAATATCAATGTTACAGGATTTATGGCAATCCAAATGAACCGTAAATTAAAGACTCATCAAGAAATTAACTCAAATTATAATCTTGATACTTTTTATGGTTTAACATGGTTTGCCAGTTTATTAATGTTATTATGTTGTTCAAATGTCTTAAACCAGTGAATTGAAATGTACATTTTGATATCACTAACACTGGTGATTATTTTTGTATTCACCTCCAACCTGGCTTGAACTTTGGACGATTGGCTTCTCATGTAAATCCAATTTAAGACTTATTCTTGGAAAAATAATCAACTGAATAATGAAATAATAATAATAATGATGGACTTTTTTTTATAATTAGTGAATGGTAAAGAAAAAGCTATTAGCAAATAGCCTTTAAGTTCATGTTTAAAAATACTGTTGAGTTGGTGTTAAAGATGATATTGAAGATCATGATGTTAACTTCAAGTTATTTGAACACAAATATGAACAACCGATTGATTAACAGTAATTAATTGATAAAAATAACAGTCAATTCAGACAAAGTTAATTGCGAAAGTGAATTCAGATTAAGAAGAAAAAGAAAGCTAAGGTCTTTATTAACATCAGGGTCAAGGGTCTTAAGCCAAGTTTACTCGACTGGTTACTCGTCGGTTAATTAACAGTTACTTTACATATGTTACCCAACGGTTATTCAACCAAACCTCGTCTGATCAAATCCTTTGTCTTCATCAATTATGTGTTTACATTGTCATCTAAATTGCTTTCGATTGTTTTAATGTTACTGTTGATTTCTGGAAGTGACAATCAAGTAAATCAGGTAAATAAACAATTGATTAAATAACCATTGAATGTTGACTGTTTTTTCTCCATTTTTTTCTTTCAGTTTCTTTTCGTCTGCTAGTTTTGGCTTGTGATACAAAGTCATGTTACAAAGAGATAGGAAAATTGATGAATCGCTCAATCCTATTTTAATTGTATTATCAATTTTGTTTACCTCAAATCACCAATTCTGTCATGGTGATTCCGTCAATTAATTGGACCTTTTATGTACCTTTTCCCTTTGTGAGAAGGTCATAACCTTAACCAGCCCACCATGTTGATGCCAATTTAACCAGTTTGAATCCTCTTTGTGATATAAGTGCAAAAATAACACCAACACTTGATCAGGTAAAGAGTTTAGATGAAGCTCAATTGTGGATCCAATGATGATGAAGATTGAAATGGGTCATCATGATGTTCATTATCATCTTGATCAGTTATTTTGTCAATTCACTGTTAGTTCCGGGAAACTCAATCATGTAAATCATTATCAATTGATCAACTCTTCTTCTTTTCTTCAACACTGTTATTGAATTGTCTCTTCAACCATGGAAAATTTTCTCTTAATTTCCTGACTCTAGTAATTAAAAAATGGAATGAAAAATCAATAATCATCATCATTCGGTATCACAAAAGCAACATCGCATGCATGAAGACAGTTCAATTTGGTTATATCGGATGGAATGGAGTTGTTCAAGGATATTAATTCAATTCGACTCGTCACTTTCCTGGTTGTGTTTCGTCGTATTATGATATAATTGAGATTCAGTTACTTGTTTTATTAATCATTATTAATTTTATCATTATCACCATCATCACTTCCGTTAGTCAGTATCCAAATGCATTAATACTGAATCAAGAAGTAAGTATTAAAAGCTACAAAATGAGATTATTTTTTGTCTTTTTTATGTATATTGCTAATACATTCACTGATTTATCAAGTTAAGCCAAAACACTAATCTGTTTGATTATCTAATAAAAATCATTTTATTTATATTGTCTTCTTTTTTAGCTTATCATCACAATCAAGATGGGAAAAGCAAAATTCAAAGGAAAAAAAATGGTTAACCATTTGGAATTGGAAAATGTCTTAATCTTTTTTGACGCTTTTTTTCTCATGAAAATGATGAGATTGAGATGACATGTTAATAGAGGTTCATTTTTTTCATTTATCCTTTCCTCCTCCTCCTCCATCATCAACATGATTATCTCCATCAGGATGTAAAATTTCATGACGATCATGATTCTAATGTTGGTCAAATAATGAGAGGGGCTCATTTTGATGAAAATACATCTTCTATTTAATCCTGAATTCTTGATCAACTTTACCTCTGAACCAAGAGCAAGCACAAGAAATCCAACTTGAAGATAACCTCAAAAAAAATGTTACAATTTAAGCTCGCTGACAACTTCACAAATTATATTCATCATTAACAATTTTGTTTCAAAGAGGTAATACAAAACTGCTGTTTACAAACAATTTATTACCAAAAAATGGCTCATGCTAATGAATCGGAAAGCAAGCAAAGGACTGAAAAGGAATTCGTTTTTTTTCTGCCAAAATAAATACTTTTAAAGGACTGAAGATCAAGATGGATGATAATAAGAGTGGCGATTAATTCCAATCAAGTTGAAAGATGGTTCATTTCATTCATTTACAACTATATTGGGAATGTAATCTCTATCTGGAGGGAACAAATGATAATAGTAATATAATAATAACAATTATTGAAATGTATTAATGCAATATTTGAATACGCTTTTCATCTTCTGGATCCTCTTCAGATGATTTGGTTCTAAAACAGCAAAAGCTGAAAGGGCAAATTCAAGATGCGCAAAGCCAAAACAGCAAAAAAATAGCAAAACAATGCGCATGTTTTTTAGATCTTTTCTGCTGATAGATGGCGCTGAACAAAAAAAGTTTTGGTTGAAATGAAATAGTTTTTCTCAGGCTAATATTGAAATTAGATAAACTTTATTAATGAATTCTGAATATTCAGATACAATTTTGTGAAAGATGAATAGCTGTGCGCATATCTAAATATCATGATTTTCTACTGCGCATCATGCTTGCAATGTATTGCAATATTTAACTTTATCAATGAATTCAAGAGCAGAAATTCTATTTTCAGAATAATCTTTTGTTAAATTAAGAATTTTTTCGGTGATTAATTGATATTTTCTGTTCTTTTGAGGTCTGATTCCATGAGAAGCTATCAATAGCTGAATTTCATAGTTATTTTGCTGCTTGATGAGTGTTTGTATGAATTGGTAAATGTTAGCGTGATTCCGTCCAACTGCTTTATTCAATGATGAATGCCACCCTTCCACATGATTATTCGTCCTAGGGTCCGAATCATTAAAATGGTTCCAAATTTCCATAGGAAATCTTGGATCGTTAGCCAAATAAGTATCTTCGAAGTATTCCATAAATTGTTTCATTGCTAAGTCATCGGGGGCTTCGTTTTTAATTAGCGCATAAGTTGGTTCGATGTCGGAGATAGGTAGGAACGGTAGGGCTGAAATTCGCTTCACTGTGGTCTTAACATTATCAACATTTGCTTTGTATCGTTCAACCAGTCCATGCTTTCCAACGTTACGCCATAGACTTTGACTAAAATGAAATAAACAGCACTTTAATTCACAGGCCGGAAAAATAAGGTTAATTGCTTTTATTGTAGCTAGTTCGAAATCCGTTGTGAATTCGGTAGGTCGCCAAGTTAAGTCCAATTTGCAGCACAGGTCTTGAATGATTCTGAATAAACGAACATATGTTATCATGGTTGAATCCGGCATTAATGCGTATACCACTGGTACCATGATTGAATTTATCATTACATGTAATGTGTAAAGGGATGCAAAAAGATGCGGCACACTTTTAAAAGTTCCATCGGCATAAACATGACCTGATGCACATAAATGATGAAGGAATGGGTTGGTGGCGAATACAAGAATTTTATCATCATCACCATCACTCACTTGAAAAAACTTTTCATCACCACTAAATTGCAGTCCGATCGGTATATCGATTTCAGATCTTAATTTGGGAAGACTGGGAAAACGAGATGCACGGACACGGTTTATTGTACCCTTTAATTGTCCAAAAGTTTTCAAACCAGATAATATTTCGTCAATTGGTAGAGTTGAACTTGAAATCACTGCATTCGTAGCTTCATTATACGCTGATTTGACATTGCAATATGTAGATTGTCCAGCGATCTCTTTGGCATTATTTTTTTGTTGTATGCTGGCAATCTTCGAAGTTTCAGGCTCATGACAATGTTCCGATCGCTTCACAATAACATTATCAAGCAAATTGACTTTGCCTTTACAATTTTCATTGACACAAACCCAGTAAGAAGTTTGACCAGAGGAAAACTTTTTTCGATGGATATAATTTTCTAAAATTAGTAAATTGGCCCCTTTATTTGATTTAATGAAATGAAAACTTTCAGTCATCTTGAATAAAATATCACAAGAAAAATCACTAGAAACTGAATCAAATGAATATCAACAATTGTCTCCTTCAATTATGCTAGTTTGAAAAAGCTTGAAATTCTGTTTTGGAAATAATCAGTTTATCATTAATAAGTTTAAAATCATTGTTTATTGTTTAATTTTCAATTTTAAGCTGATTTGCTCATTTGGCCTTTGGCTGTAATGAATTTTGCCCTTTCAGCTTTTGCTATTTTGTTTTTGCTGTTTTTGAACTTTACCCTTCAGATTGCCAAACGATTCAATGGATTGCTGATATTTATTATTCAATCAAACCTTTTGATCAAATTAAACTTACCCATTTCAAATGTGTGCTTTTCCGATATTTGAGCTTTTTTACCTTTTTATTTGAATGTTAGATGGCCAATAAAAAACCTTAAGGGTTATATTCATGAAAATTTTTTAATTTCACTCTTTTTTCACTTGCAATTTTTCACCCTCAAGCTTTCAATTTGTTAGTACATCTTTCAAAAACGTTGAGTTCATTGAGTTTTTCATCAACCTTATCAAAAAGATGATTATTATTAGGTAAATACTGAAAGTGTGAAAACAAAATCAATTAATTTGTTATCAAACATGCTTTAAAATTAAATGGAAAAAAGCAATTTATAAATAACAATCAACAAAAATAGACTTCTCTTAAAATGGCAACAAAACTCAGCTGTTAACATGAACCTCTCTGGTCATTTCAAGCTTGGTCTAAAACAAGTCAATAAATGAACATTTTTTATGTTAATCTAATTTTAGTTTAAACTCATCATTATTCAATTTTGTGAAACATTAATTTCAAACTCATCATACCATCATACAATCACATCTCATCAACCTCATCATTTCCTAATTGAGATGGCAAACAATTTAGTGATTGTTGCTGGTGCAACATTAAATTTGTGTGTATACAAAAAGCAAAGACTAATCATCTCTATATTAGACCTTTACGTTGGCTAATTTTACCCTTTTCAATGTTTATCAGAACGATTAGTTTTAAAATCACTCTTTACCTGGGAAATTGTTATGCCAGGTTGTGTGTTGATTGTAAAGTGTTAATCATTATGTTTATCTAATGTGTGAAATTATGTCTACATTTTCCTTTAGAGACAATATCATAATTAATGTTTAATGTGACTCTTGACTACAGTCTGGGTAAAGGTAAGGTTAAACTGTAATCAACAGTTTGTTGAGCTGTTAATTTTTCATGTTGCGTCTTTTCATTTGAATGGGTTAAATGCACAATTAATGAGCCATTTGTTTAACACTTGAAGAGTTAGAGGTTTTAAAATAATCAACTAATCCACTGACCAATATGCGATACAAAAGGCAATCAAACTGAATCCAGATATCCAAATGTCTTACAATCCAAATATTAATCTATTGAAACAGTCATTGAAAATAGCAACCAGGAATAAACTGATTAATATCTTAGGCCTTAAGAAACACACTGATTACACTCGATGTTACTGGTGAAGTCCACTTTGCGTTGAATATTTCGCCTAATTATTTCCTTAGATTGATTTGAATACGACAAATTGTTAATAGCTGTAGTCACGACAAAGTTGATCATTTGATGGTTGATGATGAATAATTGGCCTCATAATTTAACTTTATTTGAGTTTCAATTGAAAGTCCAACTATCAACTATCATTATTATATAATTATTTATGCAAACATTTGCAAAAGTGAAAAGCCATTTTAAAATTTATATAAATATATTAGATTGAAAGATTAATGGACGACAAAAGAGTTAAATTGACCTGAAAATTGTTGAAAATTAAAAGGCAAATGATTGATTTTAAGCAGTTCATTAAATGTTTATGCTGGTGTTGATGAAATTGCTTCGGGTTTAGATATTTTCTGGCCAATAATTCAGTTTCCTTCTTGTATCCATTGATCATATTGATTGGAATTATGGTTTGAGTCGAGAGACGTTCAGATCAATTTGCATCCATTTCAACGAGCGATTTCCAATTACTAAGAAAGACAAATACAAATTATCATTAGTAGGTTAATAAGTAAATATGATTGATACAATTACGGCAGTTGATTTACTAATTATATATGAAAATATTGCAACAAGATGAAGAAGCAAACATTTTCGTGTTGAGGCAATATTTTCATTGTTACACTCAAATTAGATTCGTGATGGTTCAACATTTCATTACAACTTGTTGGCTTGATATTTTCATTATTTCACTTTGATTAAGATTGCTGGTTAATCCATATTTAATTTAATCTTGTTAATCTACTTCATTTTCATTTCAATCTCCTAAACATATTCATCTTTACCATCTTCATACTGTAATATTAGCAATGAAATGGGCAAACACACAGTTTAATAAAGTAACGCTAATTAACTCTAATTAATGTTTATAATTAAATAGTAATTTTCATAAACTCACGGTTAACATGATGCAAATACATTTATAAGTATGAATTTGGTGAATTGTATACACACAATAATTTGCAGTAAATTGTAAAATAGTAAATGAGAAATTATAATTCAAACTAATCTCAACCGGATAACTTGGTATAAATGGCTGCTGAAATGCAAACCAAGCCGTGTCAAGTTGAATTTTACATGGTTGTTGACTTTTTTGATTAACTATTTAGCATCATTTTAAATGATAATCAGCAATATTTCATATCCCAAAATGTTTTAATATATTAATTAAATTAATTTAACCTTTCTGGTAAACTTTCGTCTCGAATGGCAGTCAAAAGGTGGTTAAAATCAGGCAAATATACATCCATGAAACAAGTAGACATTTGCTTCGACTAATTGGCCTAATATTTCATATAATGGACGGTCGTAATGATGATGATTATCACTCGTTATTGGACAATTAGGACATGATAGTTGTTGCTTTTGGTGTTGACAAATCTTGGTACTAAAAGTAGACTTTGCTGGCTTGGTTAACTTATTGGCAGGTTGAGTTTTAACAGCACCTTGATCAGTGTTGTTAATGTCCGGGTGACTGGCTAATTAAATTTTTTGAATATTTCCCTTCTCTTTTTCTTGAATTCATATTTGAACTTGACGATGATGAATTTCGGTGATAATCTCTAAGCCATTTTCCAAAGATAAATAGTGTATTTAGATTGAGGTGAATGAATTCCTGTGAATTTGTGTTGACCTCTGCTTTTCTTTGTTTTACATCTTCAACTGTTGGGAAGAGAAGGATTTAAAAGATAGAATCAGTTAGAATGTCTTGATTAATTTGATTAGGATAATTATTTGAGAAAAGCTTAACCATTAGATGGGCAAATATGATCAACAGTTGAATCCTGGTAAATACCAGCAAAAAAAGTATCTAAAGGTTTGATAAAATTGAAACAAAAATGGTGCAAAAAACAAAAGCAGGATCAGAGTTTTGGGGTTAACAAGTATTTTTTGTATTCTCATAATGTTCATTTATCCATTATCACAACATGAAACAATGAGAATTGAAAAACACCAACAGTGAAATTAATTGAATGTAACAAACACTTTCGCTGTTTCGATTGAAATTGTAAAGAAAAGTTACATATTAATAAGATTTTTTATTCAACCTGTTGATTATCATCACATTTACATTTTCTGGTCTCATTTTTTTTCGCTCCAACTTGCTTGCTGTTGTACCTACCTTACGTACTTTCCCTTGTTGTTGCTTTATTCATTTGTAATTAAATCATGATTAATGTTGTGAAAGATAGTGAGTGTGAGTGTGAGTGTGTATGAATTAAATTCTGACAAAATAAGGAGGAAACTGAATCATGAAAGAAACATTATACACAAACTTAAAGGAGACTTAACACTTTATTAAAGCAAATTCAGACTTTAACATAGAGAAGAGGGAGCGATTCATAATTGAGAATGTCAAAAAACAATGATAATCGTTGTATCATGTCAATTATCATGATGGTGATCATAATGATGAATAGAAGATGAGGATTTAAATGATGGATGAATAGGAAGAGTGAAAATAAGTGAAAATAATGAATGAATCTAATTAAAACAATCAAAGAAAGATTAACGGTTTACTCCTGGTGGTCTTGATGCGTAACCAGAAAACAGCCGGGAAAACGTGTAAACATTAAATATGGATTAAAATTGACTTCTAGCTTGATCCTTCTCTTCAGTTTAATTGTGACAAATCTGTCCATTGTTTAGTTATTAATTAATTTAACACCAATTATGGATGCTGCCAGGATTAAGATGAAGCTGATTATAGTGCTAAAATAAGAGTGAAAACGTTAATTATGCTTGGTTTTATCCATCAACCTGTTAACTGGATCCTGTCACTAACCCATTCAGCGGCAACAACAGTCCGGTTAGTATTACAATTTAATTTAATTAATTTGTTGTTTTCTCTATTAATATTACTTTATTATTTTGTTCTAATTCATCATCTTCTTCTTCCATTATTCTTCACTACGTCCCATAAAGATAAAAACAGTAAATTTTTTAGCCATAATACAGCAAAATCAAAAAATTGGACAAAAAATCTTATTGCGCCGTCTTGTAAATATAAAGGTAGAATTGAATTATTTGAAATACTTCATTAATTATTTCATGAAAAGAATAATTAACGAATATTTTTGCCCTTTATTAATTTGGTGAACAGTTATGGCTGCTATTGAGATCTCAAAATGTACTGTCTTTATCTTTATGGAACGCAGTGTATCATCCAAATCTATTACATGTCTAACGCTTTCTTTTACACTCATTTACAGCATTATTAATTTCTTGGTTTTCTCCCTAACAATTGGAAACAAAATTAAATCAATCTGGTTATTATACAACATTTAAACAGCTCTTCATCATAATCATCTTCATCTTAATTGGTTGTTAGTTAAATATTAAAAGGCCTTCCGGTTGGTTAAATGATGATGATCCTTATCAATGGTAAACCTCAAATCTGTTTGCAATTTCCACTTTTGCCAACTACTTAATATTATTATATTTCTAATATTAATATTTCATTTTTATTATTGTTATTACAGAATAGGAACTTTTCATGTTTACCATAACTTGGAGGAAGAAAGTTGAACTGGAAAGAGAAGGAAAACAAAAACAAAACGAGTTCAATAATGAAGATGATAATCATAATTTTATTTAAAATAATGGAAAAGAAACAAAATGTTGCTTATAAAGATGGATAACAACTTGTTGATAAAATAAATAAAGATGGAGATGAGGTAAGAAAAGTGAATGGATAACTGTTCAAGTGATGAAGAACAAAGAGTTTGATTGTAATGGATCAAGAAGAGTCACTCTTAACCCAGAATACAATTAATGTTTTGATTTTTTCTTATTCCTTTTTTTATCTTAGCTTCCTCATGAGAATATCAATTTTGATGAAAAGGTGATATTGGAAGCTGCTGAGTGAAATTGAACTTAATTTTAATAACATTTTGCAAAACTTCATTATTTAGTCCAAAATCAATATCAAACATTTGCCCTCGCGATCTACTTTAAGTTCACCTGAATTTTTGATTAGCTGATTGTTAAATTTGTTATGCTGGCTATAAAAAAGTAATTATTCGATCTGTTAACTTGCAATCATAATCGAATATCGAAAAGTGAATCCAATATTTAGCTGAACAAGGTGTGAATCTCATCATCAGTATAATTTTACTTTTAAAAGCTTTCCTTTTTTCCCCTTTTCTTTATAACTTTCAACCCTTTCTCTGATATTTTAATAACTTTTCTTTTTCCTTTTTTCTCAGATTTTCTCACAATTTTCATTTTGCTGCTTCATCATGTGCTTGGGAAATCGTTATTTTCACTTAATTTCTTTTATCTCACCTGAACGTGCTGACGGAAAAAGCAAACAAAATGAAACTCTAAATTATCAAGATTATATTTCATGATACTGAGCAAACAAAGGCAGAAACAAAATGAAGTTAAAAATCATTTTATAAGGACAATTAAGGCTTTAAAAATGGTTAGAGACACCAACAATGAATCAATGCATATCAACCTGATTTAGTGTTTCAAGTTTAACAATGATTTACTTCAATCAAACTTGTTGATTCAATTCTCCTTTATCGCCATATAAGTGACCATCATAAAAGTTGAACTCTGTCAGAGGTTCGATTGTATGCTAAAACTGTACACTCACACACAATCATCATTTATAAATGACCAGCAAAAAGAAATGAAGGAATCAAATCGTTAACCAACATTTTCCATCACAATTACCACCTTAACTCTTAATCTTGATGGATATCCATTATTGGTGTTTCTTTAATCAGTTAAATCCACACATAAATTTCAACCTTTAATTTGATTTAACTTTGGATGGCTTATTGTTTCTGTCTGAAATACTTGTTTACCTTTCATCCAAAAACTTGGTTAAAACAGAAGAGTCAAAATGTATTTACAATTTTACTCTCTCTCTCTCTCATTGACAATACCAATCGTTTGGTGATTGATGATGAATTGTTAATCAACATTGTAACATTATGGTAATTTGATTGGCTAAGCTAAATAAGGTTCAATATAGCCGTCTGTTTATTTAGGTTGACTTTTTATTTTCACCCAATTTTGCATTTCTCCTCTTTTTTATTACCATTTAGGACTTGCTTTTGTTTCTGTTTTTAAACGTCAAACTTTAGACTAAAATTTAAAAGTGCGTTTATAGTCAATTGATTTTCTTGATTGTATTGCAATCATCAAATCATCTAACCTCAAAAATACTTTAAATTTGGTTTACTTTGACTGACTTTCAAGTTGATTGTTTACTTTAAAACAAACTAAGTTGACCATGAAACCGATTAATATTTAGTGAATTTGCTTTACTAACAATCAACAGAATTTTCACTTTGATCAAAACCCGTTTCTAATTTGGAACTATGAACTTTCATTTAATCAAAACAATTTTTCTCTCAAATATTTAGCCTTGCGATGCCATCAGTTCTGGAACGTCTTACAACGAATAGGAACCCAGATGTTAATCGATAAAATATCTTTTCATGACTGACTGAATTATGGATGGCCTGGAATCGATGAAAAAGGTTAACCTGGAAGTCTAAGGTGTTGGTCGAGTAAACAAGAACAATTTATGAATGGAAAACTAAACGACTCCACCGATTACATTGATTTCCCATAACAGTTCATTGAATTGCTGACTTGAGAGAATCACGAATCATGTTCACCATTAAAACGCAAACAGTTGGTTGGATTGGTTGGATTCCAGTCAGGAAACTCAATAAATTGCTGAATCGTTTTGTGGACTGAAACCTAATGATGAGTCTCGTTCTGTTGAACAATTATCCTCTGAACTTGAATCAAGCCCAAACTAAATGAAAGGAAAATGGTTTTTCAAATGAAAGTTGATATGAAAATTGGTTCACTCAATTGACTGTAATCATGATAATTTGTATAGAAATATTAATTAGTATTTTTAACCTAATTTTTTCATTTCAATGGTCATTCTGAACATTTCTTTATTCCTTTACAGGTTACGTCAGAATTGATGATTAAATACATTTTGAAAGTGATGATGTTGATAAAACAAAAAAAGGTTCAACATGAAAAGCTGATAATCATGTTATGTATTACAATTTGGTTTTGTAAAATTTGAACAAAATTTTGGCTCATAAAATGATTGCAACTCCAATGAGCTGAAAAATGAGGATAAGGTGTGATCAGTTGATTGTACAGTTAAATTCAAATTGAGGTGAAATGTTGAGTTAATTGTTACTTGGACATTACCTTTAAGGTCAAAATGAGCAAATCAATTGTGCATAAATTTCAACAGTGATACAACATTTGCTGACAAATCACTCAGTTAATTGGATAGTAAATGAAGTGAAAGCTTTCAGCTGATTGATGATCAAAATAATGATTCAATAAAAAGCCATCATAATACAGCCATTTTTTAATTGTTATAATACATTGTAAAATAATCAATCAAAGTAAAAAATGATTTGATTTCACCTTTCCCCAACAATTTACAGTGTTTCTGAATAATACTTCAAGGCTTTCCAAAAATATACTAATTGATGGATAATCCAACCTTGATCAGGCTTTAATGGCCAACAATCTTCATCAAACAACAAAATATCAATAACAATGAATTAAAGTGAATCAAGAGTCCATTGAATGGTTACTTGAAAATGATTAGTTAAGTATCATATTGAAAGATTATCATTTAAAATGAAAACGATAATCAAATAGAGATGATTATAACAATTATGAGAAAAGGTTAAGAGAAAGTTAAATTATGATTATATTTATGATGTCGATGATGATGATGATGGGCTGTGGTCCATTATCCTACTCTTTGGTCAACAATGCAACAGCTATTAATACTGATATCAAATATAAAGGGATCGGCTTTTACTCCCATTTTGCTGACTCAATAATTTGGTTAACTTTGTTAACTGTAATAATCGACCTTACAGTTTGGATATTATCACATTAAATTGTATACTTTCAATCAAAACTAGATCAGCTATACATTGGTATATATGCTTGAAGCAAATTGAGACTATCAACTTACGAAGATAGATTCATGATTAGTAATTAGTCTTTTTTTGTTCATCACCAAATAAAAAATGAATTTGTTATTCCAAATTTGTTGTTGAAGAGTCCAAAGAAATTTGAGCTTTTTTGTTTTCAAATGAGATTGGATTGGATTAACTTGAAATGGGTGAGACTGAAATCATTTTGAATATTTGATGTTATAATAATGGTGATAATAAGTTGTATAATAACCATAAATTAGGAAATAATAATCATTATAAGGTTTGTAGCTGATGTAAAGATGAAATTGTAACAAAATACTGGAATCCAAATTTTTGGTTTTAGGTCTTTTTTAGGAACACTTTTCCTTTTTCTTGTTTCTCATCGATTATTCAAAATTCACTATTTCCTGATGATTTGACTAATGAAATTCATTTAAAACCTCGAAGCAAGTCAAAATTGTGGCTAATTAAAATAAATTTATTCAGGAATGATTTGAGGATTGATTTTAGATTGAAACAGTTGAAATACGGCGACGGGTTGGACTGTTTGGTTGATTAATTTGGTAACTGTCTGAATAAATTCGAGTAGAAAAATGAATCCAAAACAAAAATACTCAGTTTAAGCCAGATTTCATGTAAAAAACACTTTTATTTTTATAGCTGACAAAAGTGAAAACTTGAATTTAAACATCTCATTACGTGTTAATTGACATTTCTTTTAATGTCGTACAGAATGTTGTTCAATTCATTGCACAAACTGAGACAATTTTTTCGCAAACTATTAGCATCTTGGAGCTCTTGTTTAAACTTGTTGATATCTGGAAACTTCATTTGGCTCTTATCGACAAGATTCAAGAGTTCACGGGCCTTTTTAGCTACAGTCACCAAGTCTGATTGACTTTTGACTCGAATTTTGACACTGTCATCACTAATATCCATATCATCATTTAAAATCAGGTTTACCAAATCGATTTCACAGTTGCACTTTGATAAAAGTTCAGTCAATTCACGAATTTCCTTGGTTGGAGCTTTGTTTACAAGCAAAGCCTTTTCTTTGTTTAGTGTATCCATCAAATGTAAAGATCTTAACTCATCTTTCAAAGAGTCATGTTCTTTCAATGTTTTGATATAATCGTTGAGCTCTGTCATTTTCACAACAATAAATTGAACAATAAATTCACTAATGATGGTTGAAACTAAGATTCATGGAGAAAGGTTTACAGAGATAAAAAATTAAACAGTTTATGAACTCAAAGCAAACATATGAAACTAACCGCGAAAATCATTTTAGGAATGTAAGGCTCCATCTCTTAGCTCGTTTAGCGACTAATTCGGTTTTGCCTTTTTCAATGAATCATGTTTTGTCAATTTTATTTATTCGTCTAATTAATTTGATAATTGGATGGAACTGAAATGATTTATGTTCGTTAGATCATGATATATATCTATGAAAATATAGAAATTTAATAGTTACGATGTACTTTTTCGTTACAAAATTTTTTTGCAATTTAAACAAAAGTAATACATATAATCTTAACAACTCTGATTAACATCAAGTTGTTCAAAATATTTGCTTCAGGGTTCGTATCTTTTGTTTCACCAATTTTAACATTTTCACAGAATCATTCGTTAAAGATGATTAAACAGTTAAAAGTGGCTAAAAATCAAGACTATTGGTGTTATTCAGATTGAAATAAGTTGATTCATGGTTGAGGCATCCGACGTATATAAACAACAAGACCTAAGAGTAAAGCTAATGCAGTCATTAAATATAAATCCCAATCTGGACCTAATATTTTAGTGGCATTAACATGGGAAGCTAATCGAGCCCAGTTGTACTGTTTAAAGGACTCAAGACCATAAACAATGGCCAATTTGAGACGCGCGAAAGCAACAGGTACATGAGCATCTGCAGATGAATCAGCAGCCATATCATAATATCTTTTAGCCAAATGGAAATCTTTTTTCAATCCTAATCCTTGTTCATGCATATAACCTAAATTAAATAAAGCCTGTGCATTTGATTGTAAATCTGAAGCCATTCTGTACTGCGCTGCGGCCGTTTTATAATCAATATCCGTTCCATAACCGTAATAATAGTAATCTCCAAGTTTAACACGGGCAATTGAATAACCCTGAGCAGCAGATCTTGACCAATACATTAGGGCCCGAGCAAGAGACTCATTTTTGGCAAAAAATTCAATCTCTCCTCGGTCAAGAATGAAAGCGGCATTACTTTGGGCTTGTTCGTAACCAAGTTCTGCCATGAAACTGTATTTGATGAAAGCTTCGGCGATTCGACCTTCTTTGTAATCAGTGTGAGCACTCATCAATGTTGTTCCCCAATTACCTCTTTCAGCGACATTTTTAAACAGTTCCACAGCTGTTGAACATGAACGCAAGATTCCAGTTCCAGAGGCATGTATTTGGGCTAAATTGTAAAATCCAAGCACATGTCCTGATTGAGATGCCATGGTAAAATATTTGATTGCTGTTTTATAATCTTTAGGTACTCCAAGTCCATTAAAGTACATAATACCCAATTGCAACTGGCCATCAACCCAGCCTTGGCTGGCTGCTTGTGAAAAATATTTGAAGGCTTTTTGGTAATCTTTTTCAACTCCTTTACCATATAAATACATAACTCCAAGACCACTTTGGCCCACAGAGTTACCTTTATCAGCAGCCATTTTGAAATATTTCAATGCAGTTTCATTACTTTGTTGAACAACTGAACTTCCTTCCAAATACATCTGAAATATATCAATAAAAAGGGGAGTTATAAAATAAATACTCTTTAAGAATGTATCAACACAAATTAAAAAGAAATAGTTTTCATCAAATCTGATATTACCTTTCCTAGAAAAGCCATAGCATTTGCATTGCCAGCTTCAGCAGCTTGTAAGAAATAATTTAAGGCCCTGGCATGATCTTGTTCAACACCTCTTCCACCTTGATAGTGCAACTGACCTAGACCAACTTGAGCATGGACATCACCTTTGTCGGCCAAAAATTGGTAGTATTGTAAAAGATCGTCGTCTAAAATTCCAGTATACGATCCTGGATTTTCCAATTCATCAAGAAGACGAACTCTTTGAATTGCTGTTCCTCCGGAGAATGAAACCTCCTCTTCAACCTTTTTGGCAACTTTTTTATAGTAATTGAGTGCAGATTCGCAACTCGGAATCACAGATATACCAGCCCAATGTCGATATCCGATGGCCATTTGAGCAACTGGATTACCTCCAGTGGCAGCAAAAGTGTAATACAAGAGTGCTTTTGCTTGACTAGCATTTACTCCAAGTCCACTTGCATATAGAAAACCTAAAAACTGAAAAAATAAGATAAATAATTAAAATCGGATCATATGAACATAAATGATTAGAAAATAAATTGATAAAAGGTTGACAGATTAGAGAAATAATATGAGATATCTAAATACACAGAGTCTTCTAGAATCATGCAATGTTTGCATTGTTCAATCTGAATATCTTACCATTTGAGCCTTGGTATTGCCTTGTTCAGAAAGAATAGTAAGAAAATTTATGGCGAGTGGTAAATTAATGGGGAGATTATCACCAAAAATTAACGCTTGTGAGACCATTTCCATAGCTTTAGTGTTATTCAATTTTGCCGAATCGAGCAGAAGGTTATAAGCTCTCGGTTTATCTGATTTTGAACTATTTAGTAATTTCATTGCTGTTTCATAAAAAATATTTGCTCTTTTTTCTTCTTCAGTTTCTTCAGCTGGTGGGCTTTCTATCTCATCGAGAACATTATTTTCACCAGAAACATCAGAAGTTTCATCAGCCAATGAAGGTGCAAGAGACAGTGAGGGTACTGAGGTTGAAGATAAAGGTGGGTCATCATTCAATGACATAGTTAACGAATCAGTATCTTTAAGGTTAGATTTTGTAGATTCATCTTTGACTTCTTTAAATTTCACTTGATTACTTCCATCATGGCCACGGATATGCCGGTTACTGGAGTCTGTTTCAATATCATCAGAGTCATCTTCATCGTCATCATTTGAATCCTTATTCTGATGCAATGTGTTGACATGATCCAGCCAAGAAAGGGATAAAATGGCAATCAAAAACCAAACAATTAAACCTTTTCTCATTTTAGCCACCAAATGATGAACAGTAAATTCAAAGAAACCAGAACAGGAAGATTTTTTCAAATCTTTAAATCATTGGAATGAAAACCTTGTTGTTACAGGGTTGGGAAGGTATAAAATGAGTTGGTTTTCTTAAATTATAATGAAATAGTCACAGTAATCATATTAAAAGCAAAATAAAAAATTAACAGACATGTGATACAGCTTGATAAGGATATTATTTGATGATGTTACACAGTTGCTGTTGTTTATGTTGAGGTTTAGTCAAAGAAGCCAAAGCAGCTGAGATGACAAATACAGATGAACATCTTTATATAGAAACAAAATTTAATTCACAAATAATGTATTGAACAATAATCCATAAATACAAACAAAAAATATCAAAACAAGAAAAATTGAACAGTAAATTGAAAAAAATAGTGATTATTTTGCTAGGAATAGCCCAGGCTAGGGACACGTTATTTGAAAATAGAATATTTAAAGCAGAGGTTCTGCCACCTATGAAGCACTTTCTTGAAAACTCTCAGCAAAAGCTTTGCAAGATTAACTCAGAATTTTGTTGAAAAGTCAAAATTCAAAAATCGTAATTAGTTAAATCAAGATCGGGATATTCCATAGTATCGGTAAGTAACCGATCCCTGGGGTAGTATGATTTTTTTTCAACATAATCATTATCCCTAAAACAACTGCAAGATCGACAGTGGCTATAAATTTGTTTAACATGATTTTCAGGGGGTCGATTGTAAATGGGATAAAGCGGCGGTGGGGAGATTACGGGCTGGGATGCATAAATAGGCTGCGAATCCACTTGATCATCCATGGTATATGAGTCCCATGATTGAGATATGAACCTGTCTGGTTCAGGTGAAAAATCGTAATAAGATTCTGGTGACAACAGGGAAGAAGGTAAGGCAGGATATTTTGATTCAACCTCATCAGGATCGTCAATAGGATCTAAATCGACTGCTATTTGTTCAACTTCTCGGAAAGATTCATCGATGACAAGCTTTCCTTGAGATGAAGTTGCTGTTGATTGTGAGCTAAAGCCTTCCACTTCAATTATAGCTGAAACTCTGTTGTACTCATCAATTAAAAACTCGACATAATCGCAGGCACGTCGCAGTATAGCACACTAAAAAAATAAACACAATAATAAAATGAGAATGTTTAGTATTTGTTGAAACAGAAAGATGGAAATTTAAAAATACCTGAGTCTCTCGGGCTTTTCGTTCCCCAGGAATGACTTCATTAAGCTTTGAAATTAGTTTTTGAAGCTTGTGATGTCTTAATCTGAAATTTAAACACAACAAATAAATTTAAATCCAAAAATAAAAAAACATCAATACAAAAACAATGATCCTCATCGACTTATTCATTCAAAGCAAAAAATGTAAAAAATTCAACTTACCTTTCAACTTCTCTGTGCTTGAGTTTTTTAATGACTTCATTGTCTTTAGATCTCATTTTTTATGAATTTACTATGAATGACAATTAAAATTATAACAAAAAAATGGTAAACAATGAAATAAAAATCATCAAACACCAAACAATGTACAAAAGTACAAGAAAAACAGTGTACAAACAAAAGAAAACTTACAACTGAACTGAAATGAGAAATGAGAAATGCATTTTAAAATTTAAAATTTAAACGACATCAAAAGATTGCTTGCCCCCTTTTCAACCAATCACATTGAGCCTCTTCAACTGATTGGTTAAAATTTGTGAGTTAAATTTACCAAACGAACAAAGGAGTAAACAAAAATGTAAACATTCCTAAAATATTAATTTTTAGTTCTAAACTAAGTTATCAGTAAAATGCTAATTACTAATGAAATATACTATTAAATTACTAATCCTAATGAAAGCTTGTTAAAACTACGAGTCACACAACCAGATATAAACATTTCAATTTTCAATCTTCTGCTATTTTCTTGTGTTAACACATTCATAGTGTAAATGTTGCATAGTTAATGGTTGCAGTTAATTCTATCCTTTGATCGGATTTCTTGGTTATCAATGAAAGCTTGACTGAAACTCTCGATGGAATTGGATAATTGTGCCTGGTTTTTGATTAATCAAGCTTCTTAGAGTTCAATTCTAATCCACTGGAGATAATTGTTATTGCCGTTACATCATTTATCTATAAGAAAGCCAGTTTCAACAGATAAGATGAACATTGAAATGGGATCAACTTTTTTTATTCAGACTGTTTGGAGATAATAAATAGTGAAATCATGATAATTTTTGTGATTTATATTTTAATATCAAGGAGTAAATTAATACAGCTTTACATGATACCAAAGAGAGTGTTAAGTCACATTGATTTTGAAATTGGTCAATGTGTTAGATGACAAGATTTTAAAATCTAAAAGATGAGACAAATTATTGACAAAAGTAACAATTGGGAATGACGAGGTATTAAACAAATGGCAAGATTGAAACTAATTCAATGATCATAATGGGCACTGATGGACTTTTTGAAACATTTAAAAGTGAAATGGAATAGGAGAGTTGCGATTTTAATAAGATGAGATCGATCAAAGAATTGCAAGATAATCAAATAACTGGTCGTAGTGAAATCCGTATTTTCACAAAAACTGCTGCTTATATCCATTTGCGTTTCCTTAAATGTTATTTAATAGACAAAAATTATAAAAATTGTTCTCGATTTTTCATTCCAAATCATGATCCTTTGATTTAAACAAATCTTGATGTCCAGTGGTTATCCTGATTTTAGACGAAAAAGTGGCCGGGTGAAAATGTGTTGTCGATGTAGTCTAGAGAGGTGAGCTTTTCGTCAATTAGATACAAATTGTTTTTTTTCATGTACAAATTAATATTGTTACATTTTTAATAAGTAATCAAAGACTGTATGTAATAGTTTAAACAGCATTGGCGAGGACACAAGCAAAACAGGCGGCCATCAGTAATGTAAATCCAATGATTAAAAGGATAGCAATCATTACGTTAAGGAAAAGCTTGAGTAAATCACGCAATTCGGCATCGCAGCCCTTTTGAAATTTGACTTGATCAAGTGAACATTTAGTTTGGACACTTCCTGGCGATGGTTCTAAACAGCAAGAGGCTGGCGCTGTTGAATCACTGAATTCTGGTAAGTTGGCTGACCACCAATAAGGACCACTGTAACCACAACATTTGAATGACCATTGAAGTGAGTCAATAGCAGCTGAAACCGAACTTCTTTGAGAGCTATTTATTCGGTACTCTTTGAAAGCCGTTTGAAGTTGCTTTTCCAGAACATCATCAATCTAATTTAAAGAGAAAAGGCAAATCAATTAGTCAAATATGAATAAATTGGATACAATGAGAGTCGTCAAAAAAATCATAAGCTCTCTACAGCTTTGTTTCATCAATTCCTGGCAAGCTTGCTGCATTATAAAATGCACATCACCAAGAGTGATTCAATTTAATCATCCTGTTTCACTAAATAAATGTAAAACTTGATCAATAAAATGGCAAAGTCATAGTGTGGATCAATCGATCGTCCATGGTTATGAATTGACTCTCAAACCGTTTTTTTGAAAGACAAGGTTAATTCAGTATACAGTTGCTCTTGAATTACGTTTATCTACTAGGTTTTCTAGGTGATAGATGAGTCTTATGATTTTCTCAGGAAACTTCTGCGTTAGTTAACTCCATTTTACCTTGTAATTATAGACAATGAATATTATAACCGGAACAATAAGAAGAATTGCTAAAACTCCAACCGTGAAACAATACTGCAAAAAAAATGAAAAACAAAATTAGTTTATATGTTGCTAAAGTTACATTTGGATTAGTTGAACTTACTGTACGAAGCATACATGAATTTTCCCGAATAGCACCGAAACAACCAAAGAAGCTGATAATGAAAACAGCTACACCAGTTAAAATGACAATTATCGCTCCTAAGTCCGGCGTATCAATTATTTGCTTAAAGTCCATAGATTTAACTAGGAAATAAATTCCCAATCCGGAAATTGCTGCACCAAGGCACTGAAGAGGGAAACAAAAACGGAAAAGACAATTAGATTTAGTCAATTAAACTTGATTAGTGCAAAATATAAGCTTGAAATTAGCATTTCAGTGTGACACTCATATAAGGCCCTTCAGTTAGAGCAACCAACATTGGAAGTTACATGTCAATGAGGATTAAAATGTGTGAACAATAAAAATTAAGTCAAATTACTCGTCAACTGATGATTTGACCATAAGCATGTAATTGTATACAAATATAATAAAGCTTATTGCAGTGAACATCATTAGTGTCCAGCTGCATGTTTATTTTTTGAGCAGTTAAGTCAGTCTTTTGAATATGAGCTTCAGATAAAATTATTAGCATTGAGCCGAAGATTGAACTGAATTTAGGCTAAAACATGATCTAATTGATATTGAATTCAAGAAAATAAACCAACTATTCAATATGCCATTAATTTTATAAACAATATAACATTTTGACTCCAAAGGGAAAAATTGATTTTACAATCAATCACCTGATGTAAAATTATTGGTAAAATATTATTTGATTGATGATGAGTTGACCAAGGTGAATATTGATCCAATATGAAAGTGAAGTTTATTATTAAAAATTAAATCAATTCATATGGACTTTTTTCAACCGATAAAACTTTCCAAGATTTATATTAGATAATGATTAAGTGATTGAGAATCAACAATGCAAATCTAATACAACTGTAAATGTCTATTGGCGTGATCTATAGCCATAAAAGAAACACGTTTTTTTGTTCAAGTTTCACGATTACTTTAACATTAAATGAAATCAAGCCTAGCCATTGAACAAATACTTTAAAAACTGATTTACTATTTAGCTTGGGTTGAGTGTAAAACCAGTTTAGGTTCAAGTTAAATTCAATTGTTTCGATAATCGAATGGTAAATAGATTTAAACTGACCTAGTTCGTAAAAGTGAAAAGACGTTGAAAGGTTATTGAAAGTTGTTTAGGTAATAATCTTGAAGATATAGTTAAAATGTAGGAGTTAAACCAATAAATCACTTAAGTATTCAAGTTTGGTTCAGCAATTGAAGGGAATCGAGTGATTTTCAGGTAAATTTGAAATGCTTCTGAAAATTTTATGAGCCAAATAACGATGGACGATAACAAATCAATTAATTATAATGTCGTGTTGGCCATGCAAACCAAGAAAGTGAAGATGAAAATAATGAATAGCAAGATATCTTCATGATAATGATGAAGATTCAAGATTATCAAGTTAAAAGTGGTTCATGATGAAGTCTATCCCTTTGAGTACTTGATAGATATTTTCAGCAAGTCGTGCAATTTGATGGTTGACTTTACAATGAAAGGTTGATAAATATTTATCAAGCTACAAGTCGTATACAAATTAAACTTATTTAGGACAAAATTATTGACATGCAAAAATCAGTCACAAGGTGAAACTTCAGGGGAAATACAAGTAAATACATGGAAAGTAAATAACATTTGATAAGCCTTGATACGAAGCAACTTGACCATTGATTAGTGTTTATAACTGGATCATTTATTAATCGAGTTAATGAACATTGAACAGTTTTGTTAGGTTGTTATGTAAGGTCAAGTTTTCAAAATATCACAGGTTGGTTTATTTTTAGTTGAAAGGTAATTTAGCATAATTGAACCTAGATTTAGTTTCAACCTTAATTTAACTGGGTTAGTTTTTGTTAGTAAACATTAGATGTAATGATTAAGGAATAAAATCAACCAAAATATCAATGTTCAAGGTTTTCGCTTTTTCTTTGTCTATGGGTTTTCATGGGTTTTGCATGAGTTGGTGGATTCAGGTTAAGAGTGGAATGATTAATCGGAAAGGAGAAAAAGTTTCCAAATTAAACTGCAAAAAGGTTCACCAATTTAAGATAATTATGATTATGATTATGAAGAGAGGAAACGAGATAAAACTTATTTATAAAATAAGACAAAGGCAAGTTAGGAATACAAAACAACATAAAGATGGCTGACTTCGTTGCGTGACATCGATATTTAATCTTTACATTAATCGGGGAGAAAGTGATGGAAGGGTTTACTGTATTGGGTCAAGGATTAAATTTGAACATTTTAAGATGATTATTGCACTAATTTAAAACTAAACAACTGATCAACCCTTTCTTTAGTCTCCTCAAGAATAAGGTTAATCATTGGAAGCTGTTAATTGAGAGATCAATCGACACCAATTATCACAATAAAAGACTAATGATCACACCAAAGCATTATTCGGAGAAATATCGGAGACAAACAGTTTGATCATTAAAGATATAAATCTATTCCAAATGATTTGCACATGTTGAAGCATAAACAAGTTGATTAAGAAGGTTAAACAATTGTTGATCATTGACAATCGATGTAAATCGCCAATTGAAAATCAAAGATCAACAAGTTTGATAAAATCAAACAGGTTCAAGAGCAGGAGATTTACACAAGAGAAAGAGATGAAACATGAAGAAATTTTGGCAGTTTGTCGATGGTTAATTACTTCATATCCGAAGCTCACATTTAAATTAAGTTCATGGATATTAATGAGAAAAAGAAATCATTTGAAACTGAAAATTATTAAACAGCACGCAAGAGAGGGAAAAGGGCTCTAAAACCTAACAGTCTCTAGAAGGATCTTGTAAGGCAAATTAGAGTTCAACCAGATTTCAGTTTTTGGTTTTACCAATTTGTCTCCACTTGCCTTATCTAACAACCTTAAACATTAACCGCCATTACTAAATTGTCTTGGCAAAGTTCAACCAATGAAATCATATTTACACAAGATGAATCATTGGGTAGAATGAAAATAATGTAACAAAAAAACCGTTTGTCGAGACACAAAGATCAACATAAGAAGTTGAAAGATAAAACAAATGATTTTTCTAGTCAACTGTTTGCTCATAGATTGCGGGATTGATGATAATAGAGGCAATGATATATGAGCTGATAACACGTTTGAAATTATTACTTTTTGGTTGATAATTTTTTAAAAATTTATAACATTTTCTTTTGCTTTTTTACCGACTTTACCAATTTTTTGATACATTAAAATTGGCAAAGTCATAAAGTCCAAATCAAGATTCAATTTTAAAGGTAATCAAGCTTGTAACAATTTGGGATTTCCAAGGACAATCGATTAAAAAATCATTTAAGAATCAAAAGCCTCATGCGAAAAAAAAAGAAATGTGAAGAACCTCATTTCTGCCATGGAAAGTGAATGTTGAAATGATGTTGACTGATAAAGATAAATCAACAAGTTAAAGCATAATTGGGATTATGTTAACCTCAATTTTTTCGTTAACAACTTTAGTGTTTGTTTTTTGTTGGATTCTGCATGGCTTTAAATCTGACACCGAGTTAATGAACTGTTAACACTTTCATCTTGTAAATTATTCTAGAAACTGTTTTTTTCTTCTTCTGGAAATCATTTCAACATTAAAAATTCATCAAGTTTAGGGTGAGGTAATGTACAGGAAGAGTGAGAAGGAAACGCTCAACAAAAAAAAGCTGTTGGACATGAGTGTAAGGAAAGACAATAATTTGTTCTATTGTCAATATCTACCTGTTTTTATCCAATCATGGAAGTTGTTTTTTCACCAGTTATTTGTTACCTGGACAACTATTTACCTTCCCTACTAACCACTACAATAATACATCAACTTTTGTTGTTAATAACAAAATTTGAGCTTTTCTCTCTTTCAATATTCCCTTTGTATTGTAATTAGATTGGTATCAACAAAAGAAGTACTAGAAAAGGCAAAGTGACTTATTTATTGCACAAAAAAGCGAAATACAAAAAAAGTATTTAAGTGACTCAATTATTTTTCGATAATGTATCATTAATATTGAACCATTTGAGTTAAAATGCAACTGTAGAGAGCAATTAATTGATCGCTGGTATAACACCTTGATTTAACAAACACGCATAATAATGGGTTGTTAGTTGATAATTCATCACAAAAAAATGCTGTGAGTAATCTGGTTATCACTAGAATAATCTAACTCATTTCTCATGTGTGAATTTATCTAAAGAAACAATTAATTTGCCACAATCATTGTATTATGGTGGTTAAAAATAAGTCAAAAAACATGTTAAACCCTTTGAAAGGTTCTGCAATGAGTCAGGTAAAACTGATATTCTGGTTAACACAACTGTTGATATTTTCATTTTGCTGATGCAACCTAATTCTATTTAAACCTGAGTAAATCTAATAGACACCAATTGACATAAAAAAGTCCAATTTAAGTTGGTGAGTGAAAAAAATAAGTAATCAGTAGTTGAATAAATGCAGTTAAGTGTTTTGATAGAGTTTGGAAAAGCAAGGAAGATTACTTACGACAAAAATAAAGTTGAATGTGAACAAAACCCATTGAATACACGAATTACTACAACCTTTAACCATGATGATGATGTTGCAATGATTAAAAGGTGACAATCAGGGTGAGAATTTTAGTTGAGAAACAAACTGCAATGTAAAACAATAAACAACAATAATTAGTAATTTCATCAAACAGACACCTAAAAACAATACACAAAAAGCAAAAGAGAAGCAATCACAAAAACACTAAAACGCAAAATGAGAGACAAAACACTCACACAACAAGAGAGATGAAAAATAACTGTCAATTTGTTATTGATGAAGAATAATGATGATGTTGATGATCAAATTGATGTTCACTGTGAGAATAGAAACGGAAAGTTAACCCAAAAATTGTAGAAACAAAGGACAGCAATGATGAAAGTTTAGACGATTTCAACTTGACAACAATCTAACTCAACGTCTTTTGGAAGAAATGAGAAAAAAATGTTTCTTATCAATATTCCCATAGAGACCAATGTTTCTCCTTCTTTCTCCTTTTTATCTTCCATTTCACTTTCTTTCATAAGTCAACTCACTCTCTTTTAATTTTTCTCCCTCTCCTCTTATCATCTTCATCATCAATCGTAAATATTATCCACATTACCTGATATGTTTTGTTTCATCTTCTCAGGCCTAACTCAGCACTTTCTCACCCTACGATTTTTGACCCAATCTTTTCATTCTCACATCACAACCATCATCACTTTCTCCCTCTTTCCTCTCTCAACATCCTCTCACCTCTACCTTTTCATCTTCATTATTTTCTACCTTTTATTACAGTAAAAGGAAACAATTATGGTTTTCATTTTTACCACATTAACAAAAAAGGATAAATATATTGAAATAACATGAATATTACCTAAATTTATCCTTTCCCATTGGTTTCTTGTTTTACCCTTTTTAAAAGCTGTAATTTTCCATTGCAACTTTACCGTTGAATCCACAATATTTGATTCAGGAAACAATAAATTCTTGAGCACTAAAACAATGATGTTAAAAACAATTTTCACTTCATTAATAATTTGATTTTACTATCGTATAAGTGAAGAAAGTATTGATCAGATTAAAATTTGACAATTATTTGTTAAAATGTAGAAACAAAACAAAACCAAACTTTTGATGAATCTTAAATTGCTTTGGTTATAATAAATATCTCTAGATGGAAGCATAAACTCAGCTGACTAAAGGCGTTTTAAAGCTTCTAAAACCAGAGATTAAGCATCGGAATAATCCTTAAATACACTGTAAAGCCAATTTTCAGAATTACTTGAGTATTTAAGTGTTAAACTTGAATCTGAGGTCAATTTGCTTATACTTTTCGAAGAGTTGATCATCTAAATTATTGATGAGAAAGAAATTGCTTTGGTTATGATAAGGATCACTAGATGGGAGCATCAACTTGGATGAATTAAGTCTTCTTACAAGACAATTTGAATTGTTCATTAAAGGTTGTGCATTTAATGGCTACTATTGATGCATTATTTTCATCTTTTCAAATTAAATTTAATAACTGATTGAGTGTTATGAATTGTCTTGAGGATTATTTGGAAAGTCGATAAAAGTCAATTAGACTGAATATTTGAAACATACTTGGAAAAATTAAACGAAATCTAATTTGTCGTAAACATTTCTCTGGCAATTTATAAAAATCGAGATTCTAGTCAATTATTTGAAAGGAATTATTTGAGGAAACAAATGAGAAAAGATTTAGTCAAAAATAGTTTATCTTTGGTATGAGAATGCCCTGAATCGAGAGCACAAATTTGACTGAACATGGAGGGTAACAGAGTCAGTCTGAAAGCATCTTTACTCAAGTCAACATTAAACTTTTTTTGGCAGGATGAAACAAATAGCCATCAAAATTTTTCTGTTGTTTTCAACGGGTTACAATCAACATTTACTAAATTACAATAGTTCAAATTGAAACTATCAAAGTGATTAGCATCATTTTTTTATACCAAATTAAGTGTATGGATTGACAAGTTATTATGATAGATTAAAAACAAGTTACTTTTGTGAATAGTTTTTAGATCTTGAATTTTCTAGTTGTGTTAGTAATTAAAATTGTTTAACCACCATAAAACATCGTAATATTTAATTGTGCACATAAACAAGGGAGTTTCAACTTGAATTTCAATATGGATAAAAGCCAGTTGAGTTGTAAATTATCATCAGAACTGTTTTCACCAACGTTGACATCATGTAAAGTGAGTCACCAAGTGAGATTCATCTTAATCATCTCGTTGATTACCAATTCACTAGTTTTTTGGTTAAACTGTGTAACTGTGTTAGCCGATTTTAATCAAAACAAAAGACCATCTACCAGGATAGTTTCCACCAAGTATGGATCATTGAGAGGAGTTCATGTTAATTTAATGCACAACTTACAGCCGGTTGAAATGTTCTTAGGTAAGTTGAAAGGTAGAGATGGCAATTGTTTCCTCTTCATCTAATAGAACTGTTAATCGGAAGAAAAAAGAAAAGAAAATGTTAAATATTTACAGACTTAATCTGGATTCAGATCTAATTTGCTGATTCTATTCAGTTAAAGGTAATTTCATGTCAAAATGTTGAACCGATATGTTAAACACCAGGCTTTCAATCATTTGTATTAATAAACAAAATACACATGCTTAACTAGTCATATTAATTTTAGAAACAGACTAAAGATTAAAATAGAAGCACGTAGAGGAAACTTGCATATTAATCAAATTATACTTTATCAGTAATCAAAGGGATCTTAACGATTGTTTTTGAATCATTCAATGCCATAAGGTATTCCATATGCAAGTCCACCAACTGGTAAACTAAGATTCATGCCTCCAGTAACTCCAGCTCATTGGAATGGGATCAGAATGGCAGATAGCTTTGGTCATGTTTGCCCACAAAATTTACCCAACATCACCAATGAAGCTGAATCTCTGAGAAAGATGACTCGAGATCGTTTAACACATTTAAAGCGATTGATTCCATTGCTCCAAAATCAAAGTGAAGATTGTTTATACCTCAACATTTATACTCCAACTAAAGGTAAAAAAGAGAATAAATTTAATTATAAATTATTTAATTTAAAAGTCAAAAATGTACTCACAGTTTAATTAAATTGAAGCCTTGTTGGTTAAATGTCAGTTGGTAAAGAGAAAGTCAATCTTCAGTTCTGGAAGTAAAATTTTTCTCCAAGTTAACAAACTTTCCTCCTAATGTCTTATTGATTGACAAACCGTCTCTTGATCAATATTCAATATTTCAATGTCTCATTTAATTATCCAGTCAAGCTGTGGTTTAAAGTATCAAGTTGAAAATCTCAAAGGATAGGAGCCATTAAGAATTACTTATACGTTCAATATTCAGGGTAAAACTTGGAAGACAGAGAAAGGTGTCTTAACTTGTAACCAAAGCTGAGGTGAGATTAAGTAAAGAAATTAAAAATACATTGCAACGACCATGTCTCTAAAGACGAACACAATTTCAAAGAGATTATCTAACAAATTGGAATACAAAATAAATAAAATACAATCAAGATAAACATAATAGATGGTAAACAATTGATTTAATTTCAAAATAAAAAACCGTTTTTATTGAAAAATGAAAAGCATTCAATTTACTGCCATCTAACGATTTTTATAAAAACACTTAATGCTGAGAATCTCAACTTGCTAAGAAAACGATTTTCTTTCATGATTGACTGAGCATTTATGAACGCTTCTGAACCATCCTTATCCTTTTTATCCTTATTTAACGTTAATTGTGTCTGTATATGTTCAAGATCATTAACTAAATTACAACTTTATCAGCAATTCATTTAATTGAAAGAGATCAATCGCTATATTTACTGTTCAACGCCTCCACTTAGTGACTTTATAATGTAACCTTTCCTACTTTCTGTTAATTATTACATTGTTTACCATTTAAATTTATATCAAGAAATGATCATTTTACAATTTAACCATTGCTTACAATCTCACCTTAACCTGTTCGCAATATCTCATCAAAATGTGATTGAAAATTGAACTTTTTTTCAAATACAAAGCGTACAATACATGTTTTTACAATTGTTTGTATCTTTATGTATTTTACAGTCTGTCAATCTGTTCATTTGTTATTATCTTTATTTTGCTTTTATATTTTTTTCCTCATCCCAGTCAATCCCTCCTATCATTGTGATCATCTATCTGTTACATATTTTTCATCGTAAAAGATTTTTCATCTTTTTGCTTCCATCAATACTTTTTATCTTCATTCTATCTGTTTCTTGTATTCTGCTGGATAAATTCACCTTGTCACAACACCAAAGCTAAGTAAAATAACATTTATCTCTTGTTTTCCTTCAGTTATATCTTATTTTTTCCAATATTATTTTCAGATAATTCCGTTTATTTCCCTTTCATTGAGAGCTGAAACCAAGGAAAAGAAGGAGAAGGAAAAGAAGAAAATTTTACAAAAATATTTCATATAATGGATCTGATAGCGTACATAATGATGATGCAGAAGCTGATAGCTGGATACATATGAATATTGGTTGTTGCTTAATCTAAAGAATAAAAAAACATATCAGATTCTGGATTCAAAAAAGGGAAAATGCTGAGAATGGAGAAATTAAATGATGAAAATATAAAGATAAACCTTTAAAATTGTTATCATATATTTTGTTTTGTTGGTTTTCCATCATCTTTATTGTATTCCCTTTGCTCTTTCATGTTGTACTTGTACAACATGGTTAAAGCTCAATACAATAATCATGTTTGAAATATGAAAAAGCAAAATATAACAAACAAAGAAACCAAAATAGAGGATAAAATACCTTGAAACACCAGCCTGATGCCATTGCCTGTTATATGCGTATTTGTGTTCAATTGATTATTTTCTTGTATCAAAACAATTTGGAGTGAGGCAAAGAAAAAACGAACCTTCAATACAAATATTAATATTATCATTATTAATGGATTGATAATAGTAATGATCATCATTCCAATGATTCTCATTTTCACCATTCAGACAGATTCATCGATGGATTTACAGCAATATAAGGTTAAGATGAATTGACAGGAAGCTAGGTATTTCCTTGATATCATATGAAGAAAATTTTCTCTCAACTTTTTCATCAAACCAGAAAGTTCTTGATTCTTCTTCATAAGTCAAACCATTTCAAAGGACACCTCAGGTGAACAACCATTCAAAGTTGTCCAAATGTTTAGTAAATTATCATTTCTGTTTTGCATGGAAAACCATTCATCTTGACTTATCATATTCACTTGAAATGCTGATTTGACTTTCATTCAACTTCTGAACTTTTCCTCAAACTTCAAGACAATGAACTGATTTGTAATTTAATGGATAACCATCATTATTTAAATATATTAACATGTACCTTTGCTTTAATCATTATCAATTTCCATGTAATTTTTTCTTCTTCTTTTCATTCCTTTTTTCTTCTCTCTCCATTGTCTGGTTTAATGAACTTTTCTCTCCATGGTTAATGAAGATGAGACCATCATGGAAACATCCAGTGATTCCCTCTGAATCAAGTGAGAAATGGTGCATTTCCTAAACAAATCTCTTGAAGATGTTCAATTGTATTGCAGAGTGAAATAGGGAAGCCAAACAGATTAAAAATACACAATGAATGGAGAAGAAGAAAAATAGATGAAAAAAAGAGAGAAAGATAAAGTGTGGATAAATGCTGAGACGATTCCTTCTGAATTCATGATCAATGGCTTAGAACTTGTTGTTGTTCAAGTTGCAAGTTTACCCTGAAAATGCATCATGAATTTTCTCCAGTCTTTCATTCCATTTCCATCATCTTTATGCTTCTTCTTCTTCCTCATCTGACTTTTATTTTCCTTTTTACATTCACTTTTTTCCCATTTTCACCATCTTTACATTTCATATTTAATTTCACCTTACCTATCAAATTATAATCATAACTGCTTTTCAGATGATCAACAAAAAAGTTAACCTTTCAATCACATTGAGATTAAAGTGGATTATTGAACAAGTTTGTCACAAAAGTTCTGAGATTCATTTTGATGCTCTTAGTAGCCATAAAGTTTCAAGTCCTTTTTGAGTCGAGTTGGTTTTTTTGGGTTTTTTGTCTGATTCTAGGTCAATGTTTACCAATCAGCCCAGAAGCGGACAAAAGACTGGCCCAGAAAAAGGACTTTATCTCTGCTCTAAAGTCCTAAGGAAGGTTTCATTTGTTAAACATTTAAAACTCATTTTCATTATTGATCAACTTAACCACAATCTCAGAGTCAATCCATTATCTCATGCAATTTTGATTCTCAATGATTAAATGAAAAGCCAATTTCCAAGTCACAAAGTCTTACATAAGATTGAATCTTGAATTGAATTTGATTTTTTAAAATTTTCATTTATTCTCATCATTGAACATTGACTGACCATTAACTACTAATCAAGTGAAGTCTTACAGTTGATTTCAAATTGATATCAAACTCCTTCCCTTGATCATCATCTCATTTCACTGGTAAAATAAAATCTTAGCATCCAATCTTTCCACATTTATCATTCACTTTTCATCTTCTTTTTTCCCTTGTGCATATAAAATGACTAAGGTCAAGTCTCTTGTGAGTTTGTTATGAAATTTTTGAGTTTACCAAATAAATTTCAATTAATTTCATTTCAAATTAAATATTAAATTTCAATAAAAGTTTCAAGTTTAATAAGCCCGAGTTGCGAAAACTTTTCAATGATGATTTATAAGATTATCTGCTTGTTCCATTAATATATTAAATTTTACCTGGTCAACCTTGTTTCTCTGTTGATTTATGATTGCCATGAAAGACCACAGCATTGTTGCTTTCGTGATTGCAGTAAAATTTGAAGCAGAACGTAAAATATCATTCGAATCGGTTCACTTATATTAAGCATTATCAATGTTGGTCATTTTAAAGTTCATTTTCATGGTAAAATTTTCAGATTCTAGGTTTTCGATGTAATTTGGAATAGATTCTTGATTTTGCTTAATATTATAAACACTTCAAGTCGATCGACATCGGATTGACCTTTTTTGAGAATCATTAGAACTTTAGTCTTTAGAACTTTAGACAAAAATCAAAAAATACAATCAATTTTTTCGATAAAAAACAAAAAATGTTAAAGTACCTTTCACTCAATATTTCGCTCAGATTTCCATCTAAATTATCAACCGCATTTTCAATGATTCATCCTCTCAGCGTGATGAAAGGAAAAGTTTCATGCGATAGAAACCTGTAAAATCTTTGATCCTGAAAATTTGAGTGTCCAAGATGAAAATGAAAGATTGAACTTTATACAAGCAAAACTGTGATGATAATGATGGCGATGAACCATTTTAAAAGTAACAAATAAAATGGAGAAGAAGAAAAATAGATGAAAAAAAGAGAGAAAGATAAAGTGTGGATAAATGCTGAGACGATTCCTTCTGAATTCATGATCAATGGCTTAGAACTTGTTGTTGTTCAAGTTGCAAGTTTACCCTGAAAATGCATCATGAATTTTCTCCAGTCTTTCATTCCATTTCCATCATCTTTATGCTTCTTCTTCTTCCTCATCTGACTTTTATTTTCCTTTTTACATTCACTTTTTTCCCATTTTCACCATCTTTACATTTCATATTTAATTTCACCTTACCTATCAAATTATAATCATAACTGCTTTTCAGATGATCAACAAAAAAGTTAACCTTTCAATCACATTGAGATTAAAGTGGATTATTGAACAAGTTTGTCACAAAAGTTCTGAGATTCATTTTGATGCTCTTAGTAGCCATAAAGTTTCAAGTCCTTTTTGAGTCGAGTTGGTTTTTTTGGGTTTTTTGTCTGATTCTAGGTCAATGTTTACCAATCAGCCCAGAAGCGGACAAAAGACTGGCCCAGAAAAAGGACTTTATCTCTGCTCTAAAGTCCTAAGGAAGGTTTCATTTGTTAAACATTTAAAACTCATTTTCATTATTGATCAACTTAACCACAATCTCAGAGTCAATCCATTATCTCATGCAATTTTGATTCTCAATGATTAAATGAAAAGCCAATTTCCAAGTCACAAAGTCTTACATAAGATTGAATCTTGAATTGAATTTGATTTTTTAAAATTTTCATTTATTCTCATCATTGAACATTGACTGACCATTAACTACTAATCAAGTGAAGTCTTACAGTTGATTTCAAATTGATATCAAACTCCTTCCCTTGATCATCATCTCATTTCACTGGTAAAATAAAATCTTAGCATCCAATCTTTCCACATTTATCATTCACTTTTCATCTTCTTTTTTCCCTTGTGCATATAAAATGACTATTTAATGTGATTAACATGAGTTACTATGAAAGATAAGGTGAAATTACTCGAAAACCTGAACATTATCCAATAACAGCAAGTCTGTCATCACAATTCAATAACATCATCAATTGCCACAATTAACATAATCATTAACTTATAATTTTACAAAACTCATGCAAAGTTTCACATTTGGTTATTTTAAAGAATAGCAATTAAAGATGATTCCAAAGCATACAATTAACTTTCTTAAGTGACAATCAAATTTGCTTATTAAACAAAATTAATTGTCTCACATCACACCAATAATAATAGGATTGATCAAAATGAAATTGCAATAACAATTACATTCAAACACATAAAAAACATTGAGAGACATTCCCTGTGAAATGGATCCCTGGGAGGTGATTCAACAAATCATGATAGAAATGAAATTGTCATGAAAATGTGAATAATTATTAACAATATCAATAAATAATTAACTGTTAAATTGGTTATCATTTCATTTAATATTTAGAAATTTTTTTCTCCATTTAATATGCTTTTTTCAGGGAATGTTTGTTGTTTAAAAATGATATTTATTTGAGTATTTCCGTGTTGCTACATTAACTTCATGTGAACCTTTGAAAAGTAATTTATCTTAATATTAACTGAACAACTTTCATGAACTTTTTCTTCTCTCCACTTTTTTTTCAATTTTTGTCTGTTATCTATTCGGTAAAATTCATCTTGAAATATCCTTACTCAGTTTTATCACCATTTACTCTTGTGATCATTTCAATTTGAAACCCTTAAGTTGATTTTATTGGCAACTAAATTTTATTATTAAATCTCACTGAATTGCATTGTGTCAATGATTAAGGTCAAGTCTCTTGTGAGTTTGTTATGAAATTTTTGAGTTTACCAAATAAATTTCAATTAATTTCATTTCAAATTAAATATTAAATTTCAATAAAAGTTTCAAGTTTAATAAGCCCGAGTTGCGAAAACTTTTCAATGATGATTTATAAGATTATCTGCTTGTTCCATTAATATATTAAATTTTACCTGGTCAACCTTGTTTCTCTGTTGATTTATGATTGCCATGAAAGACCACAGCATTGTTGCTTTCGTGATTGCAGTAAAATTTGAAGCAGAACGTAAAATATCATTCGAATCGGTTCACTTATATTAAGCATTATCAATGTTGGTCATTTTAAAGTTCATTTTCATGGTAAAATTTTCAGATTCTAGGTTTTCGATGTAATTTGGAATAGATTCTTGATTTTGCTTAATATTATAAACACTTCAAGTCGATCGACATCGGATTGACCTTTTTTGAGAATCATTAGAACTTTAGTCTTTAGAACTTTAGACAAAAATCAAAAAATACAATCAATTTTTTCGATAAAAAACAAAAAATGTTAAAGTACCTTTCACTCAATATTTCGCTCAGATTTCCATCTAAATTATCAACCGCATTTTCAATGATTCATCCTCTCAGCGTGATGAAAGGAAAAGTTTCATGCGATAGAAACCTGTAAAATCTTTGATCCTGAAAATTTGAGTGTCCAAGATGAAAATGAAAGATTGAACTTTATACAAGCAAAACTGTGATGATAATGATGGCGATGAACCATTTTAAAAGTAACAAATAAAATGGTCCATTTGATGATTAAGAAGCTGGAATTGATGACAATGAAATGATGTGAAAAATGAGTTTATCATTATTATCATCAACAGCATGTTCACAATTTTCGTTATCAATTGAATACTTGGAACCATGAGCCTTGCTTATAGTCACCTTTAGACTGCACGTTCAATCGTTATTTTTCATTTCAATTTTCATCATTAAAAAAGTTACCTTTTACAATTCATTTGAGATTAACATTGGAAAGTTGAATCAGCAAAAATATTAAAATGTTTCTTGATTAACTTTTCTGTTTTTAGGTTAATTAAATGGCAACATTTTAAATTGTTGACCAACTAAAACTACAGAAGCTTAATTAATATTTCTCAGTGTTGTTGGGTAAATTGTTCCCATGAGAAGCAAGCAATTCAATCGCAATTCCATCTGAATAATAATTAATTTTCAATCTACTCATTATGCAGAATAAGATGAAATTGAA